TTTAAAGTGTGTTATAGTCACCGAAGCTGTAAATGGACTTTTGATATATGTAAAATTTGTGGGGTGTACAAAATACCTACAAAGTGTGTGTTGGTGGGCAACCATAACTACTTGTCTTAAACACCTTTTCATGTTTTCTTCATAAGACTGTGAAAGGATTTGATGTTTTTTTCCAAATATGGAAAAAAGTTTTGTGAAATTTCAAGAAACCTTCCATGACAGAGGAAATTCAATAAGTGATATTTCATGATGTAATAGAATTTCTAGGAAGATGTTTGTGCATAATATTTTTGGATGCTTATTTCTGGCAAATACAATATGATTGGTCATTTTTTGTGTGAACTGGACAAATTATGACCGACAGTATGATGGTGAATCTGTCTAAGAGGAGTTTGGATACAATCCAAGCTCAAAACAAACTGTTAAAAACAAGTTACTGGAATTACTCAGAACAACTTGAGGAGTTCATCTCGCGTTACAAAACTCGACCACCGGATATTAAGTTCTGGCCTTATGGACCTTATTGGCCGAAATTCTATGATAGTGAAGTGTTAGAAACGCCAAAACATCTAAAGACATCTCCAAAGTTTAAAGAACCTCTCGCCAGGAGACATACACAGGGTAAGTTGTACTGTCTACATCACCAGGAGACATACACAGGGTAAGTTGTACTGTCTACATCACCAGGAGACATACACAGGGTAAGTTGTACTGTCTACATCACCAGGAGACATACACAGGGTAAGTTGTACTGTCTACATCACCAGGAGACATACACAGGGTAAGTTGTACTGTCTACATCACCAGGAGACATACACAGGGTAAGTTGTACTGTCTACATCACCAGGAGACATACACAGGTTAAGTTGTACTGTCTACATCACCAGGAGACATACACAGGGTAAGTTGTACTGTCTACATCACCAGGAGACATACACAGGGTAAGTTGTACTGTCTACATCACCAGGAGACATACACAGGGTAAGTTGTACTGTTTACATCACCAAGAACCCTTCACACAGTGATATGTCAGGGTAAGTTGTACTGTCTACATCACCAGGAGACATACACAGGGTAAGTTGTACTGTTTACATCACCAAGAACCCTTCACACAGTGATATGTCAGGGTAAGTTGTACTGTCTACATCACCAGGAGACATACACAGGGTAAGTTGTACTGTTTACATCACCAAGAACCCTTCACACAGTGATATGTCAGGGTAAGTTGTACTGTCTACATCACCAGGAGACATACACAGGGTAAGTTGTACTGTTTACATCACCAAGAACCCTTCACACAGTGATATGTCAGGGTAAGTTGTACTGTCTACATCACCAGGAGACATACACAGGGTAAGTTGTACTGTTTACATCACCAAGAACCCTTCACACAGTGATATGTCAGGGTAAGTTGTACTGTCTACATCACCAGGAGACATACACAGGGTAAGTTGTACTGTTTACATCACCAAGAACCCTTCACACAGTGATATGTCAGGGTAAGTTGTACTGTCTACATCACCAGGAGACATACACAGGGTAAGTTGTACTGTTTACATCACCAAGAACCCTTCACACAGTGATATGTCAGGGTAAGTTGTACTGTCTACATCACCAGGAGACATACACAGGGTAAGTTGTACTGTTTACATCACCAAGAACCCTTCACACAGTGATATGTCAGGGTAAGTTGTACTGTCTACATCACCAGGAGACATACACAGGGTAAGTTGTACTGTCTACCTGACCAGTTTACACAGTGATATGTCAGGGTAAGTTGTACTGTTTACATCACCAAGAACCCTTCACACAGTGATATGTCAGGGTAAGTTGTACTGTCTACATCACCAGGAGACATACACAGGGTAAGTTGTACTGTCTACATCACCAGGAGACATACACAGGGTAAGTTGTACTGTTTACATCACCAGGAACCCTTCACACAGTGATATGTCAGGGTAAGTTGTACTGTCTACATCACCAGGAACCCTTCACACAGTAATAGGTCAGGGTAAGTTGTACTGTCTACATCACCAGGAACCCTTCACACAGTGATATGTCAGGGTAAGTTGTACTGTCTACATCACCAGGAACCCTTCACACAGTAATAGGTCAGGGTAAGTTGTACTGTCTACATCACCAGGAACCCTTCACACAGTAATAGGTCAGGGTAAGTTGTACTGTCTACATCACCAGGAACCCTTCACACAGTAATAGGTCAGGGTAAGTTGTACTGTCTACATCACCAGGAACCCTTCACACAGTAATAGGTCAGGGTAAGTTGTACTGTCTACATCACCAGGAACCCTTCACACAGTAATAGGTCAGGGTAAGTTGTACTGTATACATCACCAGGAACCCTTCACACAGTAATAGGTCAGGGTAAGTTGTACTGTCTACATCACCAGGAACCCTTCACACAGTAATAGGTCAGGGTAAGTTGTACTGTCTACATCACCAGGAACCCTTCACACAGTAATAGGTCAGGGTAAGTTGTACTGTCTACATCACCAGGAGACATACACAGGGTAAGTTGTACTGTCTACATCACCAGGAGACATACACAGGGTAAGTTGTACTGTCTACATCACCAGGAGACATACACAGGGTAAGTTGTACTGTCTACATCACAAGGACACATACACAGGGTAAGTTGTACTGTCTACATCACCAGGAGACATACACAGGGTAAGTTGTACTGTTTACATCACCAAGAACCCTTCACAGTGTGATATGTCAGGGTAAGTTGTACTGTCTACATCACCAGGAGACATACACAGGGTAAGTTGTACTGTCTACATCACCAGGAGACATACACAGGGTAAGTTGTACTGTCTACATCACCAGGAGACATACACAGGGTAAGTTGTACTGTTTACATCACCAAGAACCCTTCACACAGTGATATGTCAGGGTAAGTTGTACTGTTTACATCACCAAGAACCCTTCACACAGTGATATGTCAGGGTAAGTTGTACTGTTTACATCACCAGGAACCCTTCACACAGGGTAAGTTGTACTGTCTACATCACCAGGAACCCTTCACACAGTGATATGTCAGGGTAAGTTGTACTGTTTACATCACCAGGAACCCTTCACACAGTGATATGTCAGGGTAAGTTGTACTGTTTACATCACCAGGAACCCTTCACACAGTGATATGTCAGGGTAAGTTGTACTGTTTACATCACCAGGAACCCTTCACTACGAGATGTAGAATGTAAAACATCAGAAGTAATAGAATTTCCTCTCCATAACATAATGGTAAGAATTCTACGATAGGTATTGAGAAGTCTTTATCAACAGATAAGTCATTCAAATTCATAAATCTGGATCACCAAAAATGTAGATGAGGAAAGTTGTGGTAAATTAACCGTGTTGGTTGTTTTCAGAGTTACAGCTTTCTAGTTTAATAATTAATTGACTTTTTTCCCCTTTATTTTCATTTCAGAAATGCCAAGTTTAATTGTAAATGTCTTCCTTTTTAACTAACAGGTAGAGATTTTGACATCAAAATCATTTTGTCAATGCAGATGGACCTGGTCAAGGTGAACTGATCACTTTCACCATTGTAACCCCTTCCCCCAACTTTCTACATAAACTGGGATGGTATGACACTGCAGATAAGCATATTTTAGGATTAAAAATTTGTGAAACAAAAAGCCATTTGAATAAGCAGTTTCAGTTTATATATATAGCCTCAGGAGAAGTCGTCATGACAACTAATTAGATGTAAAAGTGTAGATATATTACAGAAGTACTGATCAACATACTGTAAATTTTAGGTATGGAAGAATATTGCCAAATAAGAAATTATAATTTTACTGATAATTTCCCACTGAAATATGATACTGAGATGTAGGGTATTGCTTTTTGTAGGTTCAATATAACACTGTGTATCAGGTTTTGCAAATATTTCAAATATTTTTCTGGACAACTTTTCTCAAAAACTTTATGCAGAAATGCTCAAAGTTTTCAAAGTGAAAGTTTTTGTTTACATCTGAAATTGATTTCTGAACATGTATTTGAAATTTGATCTGGTATAAGAAAAAGAAAATTTAATTCTGTACTTGGTGAATTTTTGTTAGCTAAGTGATAATGTTACTGGTTTATGATATTAATTAAATTTTATGTACCTGTAATCTCATATCAGTTCACATAGCATACCTGTCAGGTGTGATGTTGACAATCTGTCATTAATATAGGAGGTTAAGTGTTTATAGAGGTGTCAGTGTATAATGGACAGGAAATTACCACTGTTGAAAATGCTCAATCAATAACATATCGATTTCAGGCTGGTGTTCATTTCATTGTCTGAAATATATTCTTTAAATAATAGCTGCATTGTATCATGAATGAGATCTGTTTCAGACAACTAGCTGTTGTTTTTCCTTTCATGATGAAACAATTAGTGGTTGTGTAACTTGATTGAAGAAATAAATTTAGCTTAAATCTTTGAAGGGATGTCCAGTCTTCTTTACCTTCAACTTGGGAAAGAAGTGCTATGTTTTCAATCCTCTTTGGCATTGTTCAATCAGAAGGAATGCCTCAATAGTCTGTTCAGTTTGTATGATACAATATAATTAGTATAAGGGATTTTGGAATTTTTAAATAATCCCTTCACACTGTTTATAATGTTTACGCTGGCTATGGTTGTACTGCAATATACCAAGGGGCAAACTTGTACCCATTGACTCAAAAATAGAGAGGGTGGTCTTATTACAGGACAATGTGATGTAGGTTTCCTTTATTTTCCTACTGATACTGCAGTACATGTGAATGGCTGATTACTGATCAGGGGTTTGTTACCGGATATGAAAGTTATCTGCCCTTGCACTCAAACAAATATTAGATATGACCAAATATATCTATGATTTTTTTCAGTGATTTTGAAGTTTTTATTCCACAGGTTTCCACTTGATTATCTGCCCCAGAATCTTCTTTATTTAGTGTTTTCATTTTTAGTTTTAAAGCGTTCTTTTTTAATTGTTTTGTTGTAGATTTACAGTTTCCAGTGACATTTGACAATCAGAGTTCTCAGTATTCTGGGAAATGGCGGGGAGTGTTGATTGTATACGACTCGGAAAGAAGTAGTCGTGACCGGATACCACAGCCTGTGCCAGAAGGATGTTGCCCCAATCTCTTGTTTGAGTCACGGTTTGAGAGTGGAAACCTACGCCAAGCCAGGAGAGTGTATGTATCTGTTTTGCATAAATGATGTAAATAGTTAAAATGTTTCGTTGTCTGTTCAGATCATCAGGTAAGATCAGGGTAGTTTATTACTGTGAAGTGAGATCAGAGGAGTTAATCACTTAGATAGGATCAGGGGAGTTAATTATTGTGAGGTAAGATCAGGGGAGTTAATCACTTAGATAGGATTAGGGGAGTTAATTATTGTGAGGTAAGATCAGGGGAATTGATCAATATGAGGTAAGATCAGGGAAGTTAATCACTTAGATAAGGTCAGGGAGTTATTCATTGTGAGGTAAGATCAGGGGAGTTAATCAATATGAGGTAAGATCAGGGAAGTTAATCACTTAGATAGGATCAGGGGAGTTAATTATTGTGAGGTAAGATCAGGGGAGTTAATCACTTAGATAGGATTAGGGGAGCTAATTATTGTGAGGTAAGATCAGGGGAATTGATCAATATGAGGTAAGGTCAGGGAAGTTAATCACTTAGATAGGATCAGGGGAGTTAATTATTGTGAGGTAAGATCAGGGGAGTTAATCACTTAGATAGGATTAGGGGAGTTAATTATTGTGAGGTAAGATCAGGGGAATTGATCAATATGAGGTAAGATCAGGGGAGTTGATCAATGTGAGGTAAGATCAGGGGAGTTGATCAATGTGAGGTCAGATCAGGGGAGTTGATCAATGTGAGGTCAGATCTGGGGAATTGATCAATGTGAGGTAGGATCAGGGGAGATAGTCACTGTGAGGTCAGATCAGGGGAATTGATCAATGTGAGGTAAGATCAGGGGAGTTGATCACTGCGAGGTAAGATCAGGGGAGATAATCACTGTGAGGTCAGATCATTTAATCACTTAAATAGATCAGGGGAGTTGATCACTGTGAGGTAAGAACAGGGGAGATAATCACTGTGAGGTAATATCAGGGGAGATAATCACTGTGAGGTAAGATCAGGGGAGATAATCACTGTGAGGTCAGATCAGGGGAATTGATCAATGTGAGGTCAGATCAGGGGAATTGATCGAGGTGAGGTAAGATCAGGAAAGTTAATCACTTAAATACGATCAGGGAGTTATTCACTTAGATAAGATCATTGTGAGTTTAGATCAGGGGAGTTGATCACTGTGAGGTAAGAACAGGGGAGATAATCACTGTGAGGTAAGATCAGGGGAGATAATCACTGTGAGGTCAGATCGGGGGAATTGATCAATGTGAGGTAAGATCAGGGGAGTTGATCAATGTGAGGTCAGATCAGGGGAGTTGATCAATATGAGGTCAGATCTGGGGAATTAATCAATGTGAGGTAGGATCAAGAATTGATCATTGTGAGGTAGATCAGGGGAGTTAATCACTGTAAGGTACGATCAGGGAGATTCACTTAGATAATCACTGTGAGGTCAGATCAGGGGAATTGATCAATGTGAGGTCAGATCAGGGGAATTTATCAATATAAGGTCAGATCAGGGGAATTGATCAATGTGAGGTCAGATCAGGGGAATTGATCAATGTGAGGTAGGATCAGGGGAGATAGTCACTGTGAGGTCAGATCAGGGGAATTGATCGATGTGAGGTAAGATCAGGAAAGTTAATCACTTAAATACGATCAGGGAGTTATTCACTTAGATAAGATCATTGTGAGTTTAGATCAGGGGAGTTGATCACTGTGAGGTAAGAACAGGGGAGATAATCACTGTGAGGTAAGATCAGGGGAATTGATCACTGTGAGGTCAGATCAGGGGAATTGATCAAGATGAGGTAAGATCAGGGGAGATAGTCACTGTGAGGTAAGAACAGGGGAATTGATCAATGTGAGGTCAGATCAGAGGAGTTGATCAATGTGAGGTGAGGTAAGATCAGGGGAGTTGATCAATGTGAGGTAAGATCAGGGGAGTTGATCAATGCGAGGTCAGATCAGAGGAGTTGATCAATGTGAGGTAAGATCAGGGGAGATAATCACTGTGAGGTCAGATCAGAGGAGTTGATCAATGTGAGGTAAGAACAGGGGAGTTGATCAATGTGAGGTAGGATCAGGGGAGATAGTCACTGTGAGGTCAGATCAGCAGAATTGATCAATGTGAGGTCAGATTAGGGGAGATAATCATTGTGAGGTAGGATCAGGGGAGATAATCACTGTGAGGTAAGATCAGGGGAATTGATCAATGTGAGGTAGGATCAGGGGAGATAGTCACTGTGAGGTCAGATCAGGGGAATTGATCAATATAAGGTCAGATCAGGGGAATTGATCAATGTGAGGTCAGATCAGGGGAATTGATCAATGTGAGGTAGGATCAGGGGAGATAATCACTGTGAGGTATCAGACACAGGGCCCATATTAGATCAATGTTGTGTAGTAAAGTATCAGGGGACATCACAAGGTGTCAATAGTATACTATGTTGTGATTAGTATTAACACACAAGGCCCATATCAATAGTATACTATCATTGTGTAGTAAAGTATCAACACACAAGGCCCATATCAATAGTATACTATCATTGTGTAGTAAAGTATCAACACACAAGGTCCATATCAATAGTATACTGTCATTGTGTAGTAAAGTATCAACACACAAGGCCCATATCAATAGTATACTGTCATTGTGTAGTAAAGTATCAACACACAAGGCCCATATCAATAGTATACTATCATTGTGTAGTAAAGTATCAACACACAAGGCCCATATCAATAGTATACTATCATTGTGTAGTAAAGTATCAACACACAAGGCCCATATCAATAGTATACTATCATTGTGTAGTAAAGTATCAACACACAAGGCCCATATCAATAGTATACTATCATTGTGTAGTAAAGTATCAACACACAAGGCCCATATCAATAGTATACTATCATTGTGTAGTAAAGTATCAACACACAAGGCCCATATCAATAGTATACTATCATTGTGTAGTAAAGTATCAACACACAAGGCCCATATCAATAGTATACTATCATTGTGTAGTAAAGTATCAACACACAAGGCCCATATCAATAGTATACTATCATTGTGTAGTAAAGTATCAACACACAAGGCCCATATCAATAGTATACTATCATTGTGTAGTAAAGTATCAACACACAAGGCCCATATCAATAGTATACTATCATTGTGTAGTAAAGTATCAACACACAAGGCCCATATCAATAGTATACTATCATTGTGTAGTAAAGTATCAACACACAAGGCCCATATCAATAGTATACTATCATTGTGTAGTAAAGTATCAACACACAAGGCCCATATCAATAGTATACTATCATTGTGTAGTAAAGTATCAACACACAAGGCCCATATCAATAGTATACTATCATTGTGTAGTAAAGTATCAACACACAAGGCCCATATCAATAGTATACTATCATTGTGTAGTAAAGTATCAACACACAAGGCCCATATCAATAGTATACTATCATTGTGTAGTAAAGTATCAACACACAAGGCCCATATCAATAGTATACTATCATTGTGTAGTAAAGTATCAACACACAAGGCCCATATCAATAGTATACTATCATTGTGTAGTAAAGTATCAACACACAAGGCCCATATCAATAGTATACTATCATTATGTAGTAAAGTATCAACACACAAGGCCCATATCAATAGTATACTATCATTGTGTAGTAAAGTATCAACACACAAGGCCCATATCAATAGTATACTATCATTGTGTAGTAAAGTATCAACACACAAGGCCCATATCAATAGTATACTATCATTGTGTAGTAAAGTATCAACACACAAGGCCCATATCAATAGTATACTATCATTGTGTAGTAAAGTATCAACACACAAGGCCCATATCAATAGTATACTATCATTGTGTAGTACAGTATCAACACACAAGGCCCATATCAATAGTATACTATCATTGTGTAGTAAAGTATCAACACACAAGGCCCATATCAATAGTATACTATCATTGTATAGTAAAGTATCAATACACAAGGCCCATATCAATAGTATACTATCATTGTGTAGTAAAGTATCAACACACAAGGCCCATATCAATAGTATACTATCATTGTGTAGTAAAGTATCAACACACAAGGCCCATATCAATAGTATACTATCATTGTGTAGTAAAGCATCAACACACAAGGCCCATATCAATAGTATACTATCATTGTGTAGTAAAGTATCAACACACAAGGCCCATATCAATAGTATACTGTGCTGAAAGTCCATGGAGATTAAATCTGAAACTGTATCATTTTTCAAGCTTTTATACTAGATATGATTTGTTTGTTAACCTAATTTTATCTCTGATAGGATAAGTTATTGAAGAATCTTTTGAGTGATTAATAATTGATTGCCAGGAGTTGTTGAATATCCTGTCAGTTATGATTTACAACCAAACACAAATTATTGTATATGTCATGACAAGGAATACTCTTCAATCAATTTCTAATTTCAAATTTCTGATCTCTAACAATATTTCTGACTTAGTGCATGTCAGTAAATGAACATCAGTCACACAGCAAAACAAATTGATATATTAAATGAAAATTTGGCTCTGGTATGACTTGACAAATTGTATGAAAATGTTGGTGAAGACAAAATTATTACTGAAAACCTGAACAGAAATTGCTACTCATTAATAAATTTTATACCGTTGGAGGTTTGTTTTGAAGAATCAAGTAAATCAGAGTTTTTTATGATATCATTATTATTTTATAAAAATCATACACGAACTTCATCTATATCCTGTTGTTCCGGTTACAGAGGTCAGTTTGAATACGAGTTGGTGCTGAAAACCGACCTCCACACAAATCGTCACACACAGTGGTACTACTTCCGGGTACAAAATGCAGTCCCTGGAATTGTCTATAAATTCCGTATCGTTAACTTGTTGAAGAGGGACAGCCTGTATAACTATGGTGAGTTTCAGAGACTAAAATAAAGGACATACCATATTTATCCAACCCAGGGAGACAGCAGAGCAGCAAAGTAAAGAATTTTCTAGTAATGCCTATAAATAAGAGTAAGAGGTGGGCTTATTACCAGGCATTGGCTTATTACTAGTGCCTTTAAGCTTAATTACATGATTTAATTTGTTAGTCCAACCATCACCAAAACATATTGGTGAAGATGTCTCGATAAACAATACAGTGAATAGTTGTACCATATATAGGTCACTGTGACCTATAATTCACCCTCACTGATTTTGTTTGTTATAAGAAATTGTATTTTAGATATCAAATTATAAATTTTGACGTATATGAAGAGTATTTCCATACAACATAACAAAAATAGAATTTCTGTTGAGTTTCGTTTCCATCAATGTAGCGGAGAATTAGATATCATATATACACTTTCTTGTTGTTTTTGTTTGTATGTGATTTGTAAAGAACAGTTATAGGATGTCAGCTGCATTACTTCCTGCTTCAATAAAAAGAAAAGTTATGTCAAGTGTTTTATCAAAACATTTACATTGTAAAGTGCATATAGTTTGGGCTAAGTGCTTACTGACCTAAACTCACTGAAAAATCTCTCTTTGTTTAAAAAGAATTTTTTCTGTTTCAGGCATGCGACCTTTGTGTTACTCTGAAAAAAATGCTAAAACAAAACAGATTGGCTGGATTCGAGCTGGTCACCATATAAGGTAAAAATTCAAATAGTTGTTTAAGTTTCAAAGTTGTAATTTGTCTTATAAAATTGTTATTAACCAATTATACTACAATTTGAAAAATAATAAAATTTTGAATTTTATGTTCTAGTTGATTTTTTTAATGACATAGAATGCAATATTCATTCTTCTTTGAAATTAAAAAAATAAGACTTCTTGATTATAAGGTATTCAAATAACATTTTCAAATTAAAATTGTATGTATGTACTTGTGTTTTTTATTTCAGTTATTCACGCAATATCATGCATCTTCACTGCCCACTGCTTATGCGAGGAATTCCATACTATGAACTTGAATGGCAGATGGTAAGTGAAAAAGAGCACGTAATTGGTATCAAAAGTACTATAATGACAAAATATTTAGAAAAAGGGGTAGACAACTCTCACACTAATGATTGGAAAGAGTGAAGCTTGTTCTGATGTTGAATTTGTTTCCTTCCAAGCCTTCATAATAGTTCAAATCCATGGCATACACACATTAAAAATTAATGTAACTTAAATAGATTTTCATTTATAGGCAAACAACATACAAAGTTAAAAAAAACATGTAGAACATATGGAAGAGTTCTAATTAAGGGCAGACAATCCACTTAACAGTTAAATTGTATCAGTGGTTCTCCATTTATGCATTTGGAGGCACATCTGAACAAGGGCAGACAACTCTAAGAATGCCATGATTCACACAATAGAATCATAATTAATGGCAGACAACTTTTATAATATACAGATATATAACCAGTTTGGTTTTTCTTACATTAACATGTAAAATCTGACAATCTTTGCTTTGAATAAGTTTATATGAAAAAAGTAACATCAGTTTAATGATGCAAAATAAGATGAAATATGACTAGGTATGACAGAGTTATCAAATATTGGACAGTGATTTTTTTCAAAGGAAATGTTGAAAGGAATTTGACTAAAATAAAATTGTTAACACTGTTTGTAGAGTTTTCCCAATGAGGAGGACACTTATTACCTAGCACATTGTTACCCATACACGTTTACTGACCTCAAGGAAGACCTGGACGCCTTACTCAACTCACCCGAACGTCGTCAATGGATTCGAAGGGAAGTCTTGTGTGAGACTCGGGCTGGAAACAGCTGCTTTCTAATCACAGTCACAAACTTTGGTAAGAAAAATCTTTAGTAAGTTTACTAAGTCAATATAGAAATCAGCATGTTTGAAAAAGTTAAAATGGACAAAAATACTCTCAATTCTGTGGAAATGAAAATTTTGTTAGGATAATATCACTTTGAAAGGATTGTTTTAAGATTTAAGAATAAGTTGTCAACAATGTAATTATTTTAGAGGAAGAATCCAGATGCTTGGCTTGAATTTCATTCAAAGAATACAAAAAATCCTCCAAAATGTTCATAATTTAGAAAAATCCAATTCTTCGGGCAGAAATAGTCATATTTTTACAAGTACCTGCCCATCAGATTGTTTAGTAAATGTACAAAACGTCAGGCCATATATTTGTGCGTAGACAATCTGCGAAGGCACCCAAGCCAAACAAGTTCACTATTTGCTATTTCACATGTTTTGAAATGCATCAATGAAATAATTGATTAACTGTATAATTCATTGTGTTAAATGTTTCACTGACAGTCTTGATAAATTGCCCTCCGTTGTCTGGATAAATTGCCCTCCATTGTCTGTTATATCAATAAAGGTTGGCAAATAAGTAATGGTTACCACTTTGTAAGAAAGGGTGCGGCTTATATTCAAATCAAAAGAATCGCTGAAAAATGGCCTTGTGACTTATATACAAATGTCGCTTATAACCCGGAAAATATGGTAGTTTAAAACATGTGGTTATAGGGTTTGCAATTGTGAAAAATGTTTGACTCATTCTCAGATTTATTGTTTTAAACATGTATTAATTTCATAGAAATTCAAAGATATTAGCACGAATGCAACATAAACTTAAGCATTTTGTTGTAGGGGAGATAATCAGTTTGATCACATCGTTATCTGTACCTATTGATAAAAATGGAATTTATTTTTAGATAATTCCAAAGAAGAACAAGACACGAAGCAGGTGATTGTTGTGACGGCCCGAGTCCATCCTGGGGAATCACAGGCAAGCTGGATGATGAAAGGTCTTCTTGACTACATCACAGGGCCTGACCCTGGGGCCAAAGAGCTCCGCAATGTCTTTATTTTCAAGGTGGTGCCAATGTTGAATCCAGACGGTGTTATCGTAGGCAACTACAGGTGCTCCCTCGCCGCTCGGGATTTAAATCGCAATTACAGACATCCTAGGAAGGAAAGTTTTCCTACTGTGTGGCATGTGAAAAGTATGATGGATAAGGTCTTAGAAAGACATAATGTAAGTCAATCAGAATGCCCAAAAAACAATGGATTTCTTACATGTAGTCCGTTTCTGGTTTCTACGTTGTCAACTCTTTTAGTGATGTATACTGATGTTCTTTGAAAAGTACTATTAAACAGAGAGGTTCAAAAATCATGAAAAAATATAGAGTGAAACAAAAACATGTTTTCAGATCAAATATGATGAAGCACTGAAATTAGAAAACTAGAAACAATCAAAGACACAAAATCTATCAAATCCTCCCCTCCCCCTCCCACAATAAGATATACTGGAATCAGCTTGTCTGTCTGTCTGTCTGTCTGTCTGTCTGTCTGTACAAATGTTCATATGTATGCATGCCAAGGAAATTTGTCCAGAAAACTCCTCCTAATCTTTTAATGAAACAACACAGGCATGCTGGCCATCATGTGTAGATGTGCCATGCAGGGATTTTAAGCAGTAATTTGTGTTGCTGTGGTAACCAGGTCACTATAAACAGGTATCTATGTAATGACCATAACACATCAATCCTCTGATCAACTTTATTCAAACTTGGTCAAGTCATGTAATTATCAATGCCTGTAATATAACATATCAGGTGTTTCTAGAACCGTTACTATGGAAACAAGATGGAGGCTTCTGATTGTTAGAAAATGATATATTGTCTGATTGTGCTGTAAATGGATGTAGAAGGGTATTGAGGGAAGGCAGTTATAATGATACCACTTTCAATAACATCCGATGTCATTTGGTTGCTATGGTAATCACATGTGACCCTTGATTTGACAGATCTTTTCCAGACTTCTCCTTCTTATGCTATGGACCAATTTTAGTGAGACTACACAGGGATGTGTAGGTTTGCAGATGTACATGGGTTGCCATGGTAACCAGGTCACTTTACACATGTTTTCATATAATATGCATTAATTGTTAGTACTTTTTTTATTGATTGGATTTAAACTTGATCACATGCTAAAGCTAATTATAGCCTCTAACTTGTATTACCATGAAAACACATTGAAGGCTTCTGATTGGTTGAAATAAAGATAACTGATGAAATAGAAAATTGGTATTGGGATGACAAATACAATGGTACTGAAAAAAAAGGGTTGCCATTTGGTTGCCATGGTGACAAAATGGGGGTATTAGTCTGCAATCCTGGCAACAATTCTAGTTTAGTTTGTCTTTTATTTTGACAGAAGTCAAATTTGAGCTTACTCAGTGTTGAAATAACATGTACGATCAATTTCATGGTTGGGACCATATACATGTAGTGTTATTTCCGTCTGTAGTTCCATCATAGTTTTGTTTCTGTTTTAACATCTTTAGCTGATGTAGTTGTATAATGATAATTATGCAGGTCAAGGTTTGGTTGTTGTCAAATGATTTTTTCCACAATTATGGCCATTTAAACAGAATGAATTGTTAGTGTTTGTTATTTTTATTCTTGTGTTTGATTTTGGGTTAGACTAATCACAAAATTATAGCAGTTTTTGAAAGTTGATAAATATTGTCGGCTTCAAACTAGTTGACAGTCACCGTTGTGTCTATCGATATTCGCTGTTCATCACATGAACTTTCTACTGCTTTGTTATTAATTGCATATGCAAATACAATGTTTACACTCTGCGAATGATAATGATGTGTGTTAGTGTTTGGTCACTCTTATTTTACTTTAATTTCTTGACGTTTTTAATAAAAATGGTTATGCAAACATTCCAGTATTATAAAAAGCAGAAAGTACTTGAAACAGATATTTAATTTACCTGATAATAATGTTTTTTGTCTGAAAACCCTATCATTTAGTCCCACTAACTGTAAAAATTGTACTTAAAATTTCCACAAAACCAGTATAGTGAAATAAGTTGTAGAGCCCTACTGAAGTTTTTTGAAAATTTCAAAACACTTCTTACGAAAGTCAATGATAATGAAAAAGCTTCAAATGAGTGTTTAGTTGCCAACAGGGCATTTTACACTTTAATGATGTTTAAGATTATAATATCTAAGAAAATAAATATTCAATTTTGTATTGAATGGTCTTTTATAATTCAAATCTTTGTACATTGGCAGAAAATGTTCTGGAAAAGTTTTTTCAAAAATTTGAAATGGCTTTTGTTTATTTCACCCATAGATATTATTATATTGTGACCTTCATGGACACAGTCGGAAACATAACGTGTTTATGTATGGAAACAACACATCGCAGGACGGAGAAAACAACACTACTGGTGCTAAGGCATTCTTACAGGAGCGACTCTTTCCGTGGATCATGTCGCAAAAGGTGACACCCTTATACCCAGTGACCCCTTTTTAAACCGTCACTCTCTGTCATGTTTATATCAAAGTAGAGAAAATGTTAACTGGAAAAGTTAAAATATTTTTGAATAGAATTCATGCATGAAAAATTCTTTTATGTATTCAATGAACAATTAGTTTATAAAAGTTCATCGCTTTGTGTACATGAGATTGTGAAGTATTAATCCTAGTTATACTGTCACACAAAATGGACAGAAGTTATCTTATTTTCCTCTACGAGTCATGACATGTTTAATTTGATTTTTGTTTAAATAGTGAAATGTTGTTATCATAGATATGGTTTATTGGGGTTAGATATATAGTCAGAAAGTGAATTGAGGAAGTAAGTATATAGATCAAGTCAAATATACTGACCACAGTGATATTAACTGTTGTGTCATTTGAAGATGATTATCCTATTTCTTTTCAGGCTCCCGAGAAGTTTTCGTTCCAGTCTTGTAAATTCCAGATAAAGCGTTGTAAGGAAGCGACGGGACGTGTGGTGATGTGGAGGCAAATGCATATACTTAATAGCTTCACACTGGAAGCCACCTTCAGTGGGACCATCCTCAACAAGTCAGTTTACTTCTCTTATCTGTATAATTTCTTCATCCACACTCCCCCTACCCCTGTTTATTCAGGTTTCCATCTTTGAACTTGAACCTCCCCATCCACACTCCCCCTACCCCTGTTTATTCAGGTTTCCATCTTTGTACTTGAACCTCCCCATCCACATTCCCCCTACTCCTGTTTATTCAGGTTTCCATCTTTGAACTTGAACCTCCCCATCCACACTCCCCCTACCCCTGTTTATTCAGGTTTCCATCTTTGAACTTGAACCTCCCCATCCACACTCCCCCCTACCCCTGTTTATTTAGGTTTCCATCTTTGAACTTGAACCTCCCCATCCACACTCCCCCTACCCCTGTTTATTCAGGTTTCCATCTTTGAACTTGAACCTCCCCATCCACACTCCCCTACCCCTGTTTATTCAGGTTTCCATCTTTGAACTTGAACCTCCCCATCCACACTCCCCTTACCCCTGTTTATTCAGGTTTCCATCTTTGAACTTGAACCTCCCCATCCTCACTCCCCCTACCCCTCCCTCCCACTGCATTTGTTCGTTGGATATTTCTTGAACTTCATGATGAGTATAATTAATATTTCAACTTTTGTATCAAATTTGACCGTGACCTTCAGAAGTTGTCAAGGATTTCTTGATAGGGAGTATGTTATGTTCCTTCTGTATTCATTTAGTCTTCAGGAATTTTCTTCCTTGTATAAGTTGAGTAGGAAAAAGAAAATTTTATTGTAACTTGGTGATGTACTTGATGGAAACTTTGATTCTGTTACAGGTCTGAACCACGCCACTTCAATGTGGCGGACTTCTTGGAGATGGGACGTGTTCTTTGTCAAACGGTGCTTGAATACCATATAACTCAGGAAAACAAGGCGTGAGTATAATACATCTGGGGATGAAGTGTGATACATTTGGGGTTAATTTTCTTGTTATATGCGAGATTACTAGGATTTATATAAAGCACCAGAAATATCAAACACCTCTGTGTCAAATGTTAGTATTCACCCTCATAGCTAAGTTTTCACCCTCATACCTAAGTATTCACCCTCATACCTACGTTTTCACCCTCATACCTAAGTATTTCACCCTCATACCTAAGTATTCACCCTTATACCTAAGTATTCACCCTCATACCTAAGTATTCACCTCATACCTAAGTATTCACCTTTATACCTAAGTATTCACCCTCATACCTAAGTTTTCACCCTCATACCTAAGTATTCACCCTCATACCTAAGTGCTCACCCTCATACCTAATTATTCACCCTCATACCTAAGTATTTCACCCTCATACCTAAGTATTCACCCTCATACCTAAGTATTTCACCCTTATACCTAAGTATTCACCTTTATACCTAAGTATTCACCCTAATACCAAAGTTTTCACCTTTATACCTAAGTATTCACCCTCATACCTAAGTATTCACCCTCATACCTAACCTTTGGCCCTATGTATATATTTTGTATGTATTGGCCAATGAGCTTACCTTTTAGGCTGGAAAGGGTTAAAGAAGGTCATTTCCATTTACTTCATGATAGAAAAATCTTAAATTATTGATATTCATTTATTATCGAAATCATCAAATGTTTTATCATTATGATGTTCCTGTTTTTAAGTTTGATTATTTTTTGGAGAGATATCTCAAACTGTGATGATAAGTTTAACAATAAATCCAAAGGCCTAAGGGATATAGCTAGTTTGTAATTCCTCCCAGATTGGTTTTAGTTTCAGGAGAAAGAATGAGCTAGGTTATGGTATTCAACTGTAAACATGCTTTTATCTGTTAACAGAAAGCAGACAGACATGGTGTTAGAACTGACACGGTTCGTTACACATCAGGTCCTTGAGCAGAAGGGTCTCGTCAACAATCCTGTACGACTACCACAGTTGAAGGGGGTGCAAGTCAACAATGGCGAGAAAGTTCTCTCAAATGGTGATAATGGTATGAATCAAACACTGGAACTCATTAGACTTTTCATAAATAAATATATCATTATTTTAAATGCAGGTCACAGTGACCTAAATTTTCTTTTTACTTATTTGGTAAGACTCTATTTGGCTTTTTTTCTTTACATTTTGCTCTGTTGTCATAAAATTGATATTGATGCATTAGGGAATTTTTTACCACAATTTTTAATTCAAAAGAAATTGTTACATACCCAAACCTGTTAATCAAGATTGATTTTTTTTGCACTTTAACCAAAGATATATTGCAATGTTTGTTGTATTGAGCTTATTTGCAAGGTATTCATTTTATTACATCCTAGAAAATAGCAAAAACGAAATCTCCATGAATATAATAACCCTTGGAGGATTTTGTATGGTTTTGTACTACACCATAATTCTGAAAATTTTCAATTTCCTTGCAGAGGTCAAGGTCACTATTCTATTTTTGGACTACAATACTTGATCTGGTGGTGGTGTAGATTTAAACTTTTTTTCCTTTGTTTTATCCTGTTAGGATATATTTCAGATTCTGGAATAGTTCAAGGCGTTGAACCTAGTCATGAAATGTGCCACCCTCAGTTTGAAATGGGATCAGACTCTTTACGCGAAGCCATTGTTTCGTATCTAGGACAAGAAAAATCTGTATCAAATGAGGAAGTGAAAAAAGACAAAAAACAAAAAGTGAATGGCAGCAAAACCCAGCAGGACACTTCCAAAAATCACAATTCTGGGAACCTCAGTCGGAAGGAGGTTGACAATATGATAGAGTCGGCCTCTCTGAAGACAATGGATGGTTGCCTGAAAATTCTTGCCCAATTAAATGTTCGGGAAGCAATACCAGATTCTGAGTGAGTAGACATTGATTTTTTCTATCAAAATATTACATGAAAATAAAATAAAATTGATAGCATACTATTTCCATTTTGAATTATCTTAGAGGGCCATTTTACATATAAAGGTAACTGATTATCTTGATATTTAAACTCAGAAGATGAGATGGATCAAAGATAACAGACTGCCTTTAATTTTTCGTAGTTATAACTGATGTTTCATTCATTTATCAGATATGTATTGATAAATCTAATGAATTAATTTGAAAAGTTACTTAGTAAAAATCTTTGAAGATCTCTGCAACAAGAAACTAAGAAACAAGTTTACTATTTACATTGGTGTGGAGAGGGACACCACTACTAACATATCTGTCCTTATTTAAAGCAGTTGTGTTTGGAGGTTTACAAGGTTTAAAATTCTTCTTTATCCTTAATCAAATCAGTTCAAGTGACAGTGATAGTGAATCTGAAGCCGAAATGAAAATCGTGGACTCCAAATCAAAGAAAAAGAAACGAAAATCTAGGAAACAGCGAGATAAAGAACAAAATGATCGAAAAGGTGGAGGTTCTGGAAGTTCAGAGAAGAAGGAAGAACGATCCAAGTCCCTTTCGGTGAGTTATCTTTGTCATTAACGGAATGATATATGTGTTGTGGATGTATTTTACAATACTATATGGAATGTGATATATTTTGTTTTGTGTTTTAGTGTTGTATACCTATATAAAGTAGATATTGTGTTGTTTTGATAATATGAAATTTAACTGGGTTTTCCTGCATGTATCCACACCTTAGGTAAATGAGAAATTATGAATAAACATTTTCAAAGATGCATATGATGCTATCACTTCTGGATTTTTTTAAACATATTGATATATATGTCTTTTGTGAAATAAGCACATAGTTTCATGGGAACAAATATATTCTATCTTCCTTTCCATATATAGACTTTGCATTCAGATATATGAGTTTGTACAGCCTATAAAACATAACTTGGAAAGTCCTGTTGTTTTGTGCTTTGCAATTCGCTTATATGGTTTGGATGCCTCTGGCTTTGCTGTTTCTCGTATATAAAACTCACCAGAATTGTTTTGCAGGGAAATTTGTTTTTATATTGATCCAGAAATCCAAATACACTTATTTTATCAATCTTTATTTGTCTTTTTTCTGATCTGAATGAGAAATTGGTTTAAACATTTATTGGAGAAATGGAAAACAATTGCAAAAACATTTCCCAAAGAATTGACAACAGATATTCTCATAGGTGACAAATTTTATCTCCTAGCATGCAACATGTTTCCAATGTAACAGAAACATACATGTGGTAAGTTGGTATCATAGAGCCATATATATCAAACAGTTTAGGGTAGTCTCCCTTTGCTTGCACTGTTCATATCAAATTATATTATGTATATATCCATGCACAAATATATATGGAGCACTTACATTATATGAATAAACACATGTCAATTTTTAACTTTCTCTTTTTTTACTAATTTTTTTCTGTTACTAGTTAAAATATTTTAAAATATTCTTAAATTAGGACTACCATACCAGTGTGGGATGTGGGTGGGGACATTTGTAAAAATATTTGCATTCATGATTGTGCCTTTTCAAGGATGTATTAAGTTATACAAGTCTCTGGTCTTTTCCACTTTTTTTTCTTTGTCACTGATGAAGTCAATGTCCAAGAGCAAAACAAAATCTGTGTTTCATAAATACATTGTCAGTGAGAAAGTGAAAGGGAGATGATTGACTGAAAGTGATAAAACAAAGGGAGATAATTGACTGCAAGTGATAAAACAAAGGGAGATAATTGACTGCAAGTGATAAAACAAAGGGAGATAATTGACTGAAAGTGATAAAACAAAGGGAGATAATTGACTGAAAGTGATCAAACAAAGGGAGATAATTGACTGAAAGTGATCAAACAAAGGGAGTTAACAAATATTGTAATATCAAAAGAAGATAACATGTGCTTATTTTTAAAGGCAAAAAAATGAAGACTTTAAAAACAGATAGCTGATATTTGGTTTTGAATAAACATCATGATTTTTTGGAAAAAGGGAGACAATTGGTTTCAAGTATTAGAAGAGGGAAACATGATCATATTGGAAAATAAAAAATTAATACTTAATTAATTTAATTTGCATTGTCATAGTAGCAACTCTAACATTGAAATATTAGATTTCAGTGTTTCTGATATTGTTAATGTATCAAACATTGGTATCATCATAAAACAGGTGGGCAGAGAGCGTCCTATTATAAGAGCATATAAGCTTCTGGCAACGGCACAGGTAAAAACAACATTGTTAACTAACGAGTCACAGTGTAAAACGTCATACAGGTAAAAACAACATTGTAAACTAACGAGTCACAGTGTAAAACGTCATACAGGTCACATTGAGCAGTATCACCATGTGTGTGTTTCCTTGTTACAACAGCACCACATACTTCTATCATGGACACAAAGCATGTCCTGTTATTTATTTCCAGCTAATCTGTTGAATTAATTAATCACACAAAAATAGGAATATTAACTCTCTTTTTGTCTTAATGAAAAATCCCAGAATCTTAGTTTTGAAGGGTTTTTAAATGTTTTTCTGAAAGCTCATTACACCAGATGTTACTTTTATCAAGATTTTTGATGTTTAGTCTCCATGCTGATGGAAAAGATCATGTCAGAGAACTATTTCCTAGCAAAAACGACTAAGGAGGGTAATAACTAAACATTTACTTGATTTTATGCATAAGCATTTTTAAAGTTCAGGATAAATTTCAATTTCTAGGACAAATTACTTTTTATCAGTTGTTGTAGTTTTTATATCATCTCCTAAGTTAATTTTTTTTCATGTCAAGATTTTATCCCTGTTTATTGATTGATTAATTCATTTGTTATTTATTTTTAATTTTTTAATATGTCTGTTTAGTTGTTTTATTATCTTTTTTGTTTTCTCTTGTATCACACAAAATGATAAATCATATGAATCTTTAAGTCAAAATGATTATTAAAAGTTCAACATGTGTTGTATTAGCAGCAGAATGTTGTACATTTTCCATTGGTTGTGCTGCTCATGTGACCTTACATGTCACTGTGTCATCACAAAAATTAAAAAGGTCAAAGGGCAAACTCCTGACTTAATCCTGTGTGAAAAACAAAAGACTTACAGTGGCATAGAAGGGAGACAATTTGTAATGTTATTGTAACATATTCATGTTGGTGTTTATTAAAAATTGACAGGAAAATAATAAATAGCTGATTTTAAACCCTGATAAAAAAAATTAACTGAAATAAAGGGGAATAACTCAAACATGAATAACAGGGGTTAAATTGATGAAAACTAATACAATTATTTTTTAAAACTGAGGTTTTCTGTGTTAATAACTCAGGGTACGTAGTTTACTCCTTAAAATTTCCTTCCCGGTAGATCAGTGTTTTTCCCAAAATGAGATAAAAAGGGCGTTTATCAAATGAATGGAAAAAAACCTGTATTTTTAGAATGGAACCCAAAATAGGAAATCAAATCTTTCAAATTGTGTTGTTAATTCAAATTCCCTAGAGATGATACTGCACATTTCTGTGCCTTCCTTCTCTTATAATCAGTATCAATGATTAAACCATAATATTTCAGCAGTGATGCATACAGGATGAGAGATTCACTTCTTCATCAAACAAATTCTAAAATCCGAAACATTTCCACAGTGTGATTCAAACACGTTTATATGGTTATTTTATTTGGGATTAAGCCAAAGGAAAGCAGCTCTGTAATGGCTGTAGGCTGTTATTTATAGTAACTGAGGGTCATGCTTCTGAATGGTGAAAACATATCATTTTTCACCAATTAAGCCCCACCCATCTTTTATTTCAAATATGGTAACTGTGTTCCTGAAAATGCTGGCCACGCAAATGCTGGTTGATATTATTAACCTTTTTGCTTCTAGTTAATCCAGCATGCAAATTTTATGTAACCAACGATAATTTCAGTAGCAGAAAAACTTCACAACAGGCTTATTTTGGCTATATACAGCAGATGTATATCACTTCAGAGAAAACTGGATCAAGACATTACTAATACAGTGGTGTAATGTTAATCTATATTGATTCTGACCCGCCCAGTTAATGACAAAACACTAGGTATACCATGTATAAGTGTACTGCTTATAACCACCATGCGTGATTAGCAAACAGGAGCTGAATACTGGATTTAAACAGCTTCTAGATTTCCAAAATAATTTCACTTTTTTTTTTTTTCATAAAAGCAACTATTCAAATAACAAATAACAGGCTTCCGGTAATTTTTATAGAATATTAATTGACTGAACTGATTTCTCCAAATGAATTCAAGCCTTGCTTTATTTAACTAACTTTTTTTTTATTTAAATTTCATGATGTTTACAATTTAATAATATTGTTATAAGTTGTGTTTATATAGATAGATTAAATAGTGATAGTGTCAGGTAAAATAATTCCTACAATGGATATGATTAGATAACATCATTTTTATCATATTTAAAACATTTTTATTTTTAAATAAGTGATTATCAGATAAATTATTTTTGTAAATTCATATTTAAACACAAGTACAAAAGAAACAAGAAAGAATTTTTTCTATTATTAAAGTAGATGTTGGATGTTTTCATTTTACTGTTATTTTGATTGTTTTGTTGTAAAAAAATGAAGTTGTTACTATGTCCCTCTAGCTGATGCGATCTGCGTTTCTATTGGCTAATTGAAGCTGCTTCCGTCCTCTTATCTGTTTGATGATGATTGGTTTGATTTTGTTGGGCTCAGGTGTGTTTCCTCCCTTCCCTAAGTCCTCATGTGTATTTAATAAGGTTTTATCTTATATCCTAAACATTATTTATTCCAGCTCCAGAGAATGAAATGTTTGTTAACTGTTAATGCAGAAACAAATTGTCCTTGCATCTGAAAAATTATGTGCCTTTAACTCCCAAAACATTCCCAGTGCAAAAAAATGCAAAAGTATCCAGAAAATTTTTAAGCCATTAACCCATCATTAAAAAACTAAATTTGATGTCCTTAGTCTTTTTTTTTTTGTTCCACCAGAATTCCACTTTATCTCAAAAGGGAATTACTTCAACTTTGTCAAAGCATGTTTTTAACTATTAGCACAACATCCACTTATGTTGTTTTCATATTAATTTGCATGTTATTTACATATTCATGATTTTGACCTTTGACCCCCATTGGCTTTTTAACCTACAGGCCTTGCCCACTATTACATGTTCTGATGCACTTCACGACAACCTGGGTCACTCTGTCAATCAAAAAAAGCAGGTAAGTTTCTGTCAGGTGTTACCTTAGTTACAAAAAATGATTTTTTTTAACTTTTGCAGTTCTGGATATTTTTCTTGTAGATTTAGATAAAAAAACATTATCAAGATTCAGGAATGTGCAGTTACTCACAGGCATATCAGAATATAAGAGTTTCTCTATTGTTTTTTTTCCATTTGATATAAAATCATAGGCAAGCAATAAGCACAACATTTGTTGTTCGATTTTAGGTTTCTGGGATCTTTGTGCATGTAAAATTGTCCTGTAAATTTGTAATGTCATGTCTATTTTAAATGCTGGATAATTTCTGTGCTTTGATAGAGAGATTGAAAAAAAAAAAATCAAATGATATTTAGAAAGGATATACAAAGGGAGATATCTTCAAAAAATTGAGATTCTGTGTTGATATGAGCTGTAACAATACACATAACTGGCAATATACTACATATTCCAGTATGATGCGTACAATTTGATAACTATCACGATACCTGTGTATGTGCACAAGATTAACTTTATAAGGATTAAGTTCACAACAAAGGGAGGTAATTATGATAAAGGAAGATCAGTTTTACAACAAAGGGAGATAATCATTATAAAGGGATATCAGTTTTACAACAAAGGGAGATAATCATTATAAAGGAAGATCATTTTTACAACAAAGGGAGATAATCTTAATTAGGGAGATCAGTTTCATTAGAAATGGAGGTAATCTTTAAAAAGTTAAGACTATCTTTTGATTAAATCAGATGTTTTAGAGCCCCAGTGTTGTTTCTCACTCACAGAAATAAACATCTAACCTTGTTAAATCATTCGTCATTACTTGCACATCTTAATTTTGCCTGTGTTGTGTCTCTGTTATGATTTGTACATCAAATTGTTAGCTAGTATTATTAATAGCATTAGTTTAGTTAAAATTGCTACTTATATTGCTTCAAATATTAAATTCTAAATCAGAAAAATTATTTTTGGTTCATGTTTCTTTCAGAAAATATTCCTTATTATAAATATGAGAGATATGAAAAAGGTAACAGCTGTGAATTTCAAGTTCAAAAAGTAAAATCAGAAATCATGATGTGATCTATAATTGTTGTAAAACCAGTTTAGCTTTCTGTGGAGATAAGCAATAAGGGAAAAATTTTCTCTCACAAAAATATCAAAACACACTTCCCACATTGTTGATGCTGAATTATACAGCTTTGCATGATAGCTGTGACAGAATTATACAGAGTCGTTCAATGTGGCTACATCAGACAGTAGTGCTTTTTCTGTGGATTGAAACAGTTGGAGAGAAATGCTTGTGAATCATTTATTTTGGGAATAGTGGATTTTTACTCAGTTCTTTTAGATATCATATAGTCCACAGATAGATGTGCTGTTTTCTAGCTGTTAAAACATGTCAACAATTGGCTTAGATTACTTAATGAAAATTAAGCAATTAGTTCAATTAAGTATTGTTATTAATGAGAGAATGAATTGTGTCCTATTTTAAAGACTGACCAAACAACTTAGGCTCCCATAACAAAAATGTTAGATCCCTTTTATTTAATGCTATCTGTTAATGTATGACAGTTTTAATTTGAGACAAAAACATGTCAGCCATTCTTAACTTGTCATCTATACATATTGTGATACAATGTCAGTAATGTTTTACTTTTTAGTTTAAGATATGATATTCAACAAATGTTGAAGGTTATGAAGTCTTTAAACTTCAAATTCAACCCCCAACCCCACCGCCATTCCCCAGGTGTCAAAAGAAAATATTTTGAAATGATTTTGATTGCAGTTTGAACCATTCAAATGTTCCAAGTGTATGGTAAGCTGTAGACCCTGAGTGCCATAGATACACTTGTAGATGTTTTATCTCTTCCTGAGGAGTAGTTTTTTCACTAAGAAAAGAATATATCAATATTTCCATTTTTCAATATTTTTACTCACCAAATTTTCCAGTTAATATTTTGTGTAGGATTAGAAATATCTATACAGAAATTTATTTTCTATGGTATACGGTGTGAACATTTTCTAGTTATAGGTTGCTAATTTTAAAATTGTATTTGTATTCAGATACTAATATAATCGACAGAACATTTTTTTATTTATTTGATTGAACTTGACTAGCAACATTTCTAAGCATCCCATGAAACACGGACTTGTTTGAAATTTGGAATCTGGTAGAGAGAGATTCTTATTGATTCTTGTCATGGGAGATTGTTCTCTGCAAAATAGTGTTGTTATACTTTCACAAAATCCCTGAATTGAAGATTTCATGAAGCGTAGAGATCTCATTTTTACTTTTTCTTTATCTACACTCTTCAGTGATGTTTCAGAGTATAAAAAAATCATCCAGATTAACTTTCATCTTTTTGGTTGGTAAACCAAATTCTTACCTAAAGATCTAAAGTTTTTTGGAACTCTTTTACAATGGAGGCTAATTTCATTAAGGTAGCAAATGTCTTTAAATTTTTTTGTTGTTTTTTTACAACAGATTTTTGAAATTGTGTTTTATCATAAATATGAAACGTAAATAAACATATTTTTATTTCGCTATTTACTTTTTTCTAGGTTCTTCTTACATCATTTTAAATATTTTTCTGACACATATATTTACCTCTTAGTGTATTCATTATCTTACCTTAACATAACTCACACAACTCTTATATTGCACTGTGTATCCATTAATCAAATGAAATATTTTAATTGTGAAACTAAAATTTAAAGTGGATTGTACTATGTTATACATGTTGACTTCACTTTATTCACAGCCAAGTCAGCACAAGACTTGTTAGGTGCCTTATTGTCTGAAATATTCAAGGAATATTTGAATCTCTTAAAGCTGTTCATGACTTCAATTTGAAAATATAGGAGATGGATCAGTATATTTCATTTGACATTTGAAAGTATTTCTGAGATAAATTTTTATCTTTGAAGACTTATTGATCGAAAAAATCTCCTTTTTTTCAGGCCTTATTTTTACTGAAATTATACTTCTGAATGAATCCTTATTTAGTATAAAAGATGAGAGAGAAAAATCTTAAAGAATAGGCTTCAATTGTAAATGAATATTGATGTATTGGGATCAATTTCTATACAAACATATTTTGTTATTGAAATGTTGAATTCTGACTCCATTTTGTCTTCAGCCTTCAGTTTGTATACACAGACCTAAGGTTTGTTATCATTTAGACAATAAAAACACATGGTAGTTGCTGTGTCTTATCGTCAACACCTGAACATGTTCTACAGGTCACACACCTGTATCTGTTTACACCTGTTGTTACTAACGACCATCAGTAGCAGATCTCCATGTTGTCAGGCCCTACTCTGGTTTCTGTATCACATTCTTGCACTAGTTTAAGAAAGCATTCTGTCAATAAAAAAATATTGATTCAATAATTTTTCAGTTTTACTAAATCAACAATTGTCAACTTTTTTTAAAAATATTTTTGACAAATTTTGAATATGAATATATTTTCATTGGTAAAAATTTTGATTTTCACTACTCTTGAGTTAAGTCAATACATTGCACAACAACCTCATTTTTCTTGAAAAAAAAATTAGGAATCACCTACTGCAGACTGTGTTGCTTAAGAAATGAAACTTCTTGGCACCCTGTAGCTGTGCTGTGATATATTGCACCTATGTGACAGACAGCACACTTCTCTCACAATTTGTGTCTGTAAATAATCCCAGATTTCAGTTTATTTATGAAATCAAAATAATCCATGGAAAAATCAGTATTATAAATATAAGTTTAGACAATAATAAAATAAATTAATAAATAAATATAAATAAAAACAAATACAAAGGAAAAATTATTGTGAAATTTGAAAATATGATAACTAGATTTCTTTTAACTGTAGACATTCATTTAAAATATGAATATTTCAGATGCTGAATCGGGTTTGCTCTATGCCATTCTGGTCTTGTATAAGACCTAAGGTAGCTCATGAATGCATTTCAACATCTATTCTATTTAAACGATCTATTTTGTTGTTACATTTGCTTTTATAACAAACATACAAATTTTATGTTGTATTTGTGTACATGTAAACTCAGGAGTCATGGATGCAGTTTAAAGCTAGCTTTTTTTTATGGTGATAAGTTTGCATGCATGATTGATAAATAAAATATTTATTTTATTTTCATTTGATGTTTTGCTTTAAAGTTTCATATATAGTTTGGTTCTAAATGTTACATTTTGAAAATAAAATTTTTCTTTTTCTTTTTTTTTTTCCAGTTTTGGATATCATATCCCATACCATATTAATATTTGTATGAAAATTTTTGTTTAGATATTATAAGATTTTCCTGCAGTAAATAAAATAAATGTGATAGTCAGGATACTTTTATCTGTTCTGTATTGTATGAAATAAATTTCATTAATTTCATTTCGTTGAGTAATGCAGAGAAATATTTTCTCTAAACTTACCAGAATATACATCATATACACCAACACAACTTCGTGTGATTGAATTTAGTTGAAGATTCTAAAATGTAATTGGATTAAGAAAAGAAGCTATGTTCTATATATTTCTTGTGACTTTGACAGTTAGTCATAGCATCAATAAGAATCTGATATCCTTCACACATTTGTATTCATTTTTGCTTTAAAGAATTGAACAGGGCTTGCTTGAATAGAATCTGTTGAATTATTCCATCAAACAAAGGGCTTTATGAGCTCTAATATATAAGCAGTTTTCCCCTTGAGAGGGTTATTGATTCATAATAAATTAACATGTAATTTTCAAATTCACAAAAAATAAAACATGCTTGATGAAATGATGTAAACATGAAAATAGAATTACATAGAAGTCAAAGTTAACTTTAAAAGATCAGACTCTTTTGGAGAATGAGGTTCAGAATATTATCATAAACAAGATTATGTCCTTAACACAGAAAATAACAATGTTAGGAATATATTTCTATTTAATTATCAACTTTATCAAATATTATATTTGTAAATAAAATAATTTGATTTTCATCATAAAAAAGTTACAAAAGAAATGATAAAGATTGATTCAAAGTGGGCACATGAAATTTAATTTGTAATATTGATGAGTGATTTCAATTTTCTTTGATTATTTTCTTTACAGTCTAGTGCTAACCTAGAGAAGTATATGCGAGCTCAAAAGAAAGATGCTCCACATTTTGTCAGCAAGTATGAGGGACGAAGAAATGGAGGGATCCCCTGTTTCTCTGAAGAAAGAAGTTTAGAAAGAGCGGCTAAGGTTTGATCATTGAATGGATAAGAATATGGAAATTGTTTCAAAAATCACCAGGAAAAAAAAGAAAAAGAATTTGATTGTCATATGCTTCAAAAAATGTAAATTCTGCACTTTGTAATGTGGCTGTTAAACATTTTGTTAATGCTCTCTATTAAAGCAGTATATAAGTTGAAGTAAAATACAATTTTCATTCATGAAAGAAAAACAATTAGCGAAATGGTTTTTTTTTTCATATTCTATTTTTCAGATGTCATATTTACTAAAGTTTTTGGAATATGGAAACATTTTTTATGAGAGGGTTTCTTTCAAAATTTTTAAATAATTTTTTTTTTTAATTTAAAAACAGAAAAGCATTCATACAAATAAAAAGAATAATAATTGCTGTTGAATGTTTTCAGAGAATGGCAGAAATGAAGAAAAGAACAGAAGAGGAGAAGAGAAGAGAAATGGCATTCTTTGTAAGTATTTTCTTCTGTAACAGGAAATTTATTCTAAATCAAAAATGGTTTGTAAAAAGATACATAAGTATGGTTTTTAAAGTTTTTAGGAGTTAATTTTTCTGATCTTATAGCAAAAAATTAGGTTCCCGCGGTGTTATGTATTGGAAATATGCAGCAGTTTTATTCATTCCTATATTAAACAATATTGTAAGGATTTGATTTTTTCCTTGTAATGGTACCGATTTCTTCTACTGATAAATGTAAGAAAATCAACAAAATATTTCTTTTTTACCTGAAACAAACCCTACATTTAACTCTACAAGTTCTTTTTAACTATCACAACTGAAACACTTTTCTTCATCAAACTTCAGCATTGAATCTTAAAATATCTGTTGCATCTGTCACATGATGGCAACAATACCATATTGTTTCTATTAATCACCTCAAGGGGATGACAAATTGTCACAAAGACTTTATAAAGAAAAACAAAACAAATCAGGACATTTTTGCTGATATAATTGATGGCAGATTCTCAAGGAAAGTGGAAAATTATTTAAACAGAAACGGTAATCATGTTTCGATTTTTGATCGTGAATTCTCAAGGAAAGTGGAAAATTATTTAAACAGAAACGGTAATCATGTTTCGATTTTTGATCGTGAATTCTCAAGGAAAGTGGAAAATTATTTAAACAGAAACGGTAACTAGAATCTAGATGATAGAAACAATGTGGAAGGTTGTGTCTGTTGCATGCTTCCTTTCCAATGTAGATCTAGAGTTTAGGAGGTCAGGTGCATGAATACTTAGATAGAACCATTTCACACAGTAAAGGTTAGGAGAGTAAAACATGTTTTATCAATTTTATAAAATAAAAAAGTCGTTTGACGTTTTACAATAATGGTGCTTGTTGTAGATGTTCATACCAAATACATGTACAGGTAAATATTTACAAAAGACATAAAAGGTTAAGAAATAAAAAATTATATAAAAATATTTATAAAAAAAAAATAGAAAATATGAAAAAAAAACTAAATAAGTGAAAAAAAAATTGATTGATTACCAAATTCCATGAAATCTTGAATTGAACAATTTATATCAAATTTGACTGTTTAAATGAATAAGATTTTAGAGAAGAAAAGGTATATTATATTTGTAAGCCAGTGTAGAAAATAATGATATATTATAGTGTTTTACAAGTCTTTTTCTAACTTGAAGTTGTTTTGAATACCAGAATATCTCAGTTCAGTTTCCATTTCAGATAAAAACCAAAAAATATACTAAAATTGAGCTTCTTGAGGCTATAACTGTTAAGAAAAAAACCAAGGTGAAAATTTTAAGTGGGCTTATATTAATGAAATAGAAAAAGAAATCATTTCATTAGAACAATTACTGTGAATAAGCCTGATTTTAATTGGTGTCTACTTTAGTCTTGTGACCCGATGTGGGAATATCTGGATAGAACTCGACCAACCACAGTTAACGTGAATAATCTTATGGATCACAATGTAGGTTAAGCATGTGTGTACGGTGATGGGGTCAAAGGTCGCTTCCTGTTTTACAGGCATGAGGGAGGTTTTAGAGTTTAATCATGTAGCGTTTTAAAAGATACATTTTGTTTTCTATAAGAATACTTTGTTACTTGTTGGTTTGTCTTGAAAATGGATATCAGTCCTGTTGTACTTGTGCAAATAAAAAGATTTTTTTTAAACATAATTATGATTATGTAATTTGTAATCAGAAATAGGTTGGTACAATTTGTTGTACTAATTTGTTTTTGAAGAATGGCTTTCAATGTCAATGTGTGTGAGGGATTTGGATATCGTCTTGTATTTCATAATTATTTTGAATGTGATTAATCAATGTTTGGACAATTTTATGTCTAAAAGTTTACTTTTTGCGTACATTGATTTTCTTCTTCTTCAATAAGAAGCTGTATGAACTTACATTAATACTTCCAAGTGAATCTGTATGATAAGTGGATAAGGAAAATGATGAGAAAATGTTTAAACTCATTTCTTAAAATATTGTTTCTTCATTGTGGATCAATTTATTACCATTTTCATGTTTTTGTTTTCTAGAAATCATCATTACAAAACTATTTTCTATATCCGTTTACTTCTAAAAATAAAAGTGTTTAAAAATAGATGTAAATTAGAGATTTTGAATATATGTCGCTTCATACGCATTGCAGATCCTAAAAATTGAGCAGGTAAAATCAAAGATATTTAATATCAAATATTTATATTGGTAAAAATATACTGATGAGGTTTTGGAAACTTTAATAAAATAATGATTATAACTTCATGTGGATTAATTATATTTATATGTGAGTTAATGAAACATACGAATCACACCTGCATCTCACATCTGTGCTCATTATCATCTCTGGTCTGCTGGTGAATTACACATCAAAGTGATTACCAAATTAACTGAGTGAAATCATTTTTAGGAAAATTATGTATACATTATAAGCAATCTGTTACATAATTACACATTTCTGTTTGTTTATTTTTATAACATTAAAATTCATAATTTTTTCATTCAAGCTTAACAGTATAATTTTTGTAATTAATTCACTTTTTCTGGTGATTTTTAACCATTTTTATTATGTTGACATATTTTTTTTCTTAAATTTTTTCCCCCAAATGTTTAGCCAGTGTTTAAAGAAAGGACAGAAAAAAATTACAAAAATGCTAAATCATATGGATTTAAGTATTCATGTATACTCTTTTCTCTTTACATTCACAATTTTCTATTTTTTTGAGAAAAGAGAAAACGAGCCTAAAGATATTTTCAATCAGCAATTAGAAAGTTTCTCATTTTATTTTTACTGAAGATGTCCACCGCTTCCTCTATACCAACTAGTGAAAGAGCATGGTACATGGAAACATGGTTGAAACTACAGGTGGGGGCTCCTTAAGTCATGGCATAGGTGTTTTATAGTGTTTCGGCTAATCTTAATGTTTGCATTGCGTAGGCTAGAATATATAAAATATTTGGCAGGATTTGTCATATCTTCTCTGTTTTTTGGTTTTGTTTTGTTTTTTTTTTTTACAAAAGAATAAAAATCATTTTTAGTAAACAAATAAAAGTTTGATAACAGAATCCTAACAAAGAAAACAAAAGTTTTTTTCTTTAAGGTGAGTTTTGATGATTTCTCAAGAGAAAATCCTGATTGGTAGTTTTTAAGTGATTATATTTGTAGTCAGTTTGTGTAAAGGGAGACAATTCTGCTAACTTCTTGGTTTAAGAGGCATTTTAAGGGAAAGAGATATGGGCTTGTGTTGACATTCAATCAAGGAAGATTTATTTAAACCATTGATACAAATTATCCTTGTATAAAATTGATATTTCCGTGGTAAGATCTGTGATTTAATGATCAATTATCAAATATTTCTTGAATCCATTTATTGTTATTGGTACATAGATGTTATGTTTGTCAATTCAAATTGATTTTTTTCTCTTTTTTCCCAGAATATTCAGATTTGCCAGTACCTATACTGTTATAATATATTCCTGTATATTGGCAATTTTATGTAACATGGTCAAAAAAATTAGATTTTTTTATTATATATTTTCGTGGTTCCATGAATTGTTTTTTGTTTTCTTAATTTTGCTTGATGAGATAAAAGTATAATTTCATGTAAGGTACAAGACATATCTGAACATTGATGTGTTTTTTAATCCTGAACAAATTTCATCCATTGCTTCTTGTTTTTTTGTTTATTTTGTGTGTGTGTGTGTGGAATGGATTTACATGACAGATATTTGTCTACTCAAATGAAAATCGGTTACACTTGGACACCAGATATATAGTGGAACCTTGTCGAGCAGGGGTCACTGTCAGATTTACAAGTAAAATTTTTATTTTTTAGAATTGGTGTCAGAGGAAATTCCACCTTAGTGTATAAATATCATTTTTTGAAAAACAAAATTCTAAATTAAAGAAATCCAACTGATCAAGCGTCCACATATGTCTGTATTTATTTATGTAAAAGGTATCATATCTTCATTATCATTCATTCAGTTAACTCAAATAATTTAAAATTAATGTTACTCCAAACTGCAACTTGCAAACTTTGAATCTGATTTATGCTGCATAGTACAATATAATTTTCTTCAGAAGTTTAGAAGATTTCAAATTTTGATTCCAAAGTGAAAATTTCTATCATAAGGAATATATTGTCTGTATTTAGGAGTACGGCTAGAAAGGAGTTATTTCCCTTAGATTATGTTAAGGCTATACCAGGCAGTAGATTCAGCAATTATCTAGAATTAGCAAATTTGAGGTGTCATATAATATTGGGTTTGTCTTAATATGTGTAGGAGAAAATACATTCATCAGTGTTTTATTTATTAATTCATTTATTTATTATAATTTCAAAAACTTATTTTAAAAAAAAAAAGATTTTTTTTTAATCACGACTATGAAATAATGAAACAGTACAAATACAATGTGGGGCAGTTATTATATATTTTTGATTTTGTTTTATATGTGGTATTACCATTGAGTATTTATCCTGGATTAAGCCCAAGGATATAACAAAATATGTCTGGATAAAATTTAAGAGGAGACATTATTTAAGGTCAATTAAATAGAATTAAGCAGGAATTAAGATCAAACATGGGGTTATTGCTAGAAAGGTATGGTTATGATATTGGAGATCTGAGGTGGGGCTCTGTCTCAGGTAGATATGAGGTGGGGCTCTGTCACAGGAAGATTTGAGGTGGGGCTCTGTCTTCAGGAAGATCTGAGGTGAGGCTCTGTCTCAGGAAGATCTGAGGTGAGGCTCTGTCTCAGGTAGATCTGAGGTGGGGCTCTGTCCTCAGGTAGATCTGAGGTGGGGCTCTGTCCTCAGGAAGATCTGAGGTGGGGCTCTGTCTCAGGTAGATCTGAGGTGAGGCTCTGTCTCAGGAAGATCTGAGGTGGGGCTCTGTCCTCAGGAAGATCTGAGGTGAGGCTCTGTCTCAGGAAGATCTGAGGTGGGACTCTGTCCTCAAGTAGATCTGAGGTGGGGCTCTGTCTCAGGTAGATCTGAGGTGGGCCTCTGTCTTCAGGTAAATCTGAGGTGGGGTTCTGTCTCAGGAAGATCTGAGGTGGGGCTCTGTCTCAGGTAGATCTGAGGTGGGCCTCTGTCTCAGGTAGACTATGTAAATATATATTGGAGATATGTGGTGGTGCTATGTCTCAGGAAGACTATGTAAATATATTGGAGATCTTGGGTAGGGCTCTACCTCAGGAATATTAATTGTGTTGTAAAAATTGAGGTTTTGGAGTACAATGAAAAAAATTTTAACATTTAGTTGAATCAGAATCTGAGAATTAGTTCAATAAAGCCGAATTGCTGATGAATGTGTTGTCTCTCAGATATATGATTAATATTTTATTGAAGCTAGTTTTAGATAACACTAGTATTATTGCTTAATGTATTTATTCATGTATGGCTTCAATTCTTTTTCCTGCTTGGCTTGGTTTCTCCACATCGTCACTCAAATCATGTGACAATCATGTGACATTTGGGTGAATTTAGTGTGAGTTGGAAGATGGCCTGTGTTCTTGCCCTAAGTCGTTGATGCCTGTTCATCAACAGCTTAATCGGTCAATAACCAATGATGAATTACAACGTCGCCTACAGGTGGCGCTGAGCGAGGGGACACCCAACATCGCACAGACACTAGTAGGATTAAATATTCGTACAAGTTATACACATGCGGGTAAGTCTTACTGTTTATTGATGTATTGGTGCACTGATAGAATAAAGGTATTTCTGCTACATGGTTATTCTTTGGATTTTATCTTGAGGGAGTTGAACTTTATTTTAAAATCCTACGAAAACTTTTCAGAAGTGCTGATTTAAGCTGAGAACTAAAAAAAATTCAGGTCAGATTTGATAATGTGATAAAGAAGTAGTAAAATTCCAAAGATTTATCCGTAGATACAAAAATACCTTTATATTTAGTGCACTAGTTTCATTTGTAGAATTTTGTTATATAAATTGTCTCCCTTTTCTTTGCCCCTGGCCGTCACTAGTGTACAACCACAGATAGCGATGAGATGCCAGAACCAAATTTTACAAATTACCCCCGGAGAGTAGTCTCATTGCAACAGTCACGACCTTTGACCCCTCCAGCTTTGAGGCGTAATTTCCGCATAGCTTTGTGTGAGGGCATGCCAACAATTGCAGAAACTCTAGCGAGGCTGCGACCCAGGGAATCGTCTTATCTACGAAGAGAATCGTCACTTTTAGGTCTAATTTATAAGCTTGTATTGTTTGAGTTTGAGGTGATGATGGTTTTAGTTTGTATATTCATGGTGAAATTAATGCTTTTGAGTGTTGGTTGTTTGGTGGATATCACTACAGAAACCTACTAATACACATCTGTTATTGTCAGTGTTAAACAATTTCAAAAAGAAAACCAAACATACCTACAAATTCAAAAACATTCGTTATCTTTCTATTGAATTTTTCATTCAAAAATGTCAAACTGTAGAATGCTACTTGTATTCTTTTGAACAAATGATAATTTTCTGTTGGCATCAAACTTGGCAGTTAATCATCTTGTTTTTTAAAAGATGAAAGTTATTGATGAAAGAGGATGATAACATTTCAAATCTTACAAAAGAATAAGAATAAAAGAAGAATCATTAAGATAAATAAAAATCTTCAAAATCAAAACAAAGTGGTTTACTGCAGCTGTAAGCTGATAGTGTTTTATATCTCTTACCAAAGATTTATATACAATTCGTTATTTTCTTATTTGTTTGGCCTGAAACATAGCACCAGGTTTTATTGGCCCCACTCTACAAGTTCAACCAGTTGAATTTTTGTGTTTCAGAAACTTGAAAACTTATTTACAATCATTTCTCTAATAAAGACATTTGAATTAGTCCTGACTATTATTTCATCTTATGTTTGAAGTGAATTTCCATATACTTTCTAGATGTATTGGTGTTTTCCAGTGATAATAGCCTGGTATATAATCTATGATACTTCCGTAATATGACATGTGAAATTTTTGGTGTGGTATTGTTTTGACAAATTTGTTATTCTTGTTTGACTAATTTATAATTCTTTTTGTCAGTTGTAGTATTTTCTTTGGCACTACTGTAAAATAATTAATTTTTGTGGGGAATATAATTTCGTTGAATTCATGGGTACTCAAATTTATATGCCCACAGAATGATAAACAGATTAGAGTTGGGCTATAATACTTGTGAATTTTGAGAGCAAATTCAACATAATCAAGTGCCAACAAAAATGTGTATTTATAGAAAATCGCAAAATCTGAGCACAACAAAAATTTGTCATCAGTTTAACTTCAGAGTTTTTCATTTTTGTGGATTTTCTGAAATTTGTGATGTTGAAAATTCTAAATTTCTGGTAATTCAAGGAAAACAATACAGTTGGTGAAATTGTTATTTATGAAGATGAAGTATTATGAAACAATCAATTTTAGTGGGCAATTTATTTTCATTGGTTTTGTAGGTATTCTTGATCCATGAATTCATATGTACATGAACTGGTAATTAATATAATTAGATTTATTGGTCAATATTTATCCACAAAGTCCATGAAGTGAAAAGTTTTTGAAAAGCTGTGAACATTGAGTCCCTCTAGAATAGTTATGGTATGACTGAAATGATATATCATGTTTACCTTTCATCTTCATATTGGTAACTGGTGAGTCAGTATTAATACGGGGGTGGGGAGGGGGGGGGGGGGGGAACAGTACTCATTGGCTACGCTGTTTTCTGTTCTATTTCTATATTTCTATAATACCTAAAAATAAATATTCAAGGTGAAGTTCCAACAATAGGTCATAATATATACAGGTAGTATTAATTATAACATGGCATCAGTCTATAGAATTAATAAATAGATACTGTAAAACACTTCTTTTGATGTAATCCAATTTTGATGTAGTATTGATTCTTTATATGCAATTAAGGACAGTGATGTGAACAATATCTAGAAATTGATTGTGAAAAAGTGCTAAAATAAGGTTACCACTGAAAAATATATGTTAACAGTAATTTAACCTTTGACAAATTATGTGTCTTTATTTACTTTCTGACTTCACTGTCTCCTACTTGTCCAGTAATAATTCAATCTCAAGGGTTTTAACTTTTTGATCAACAAAAATAAACACCAGAATTGCATATATTGCCATGAATGATATTTTCTTCAACATGGTTACTGTCCAATTTACAAAAATAAATAATTGTTTTCATTTACTTGAATTACAGCAGATACATTTAGAGATATGGCACCTCAGGTGCTGCCCTCTACATTACCACAGGCAAGGGAGATAAGGTAAGTCAACATTGTAAAAATATTAATGTTGTATAGAAGATACAGATAGTTAAAAAATTAATATTTGATATTGTCTTGTAATATGCATGCTTAGATAAAGATTTATATATGAACTAAAATGTGTAATGAAAAAATATTTATCCAGATAATATTATGCACTAACACATAACCATTTTTTTTTTAAATTTGTTTATTTTGTTTGGCTGTGCTGAACTTTTGACTTTTACCCTTGCTGTTTGATTGGCTAAGCTGACTAACAATGGCCATGCTTTTCGCAGTTCTGACGACGGGGGCAGTGAGAGTGACGTAGAAGGTGTTTCTACCACTATTCCCGTCACCGCCCGAAATAATCCCTACCTTCACCGAGAGGCCACCGCGCTCAGTAGTTTTCACCTGGCCGGTATAGGCACCGGTAGCCATGTTGCCAATAACAACAAGAAAACAGCCAGGTATACCTTAATGACGGCCATATTGGAAAAACCAAACCACTTTTAAATTCTATACAGAAGTCAGAAAAGAGGACTTGAAAGATTCTACCAAATTTGAAGTGAAATAATGTTATTTAAATTTGTTCTGTGTGCAGAGTAAAATAATAAAAAAAATTAAAAATACAGTTATATGTGAAATTGAGTTTTCAAACCAAATATGAAGTTGCAAAATTTGAAAACTCCATTAGAAATAAAGATAGAACTGGTTTGCACATAATTTTTGTTTGCTGTCTATATTACGTTTCTTATGATTAATATATTACATCCATAAAATAACTTCCTTTTACAATTTCCTTTTGCTAAAATAACATAGAAAATATAAGCTTTGTAATAATTTACAAAAAGTAATTAGAAAATTGTGTAGGTAATTATTTGGTTATAAACTTTGGATGCTGTTGTATAGAAATGGCTCTTATTTCCGATCGTTACGATGATACTTGAAGCAAAAATAGCCAATTTTTAGTGAGGTCTGATCGGTCAGAATTAGCTGTTTTTGCTCCTTCTATCTATATCAGTTGAAGCTATGTGCCATAACTGTTTCCTTACGTTTCGGAAAAACACCAGATCACAGAATTTTCATGGTATAATGATCCCATGTCATTGGAATTGTATCTTATTCCATAATATTTACCACAGCATCATGTATACAACATTTGTGGTAAAACATTGTATTATCAAGCTTAGCATGTCTGTCAAGGGTCTAACGAATCTGATTGACAGAAATCATGCAGTACAGAGAACACTGATGTTTTATCACTGTCGCTGTTCCATGTAACTTGTCGCTGTTCCATGTAACTTGTCGCTGTTCCATGTATCTTGTCGTAACCTGATAAAATGTAGACCAATCAGCTTCTGATACAAAACTGTAAATACAAAGCACTATTTATGTTGTAAACCGTTACCTACTAATTGTATAGTCAAACTAATGCTATGATTTGTATAAGCATGCTATTTAATGGTTTCCCAAATGTCGTGTTTGATATTGTAAAGATGATTTTCCAGATTTTTTTTCTGCAGTGAAACTTAACTTTAAAGACACTTTGAATTAACCATCATAATTTAATGGCTGCAAAATGCAAAAAAAAATATGTGGTTCTTTGTATTGTTGTCAACAAAAAAAAGTTTCACTGTATGGGATGTGTGTGTAAATTCTCTTTTGTAAATTGCTTAATCCTGCATATTGTGAATATTTCTATTTGAAAAATTGTTTTTGTAATTTTACTTGATCTGGTTGGTTTTATTTCTGGAATTGGCTTTTTATCAGATTAATACAGTGGCATCGTCAGAAATCTGTGAGACACTGCTCTGTCAAGTGACTCAAAAAACAAAGCAGAGTCCTATGGCTTCCATGCAATATCTTAAGTAGAAGGTTATACAAGATATGCATACCAAACAACTGCATCATATAACATACTCAATGTTTTATGTTTATGGATGAAGGTCATAGGATTGTACTTGACTTTGTATGAAATTTGAAACTGCTTGTGATGTGGGAAAGGTTTGACTCTATATAAGACACTTTAATGTCTATCTACCATACAATATATGGCGATGGATATTTAAAGAAATTCTGCTAGATAGTCTTGTGACATACTTAATCTCTAACTATCTTCTCTGCAGAGCTCACAGTAAAGTGTTGAATATTCATGTCATGAAAAAACTGTTTAATATGCATTTCATTAAAAAACTGTTGAATATTCATGTCATTAAAAAACTGTTGAATATTAATGTCATTAAAAAACTGTTGAATATTCATGTCATGACAAAAAAACTGTTGAATATTCATGTCATGACAAAAACTGTATCATTGATGATTATGTCCACAGATCTGGCCCTTTGTACAAGACACTTACCCGTCAGACCACAACTCCTGCTGCCACACCTTCAACTGGGTTCATGGCCACAGCACTTCCCGGAATGGCAGATGACACATCCAAACTTGTAGGAAGACAACGAATTAGTAGGACGACTGGCCCACTGGTAGGTATCAAAGTCAGAAATTGACAGGATGCATGTTTGTGGCACGCGATCTTTCTGACATGTTTTCTTGTTGTTTGTTTTATGCCTTTTTTTTTATTTGTGAAAATTTAATAGTTTTCATAAAACAATTGTTACACAATGAATTCAGTTTTTATAACCATGCAGTTTTGCTATTAAAAGCAGTTAGGTAAAAAAAGGCTGTTTAAGTGTTTATGGTGCAAAAAACTAATTTGATCTGCATTAATTCAGAAAATTGAATGATTTTTCGTTCTGTTTTGACTGACCAGCTTGTGCTCAGCTGTATATGTCAGCTGGCCTTTTAACATTTTATCAGTTTAAGTATAATAAAGCCATCAAGATGATGTTTATGAGTTGGTGTGATTATAATGACACTGTTTCCAGATTTAGGAAACCAATTTATTTATAAAATTCAATGAACTTTTTAAAAAGAATCATGAGAGTCTTTTTTCACTCGTAAAAGAAATTGTACTGATTTCAGACTCTTTATGGGGATGAAAATATTCCAAAGGTAAAAAAAAAATTAGCAGCAGAATTTGCTGGACAGCAATGCGTGTGTGTTTTGTCAAATGTAAATTGCCCCATACTAGCTCATTAACCCATGGGAGTGACACTGAATGGTGATAATGAAGTTGTTAATCGTGTGTGGTAATTAATTTATTCAAAAGTTTTGTTCAAAATGTGTACAAAAACATGACAAAAAAAATACCAATTTAATGTAAATATTATAAATGTAAATATCTGGAATGTTAAAAATTCAGTGGCATTTGTGATTATGATGAAGTCATAAACCATTTGCTATACTTTATTAATGATGAATAAATCACTTACATTTTTCAGATATTTTTTTTCTGAAAATGAAATACAATAAAAAAAACAGATGCATGTGATAAAGAATATTTATAAAAATATGAGTTAAGTAATCATGTTATCTGAAAAATGTAAGTGGATTTCTATTTAATTAATACCAGGTTTTAATTAATTCCTTTATTAATTCATTGTGTTTGGTGTGCTCTTTGAACATTATATATTCAATAATATCATTTGTAGAGTATAACTGGTGTAAGGTACGTGGATGACAAATCTCAGCCCGAGGTTTCTCCTGTTTAAATTTTCTGATTAAGATATTGCAGAATCTTATAACCTGTGGATTGAGAGTTGTATAACACACAGTCAGAATACAGTTGTTTGAAATGATTCTGTTTTTTGTCCTGTACTTAGTATAACATGTCAAAAAACTGTCAGCATTTGTGACATTTTCCAAAGTCTTTCTTCGTTGGTTGAATGTCGTCTCTGCAGTGTCAGAAATAAGTTTTCTAGACACTGCATTATCTCTCCTCCATGTTCTTTAGAAGCCATTGTGACAAAAAAGCCTCCATCTCCTCAATAGTAGAAGCAAACAAATACTGTTTCATTGGGAGACAAACCAAATAACATGAGAAAAAGAACAGCAGTTTGTGTTACTGGATTGTAAGAAGATAGGAATCATGTGTCATATTTATCCAGCAATAAATCAGAGGGCCAATAAATTACCTCCGATTTAAAATGAGGGGATGGGCTTATTACCGGACAATCTAAATATGGAATAACATTTGTTTGATATTCTACGGAATGGCAGTAGATTTAGGAAGGTTTTTATCAGCGATGGGGTTATTCAGGGGATAATTACAAAACATTGTAGATACATCATTTGTGTTAATCGAAAGGAAATGAAATTTTATGTCTTAACTTTTTTTATATATTGTATCCATTTTTCTTAAAAAATACATTACAAGAATTTGTGAAATTTATTGTGTAATTTGGTCACCATGTGGAATTCTCAGAAATAAGTTGGTTCAAAACTGACGTAATCATTAGCGTAACAGAAATGGCTATCATTTATTTGTAAGATTTTGATGATAACTTTCATCTGTCATGTAGTTACACCTGTACATTTAGCCCAGATTTCATGGTGCTTAGAAATCATGAATTCAGGATTTATTTTCCAACTCTTGTTTTATTTCCTGACCAATCAAAATGCAGACTGGATTAACAGAGGAAGCTATAGATAGGATTCTCACTAGAAATGTGAAAGACTACAAAGGGAAACCCCAAACTGCTCGAACAGGACCAACAGACATTTCGAAAATTCCAACTTCTATTCTCACTCAAGAGTATATCAACATCGTGTTTGAGCGTCTTAAACGATCGGCAACTCCAATTTCGTATGCATAATTTTTTTTTTTTTTGAATATTTTTCCAGGTTCTATTTTTGTCTTCTTCATGAGCTTCTAGGGGTGATAGTTTCTATACAGACTGCACAGTGTTCCCATTATTAGCAGGCTTCAGTTACTAACAACAATTTATACAACCATCAAGACTCTGGCACCAATCATTTGAAATATTGTACATTTATCAAAAAATTTCAACAAAAATTATTTTTTCAAATATTCTATTTTCAGATAAGTTTTAGTGTTAAAGTTTTCTTCAGATTTTCATTGGAAAAATGTTTATTAAACATAGAATTCACGAAACATGTCTTAATAATATTTTTTTTAGTAAAATACAGATTTATTCAGTTATCAACCCTCAGTTGGTGTTCTTTATTGACCTCCTATAATGTTAAATTGAAATAACACTTTTGCATTATTGATATAAAAAGAAAAACAAAATATTTTATGAATCCTTTGGAAAAGAGTAAATAAATCTTCATGATTTTTTTATTTTTGTCTCTTATTTTAGTTCTTATGTAAGAGGTAAATAATGTATATATCAATCACATTTTTGGTACATGTGTACTAACAAACTGAAGTCTGTCGTATAAAAATGGCTTTTTAACCCCTAGACAGAAATATTTCCTGGTGGTGTTACCTCCCTTCCCTAATAGAGTAGTTTTGTTTTAATATTTATTCTTTTCCTTCCATCACTGTACCAGAAACAAAGTAATTCTTTAGTCAAACACTTGACAGAGTACTGATGACCAAAGATATGTAAAAGTTTCAGTGTATTTTGTATACATTTGTGTTTTCAGCATTGAAGTTAGACAAAAAGAGATAAATTTGTTAATATATTTTTATAAAAAAATCAAATATTGATGGTTTGAATGTGAGAAATCTCTTTTTTTTTTTCTTGTAAATATTTTCACAAATTATTAATATACAATTTTATTCAGATTGCTGTTTAAAAAATGTCCAGATCTGTTTGATGAATGGATTTAAATTCTGAAACCATGCACTGTTATTATCTGTTAAAGTTTGGCAGTCCCAGTTTGTCTCTGCTGTCATTTATGTCATGAGTTGTCAGGGACAAATCGAAAATTCTAACTAAATGTCACCTTCAATAATAAGAGGCCACTGGTATCAAATATCTATCAGAGTTATCTACACATTATAATCCAATGTTATAGATATTTCCTTTCTTCCCTAACAGATCCTGAAAGCTTCACTGATTTTCTCTCTTTCTCCAATTTTCCCAGCAATTTCAAAGGTGCATAAATGGAATATTGACAGTTAAAAAAAAAAAAAAAAAAGAACAAATCTGGACATTTTTCAGTTGGCTGTGGATTTTTGTTTGGGACTGGGATGTTTTAGTTTAGATAGCCAGTATTAAGTACTCTGGGATAGTGTACTAACGTTTAAATCAACAGGTTTGTATATGAATTAATTGTCACAATTGTGAATTTATATGCAAGAGTGAACTTTCCAACACATAAGAATTAAATTACTTGAAGTGCAGTAAAATGAATGAATTTTCAGAAAAAGATTACCATATAATGATTTAATTGTATCACTGAATCAGTGGATGGAAAACCCAGCTAGCAAGTTTATAGAGGAGATACAGAAAAGTCTGCCTGTACTTCCTGAATCCCAGGAGCATATTGAGGTACCTTAAGGTGCATGCCCTTGTGACACTGAGCCTCTGTCTGAAAATAATCAGCCTCACTTTGGATTGGATTGGCTTCACTTTCATACACCATTGACATGAACCCACTTTTTGAAAGTTTCAGAATGACCATTTTTATTTTAACAATTGTTTTTGTCCCTTTATTAATTTAATATCTTATGTTTTTTTGATAATGTTTGAATTTTTAAGATTTTAAAAAAAATTTCTTGCATGTTATAACAATTGATTGTTCATTCCTCCCCCTTTCCCAGCCCTTTTCCCTTATTTGGTCATTGGACTAATTTACAGTAAATCCGTGTTTTCTGTCACTGTCCATCATTTTATTGTTATACTTAGCGGGGCTTAGAAGAAATTGATAAAAAAAGGGAGATGAAGTTGTCTTAGAAATATTTCTATGGTTACTTAAATCCAAATGAATGATAATATAACAAGGTTTGATATGTACCAGGAAAACAAATTGAAATTGATATTGCTCTTCCTTTTTGTCAATGGGTCAAATTTGAATCCAAAGATGTACCATTTTCCTTCGAAATAACTAGTCAAACCCATCTTAAAGGGCACCTTTATACAAAAGTCACCTGTGTACAAAGGGCATCGTTTTTGTACCCTATCTAATGAAAATCATAGCAATTTACCTCAGTTTAAAGGCCACTTTTGTCTGCTCCACTGCGTGGCCTTTATAGACAGGTTTGACTGTATTTCATGTCCCGTTGAAAAAAAGCTCAAGTATATGAGTGTGGACATTTTATAATTTATTGATTTAATTTTACCATTTTTTTTAATTTGGGAAGTGGTGATTTTAATTGTGATATTTTGTGTGTGGAATTTATATTTCACAAAGGCATTAAATTGATGGAAATGTAATCTGGTTTCAGAAAAGTGTGTATTTATGTGATACTGTGGAGTGATTTTACCTTTATTTTTTCATTAATTTACTAACTGCATGTCAGAACCATCAAACAAATAAAGATGAAACAAAGTTGTAATCATATCATCAAACGTTTCAGATTCTCTCATGGAATAAAATTTGCCATCACATTGATATTTCGTATCTTTCTAATTATTGTGTGTGGGAATCATCAACATCACTGCATTCAATTTAAGTTTTTGATAACTAAACATCAATATATAATTGACATTTTTGCATTATCCATTCCTTAATGAGTAATACAGCTTATGATCTTATTATAGTTTAGCTGTTGAACTAAATGTTTTATAAACCCATTCACTCATATCTTTTTATTTTTACAGATAAGGGGTATAAAGGTTCGTGGTGATTCATGACAACGACCATCTCTAGGAGAATTAATATATTGACTTATAAAACTGTCTAATGCTTTGACAATGAAGCTGTGTGAAAGTGGCTTCCTGTTTACAAGGGAAGTAATTGAAGGGGAGACAATTTCAATAAAATTATCTCTCTACCTTTAATCATTGTGTAGCTGATGAAATCAAGGGAGACAACTGTATCTTCAACGATGTCAAGGGAGATACCTGAAAGGGAAATAATTTTTTAAAAACATCATTCTCTCTGAATTCTATTGATAATAATGGGAGGTATCAGAGGAGAAAACTCTTCCCTTCCCAGAAAGTGATACACGAGACAATGATAGTGTTCCAGTTTAGCATCAAATACATACAATTTGTGGGACACTCACTAGGCTAACTTGAACTGACAAGGAGGTTACAGAAAACAGAGAGAAGTTATTTCTCTCCTTAACATGATAAATTCTGAAGGACTTCAGTGATCGTATTTCATTTCGATTTAGTTGACGTTATTCAGAATTCCTCTGACCTGCCTGAATCAGGTCAAACTTTTTCAGTAGATCACACAGGATTGTCAAAGGATGGTGGGAATGGATACACATAAAAAATCTTTTGTAGGAGCATGCAAGACAAAAAACTGTGGAATCACTTCTATTTCATCTACTAATTAGGAGGACCAAACATGGACATAATTGCCAAATAGCACTAGTCGTAATTTATAGCTTAAATATCACGGCCTGTACTTGTAGATTAACGTTTTATTGATAAGGTAGAGTATACTTATCGCATACTGTATGTTTTAGGGAGAAAATTTTGCCAAACTAACCAAGAACTGTTCTGTCTCTTTTATTTAAGTTATGTTTCTTGGTAGTTTGGCCCAACACAATACTTACATCATGCTTCTGGTATTTTCATTAAAATGCATACTTTTCAACTTTCTTAATTAAATTTGGGATTACATACGTGTTGTAAAATTTTATTCTGTCTCTAGATATCTTAAGTGTATATTGGTATCGTATATGACCAGACATTGGTGCAATATTGCTTATTTTAACTGTTTTGTATAGTGCACTTGGTTAAATCTGATGTAAATCTAGGGTTTAGGAAATCCACAAGTGTAAAGAAGTTTGGAGTTTTGACAAGTATGTCAAGGTACCTGGACATCATTCAGTCTCCTTTCTGTTAGCATTATAAAACTATTCTAGGCATAAACTCTCTTATTACCACAATAATGGTGAACCTGTTACAAACTTCAGTAGATTTGTATTGAATCTGTTATAATTTTTTAGAATATTTCTGAACCTGTTTTTCTTCAATAAAGTTTTAGTGTGTTGAGTAATCGTTATCTATTTGATAGATAAAAATTTTACCTGAAATTAATATAAGTAAAACATGTAATAAGTTTACAAACCCAGCTTGGTAGTAGTATTTATAGAAAATTATTGACTTATTGACAGTATCTGTTAGAACCCATATTCCTTTATTTACCTGTGATCTTGTGTTTTGGCGTATATTGCCATAGTTATCTGACAACAAACCCACATCATTCAGAAACACGTCAAAAAATCCATCAAATGCTCAATCTTTGTCCTCTCACAAGTCTCTGTCAGAGGTATTCTTACATGTCAATCTATGTCAGAGGTACTCTTACATGTCAATCTATGTCAGAGGTACTCTTGCATGTTGTTCAATGTCAGAGGTACTTATGCATGTTGTTCAATGTCAGAGGTACTCTTGCATGTCAGTCTCTGTCAGAGGTACTCTTACAAGTCAGTCTATGTCCGAGATACTCTTGCATGTCAGTCTCTGTCAGCAGTACTCTTACAAGTCAGTCTATGTCCGAGATACTCTTGCATGTCAGTCTCTGTCAGCGGTACTCTTACAAGTCAGTCTATGTCCGAGATACTCTTGCATGTCAGTCTCTGTCAGCGGTACTCTTACAATTCAGTCTATGTCCGAGATACTCTTGCATGTCAGTCTCTGTCAGCGGTACTCTTACAAGTCAGTCTATGTCAGAGATACTCTTGCATGTCAGTCTCTGTCAGCGGTATTCTTGCATGTTGTTCAATGTCAGAGATACTCTTGCATGTCAGTTGATGTCAGAGGTACTCTTGCATGTCAGTCTCTGTCAGAGATACTCTCGCATAACGGTCTATGTCAGAGGTACTCTTGCATGTCGGTCTATGTCAGAGGTACTCTTGCATGTCGTTCAATGTCAGAGATACACTTGCATGTCGGTCTATGTCAGAGATACTCTTACATGTCGTTCAGTGTCAGAGGTAATCTTGCATGTCAGTCTCTGTCAGATGTACTCTTACAAGTCAATCTATGGTTCCCTGGTCTGGCTTCTGAATAAATACCATAAGTTAAGCTGTACGGATACTCCTTTGGCATGTAGAATTATTATGCTCAGAAAGTTTGAAAAGTTCAAGGAAGGATTAATTTTAGGAAAGTACTCACTTCTTGGTTGTTGGGGGGAAGGGATAGTCTTATATTTACACAAGCTTGATAAAATTAAGGAGATTTATTTCATCATTTTGTTGTAATATTTCATCAGCCAGGATTTATATATCACCATTGAAATGATTTTCAACATTCAGTTGTAAGTCAATGTTTGAAATGTCACTCCTACAAATAGTTACTGGTAAATACTGAAGACATGAAATATGTTGATATCAGCAGTACATTTCTGATAAGACAGTGTTAAATATGTGTATGTTTATTTATATGAGGAAATAAATGGAATGTGACATTTGTATTATCTTTTACCAGTAATAAGCTCACCCTCAGTGTATGACAGAATGAGGAGAAATCTGACAGTGTCTCATTTGGAGATGAATCTTACGCTTAGATCTTGTTTTACAGAGATTCTGGGAATTAATAGGACCAATGACTTAAATAAACGACCTGCATCAATTTTCATTTTCAAACATAAGCTGAATTGGAAACATGTTGCTTGATTTTGTTGGAATTTCTTGTATCTTTCATCATTTCTAAGGCCTCAGTTCCTTATTTAAAAAACACAGACAAAAATATTCTGAAATCAAGGTTTTGCTGGTCTTTTCATGAATGTAAAATCTAATCTTTCTTAAAAATATTTTGTGAGTTGTATTCTCAAAAGGCAAGTAAAGTTGTTTGTAAAATACAAAATTGACTTTCAATTTTTTATGATCAAAACAATTTTTGAAGGACATTAAAAAATTGGGAAAATAAATTATATTGAAATTTAGATATTTATCAAGACCTGTTTCAAATTAAGGTAGACATAGCTATACATTTACCGAGACCAATATTGATGGAGAATTTTATCAAGACCTGTTTCAAATTAAGGTAGACATGGCTATACATTTTCCGAGACAAATATTGATGAAGAATTTTATCAAGACCTGTTTCAAATTAAGGTAGACATGGCTATACATTTACCGAGACCAATATTGATGGAGAATTTTTTCAAGAAATTTTCTAAATATGATTTATGTTGAATGTGTTTTGAAGAATTTTTAATTGGATTGATAAAGGAAGTCTTGTTCATCTGGGACTGTTTCTAAAAAGCACTGGTCAGCGGAAAATTTCGGGTCCAAATTGACAAGATGTCATCAAAGTAACCTGTGATAAATATTTTCAATCTAGCGTGTACAATGAATTTATGAGATGTTGGAGAACTTTTTAGGGTTTATAATTTTGCTGTTGTAAATCAAACTGAATCTCTTGTGAAATATTGAGGATGTAAAATTCTTCATAGAATGACAAGATATGTTTGTAGTTCAGAATGAAAACAAGGGAATGACTTGTTACATTTTAAAAGTAAAATTCAGATATGCATTTTACTGGTGAATTGATGTTAAAACTATCTACTTTTGTAAATCTCTCTTTATAGTCATATGTAATATTTAGGATTTATGAGTTATCTCCCTTACTGAACAGTATCTTCAAACTCTTATGACAATTTAAAAACATTTTATGTAAGATGATACCTGTTCATAAGAGAAGTAACTCAAATTGGTGGAGAAGTTTTTAAATAGTGGGTTTAATTTACAAAAAATTGTTTCTAATACTTGTCAACTCTTCAAAATTTACAAGAAAATACAGAATATACCATTGAGTTTTAGGAAGGGTATATGAGTGAAATATCACAGCCAATGAATCTAAATCCCATTTTATTATGTATTGTATAATTCTAATTATTGTAATATCATCATATCACCAAATATTCCATCCAATCTATCATAATAAAGTATAATATTTTATATTACCTTGTTTTGTCCAGTATTTCATAATATTATGATATTCCGTCCATTTCATATTAAAATTTTTAATTTATCAAAATTAATTATGACTAAATTGAAATACCATCAATTAACTTGGTGCAAGAGAAGTGGAATTTCCATCTGTTTCTTACTGTTTGTGTTACTGATCCAAGTGTCGTTGTGGTAACAGCGTTGTTTTATTACAGTGGATGGTTGTCATGTATTACTGATCACCGTACATTATCTAATTATAATTAATTGATTATAAAATTGCATAATTAAATATTTCGTATGTTTATATGGTGATAGAGTTGTAGAATTACTGTAAACATAATATATTAAATATTTTTTTACAAATGAAAATTAAAATATTTTTAATTTCTTAACTTTGTTTATTGTTTGTTGTGTTTCAGAAAGATTTAAAACAGAATCAGATAATAGTTTTTACATGTAGTTCACGAAAAGAGACCTGCACACATCAGCAACAAGAGGTCCTCAACTAATACCCTCCACAAAGCAGGTATTTCTTTGGTTACCATGACAACCGTTCGAGAACCAACATTTTGGGAAGCCGTACCAATATAACTCTGGGCTTTATACCTCAATTTATACCAATTAGGAGCCTTAGGGGAATAATGAGCATGTAGAAAGCAATAGTGACCTTTTAATCAATTCAAAACAAGGGGCCAAGTGGGCTTGCATGCTCATCTGTAAATGTTATTCAATGATTTTCCACAAATATTTATATATAATATATAAACTTTATTTATTTTACAACAATTGCGAAACAAGTAATGTCAACTTATACTAATCACTCTTGTTGGCCCGGATGTAAGCGTGCGAGGGGTCTTATTGTGGGAGGAAACCGGAGTACCCGGGGAAAACCCACGTGGTCGGGTAGGTGACCCCTTACCTTTTCACGTCCGTTCCGGGAATCGAACCCCGGTCGGCCACCTGACCACCCACAAATATTTACATCCTGCATCACTGACCTTCAAAGCAGCTTAAAAAATAAATTTATTGACACCTTTAAAAAATCAAAATTCGACCCCTGTGACCTTGAATATGCAAACTGATGGAGTTAAAACCTAATAGCAGATACTGATTTTAAGTCATGTCGCTTATCAGAGAATTCAAAGTTGTTCAAGTGTTTTGGAAAAGTCCTTCCAAAGTGACATTGAATATTGGTCAAGACCATTTCTTTTCACAGACTTTTACAAACCTCATTTCATCTACCAATGATAGCCAAATTATGACAACATCAAACATTTCTTCAGAAGTATTTTTAAGAAAAAGTCCAGGGACAAACGGACACTGCACTTCAACATAAGCTCTTTCCATGCGAGCTTAAACTTTTTTTATAATTAATGAAAGGGATATCGCAAATAAATTTTGAAGCATCAACAAATGTAAGGATTCTATAGCATATGTGGCCTGTTTCTCTTATCATAACAAAATCAAATTTGACTCCAGATCATCATGTCCGTCTGGGATTTCTAATATTTATAAGGACAGGGTCATTTTATGGCAATGGTCAGGGGATAGCGAAAATCATTTTAAACAGCATGATTTGAATATTGCAGAATTCATCAAAAACCATCAACAGCAAATTTCAGATCCAATTCATGTGATATTTAATTTCAAATGGATGTCTCTTCCACGATTGGTATTACATTGATGTTTGGCTACTTGAAGTTGAAAACAAATCACTTAAGGTGTTTAACACTAGGAATTAGAAAGGCACGGAGTTATAATGTATTTGTGACATCACATAATTAAACAGATCCAGGACAATAAATATATTCAATGCTGTTATTTACATGTAGCTCATCACAGCTATGATTTATAATTACGAGTTTTGATTGGCCAATAAGGATGGATGGAAAATTACCAAGGTCTACTTTCAGTATCACTTTTTTTACAAATAGAAGGTCTGTAAAACTTTTCTATGCACAAATCGAGGTCTGTTTCAGATTTACGGACTTGTCGCATGATATTGCTCCTCCAATCAGGGCTGTGAAATAGCATCAGTCATATCATAATAATTAATATTAGATGCAAAAATTAATTTAGAAATTTTGAAATTCTGTTCAATGTAATGGAATATCAGGTGATTCTAGTAGCTTTCACTTTTTGTGCTGGTCATGACATAGCCAAATTTCAGGTGAGTTGGTGGCAATGCAGTAAGATAGGAGAGGCAAATGACTGACTGGAAACCTCACGAATTACATGATAACTGTTCTTCATTAGGGCATATTTCAGGCCCTTTATTTCTTCAATTGGGGGACAGTAATAAGAAGGATTATTTAAAGAACCTAACAAAGTCAATGTAAACGGTAACAAAACAAGCGAATAAAATCATAAAAATATAAACATGTTAACTATCTCTGTTCTTTTATTAAAACTAGCTATAGACAAGCTGTGACATTTAAAATTTTAAAAATTTCACAAATAAGATATGATCAGACAAGTAAGATATGATCAGTCAGACAAGTAAGATATGATCAGTCAGACAAGTAAGATATGATCAGTCAGACAAGTAAGATATGATCAGTCAGACAAGTAAGATATGATCAGACAAGTAAGATATGATCAGTCAGACAAGTAAGATATGATCAGTCAGACAAGTAAGATATGATCAGACAAGTAAGATATGATCAGTCAAGTAAGATATGATCAGACAAGTAAGATATGATCAGACAAGTAAGATATGATCAGTCAGACAAGTAAGATATGATCAGACAAGTAAGTTATGATCAGTACATAAAATATTCCTATTGAGGAAAATCCTAGCCATAAAATATCTTTATTAAGTAAAAATCTTTATACAATGGATTAGAGAATCTGCATAACTGACGGCATGTGAAGCACTGGTTTCATTTTCTCTATTATCAGAAGAATTGTTTTATCTGAAATAGATAAGGACAATTTAAACAAATACAGTTTGGTAATTGGGTCCTTTTTTATTATAATTATGTAAATTCACATTTTAAGCAAAGACTCCTTCAAATTTCCAATGCAGTTCTTATGGATGCTTCTACACAGTCATAAGATAGTAGTACACTCTGCTATTTAATTGTCAATGTTTTAACCATTCAGAGCCTGCAGTGGCCATCTTGGATGTGCAAGTACAGTACGAATTAGGATTTTCAAATGCCTTTGAATAATTGTATTAAGTATACAATTGATACTAGGTGTATTAAAATATTGACGAAATTAAAAACAGAAAGACTTCCTCTTTCTACGTAAACCGATTCATCCTAAACTGATACATTATGATAGTGTATCAATGTTTTTATGAATTACCATGAGACATAATCAACAATAAATCATCGCACACAGATTTTTAATTTCTTTACTTCTCACAACCATCTAAAATGGTAGTTGATAAGATTTATATCAATCTTCAGTAATTCAAGTTGAAGCCATTGTCATTATCTATATATACTTAACTGATAGTACTTTAAAAATTTCAACAATAGTAATCATATACCTTATTATAATTATTGTAATCCTGATACGTAACTGACAGACTTTAAAAACCTTTGATGTTTGCCTACCGATATTTTTTCCATTGTGTGTCCAAGATATATTCAATATTCTGAAGAACAGGAGAAACACATACTCATCTTCTATACTTTTCCTGAAAAATGCAGAGCACCATATGTTCTAAAGGACAAGAGAAATGTCATTCAAATGTCACATTCTGAATGATTGCTTTCATTGTATGCCTCAGAAAGTCAGATGAATCAAATCTTTGGAAGGACGGAGAGGATGCCATTGAAATGCTAAATTTTGCCAGAGGCATTCTGCCTGCTAATACTTCTTTTGTCATCTGCCTCAGAAAGGCATAATGTATTAAATATTGAGGTTGAGAAAGACACCATGGAATTGTTTTCTTCATCATCTGAAGGGCAAGGGTCATAACTTGTCTTCCATTACGATTCGTGTCTCTGGATGGACCATATTATACATATTATGCAGACGAACTAGGCCTGCACAACCACCAGTAGCCACCCAGGAACAGGCATGTAGGTTAGGGTTGAAATCCGCCTAAAAGAAAAAATATACCTCAGGCCATGTACTGTTTTTTTCTTAAACAAACACTAAATACAGATCTTGAGACATATATAAGAGTGTCTATGCTTAAAATAAAAAAATAATATTTAATAAATACTTTTCAGTCAAATATACAACAGTCTACCATAACCCTATAATTTTCTAAAATAAATGTTACAACCCTAGAAAGATGAGATAATTCTTAAGAACAAAAATGTTGCTGTAAATGTACTCATTTTGGCACAATCAAATTTGGGAGCAATATCAATTTTGAACAACAAAGCGCAATGATGAATCTGTGTATTCATAATAGAGGTTATTAGTGTAATCAAATTTTAGTGCGATATCTAAAGCAAAAAATATGCAAAAATAAGTTTACTCCTGAAATATGTGTGTTAACGAAAACCTTCAGCCAAACTGTCCACAAATAAGCTGAACACATTATAATTGATTTCCAGTAGATCTGTTTACATACCCTATGAACGGCCACCAGGGGAATGGTGAGTAGATTCTGTTCCTTATACATGGTTTCACTGAATGCTGCATCCTGTAAAATATTTGAAAACCATGGATAAATACCTTGATAAGGAGGACCTAATAAAGATTTCTATCAACAACATACACTTAAAAGTGTTTATTGGTTAAATATTTTGTGTGGTTGTTTTTCTTACAGAAGTCATGAAATCCACTATTGATTTCTTGTATTAATTTTTTATTTTCATGGTTTTCAGTTTAGCAGTTTTGTTCCATCCTCCAAAATAAGCCAAAACTAAACCACTAAAAATAACAATATGAAGTAAACAGATTGTCAGCATAAATGAATCAGTGGAAATTATTATATATTAATCAAAATAAATGTTTGCAATTTATTACCTCATGTTAACATAGTCATAGTCCAAACTCAAATTCAATAAAACTAGGGCAAAATAGGAACAAAAGAAAGATATGAAGACTCCTGAAAAGGAGAATAAGACCAGATGTTCCAGAAGAGTAAGCATCTTCTACTTTATTGACGACATCCGCCATGTAAACCCTGGTTAAGTAAGTAATGTCACAATCTCAAATGAGAACAAGGTATACAACAATAGAACCTACAATGACTTAACCTACAAACAGACAACTGACAGCCTTCAGAATTTAGTACAACTTTGTGTCAATGGATTTAAAATCATTCAAATATCAAATTCTGTTTTCTGTTCTTACTTTGCCATCAATATATTCTAACACTGCATTCTCTGCTGCTTCTCTGTAAGTTTTATAACAATGTTCAGCTTTGATATCCTTTCCACAACCTTTATTCTTTTTCTTGGGTTTTCCTTCTGTTTTTACTGCAATTTCGGTTGAATTTTCTCCATCTTTGACTTTTTCTGCTGAATCTTTTTTGTTTTCGATGTTTTCGATCAAATTGTCATCTTCAACTTTTCTGGGTATTAAAGAAGAAGTGAATATTTCCTGCAAATAAAGGCATATTATAATTTTCATATAATGAAAGAGAACATGTCAATGTTCTAATTTCCAGTTGAGGTATAAAATAACTAGTTTACATAAATCTATATTAATCTGACAAGGTGCCCATATCCGCTTTTATGTCTGCAAATATCATTTGTAGTTCTGTTAAAATGTCAATAACTGCTAATATGTCGACAAACAGCAGTCTTACTGAAGGATAAATACAGTAACATTTTTTATTTAGCTATTTAAAAGTACAGGCACACCAATATTTTTAGATACCCATTTCTATATACAACACGACAGCAAAACTGTCCAAATTCTTTTACAATTTATCATGATCAATTTAAGACAAATTGAACACGAAAGTCTGTTTCAACATGTGAAAAAAAAGTTTTCTGTTCTATAAAGATTACGAGAAACAAAGTGAACCCTTGATTGGTGAGCGATGATTTAAAAGATAATCCCAAAAAGCTATCAACAAAACCAAGTATGACAAAATGCTAACATTATTTCCTAAATATCCTGCTTCCTACCTACCAGTATGAACTTGCGGGCAACATGTCCAGTCTCCATATTAAAGGAGGGAAACTGGAGACAGACGGCACTTCCAATGTCATCAACAGTCAGAGCTAGACTCAACCATTCAGAAAAGGTCACTGACTGGAATAACAATTGCTAACTGTAGTGAAGTATATAATATATATGTACACAACACAAAATGTTTCCATGAGTCACATAAAATTCAACTAATGAGTTGTTAATGATCAAATTCAATCTCTTGACTCATGGTTGTCAGAATTAAAATGAATTTGGAAAACACACGATAAATTCTTTAAAGGCCATAATTTTAATGTGCATTTCAATCAGTTTGTTTGTTGGATTTATCACCCAATGAACAGCCATGATCATTATGGGGCAGTAGATGGTGGCTACCACACTGAACAACATATGGGAGACCCATCACAGGCCATCCAAAGCAATTAGCTTAAAATGTCCTGCCCAAGGACACAACCATATCATCAATGTTTCCTGGGAAACACAAACAGCCGTGGGAACAGAGCACCTAATCACACACCTATAACTCTAATATTCACCACAGGTTATCTAGCCAGTGCTCTGACTGACCAAGCTATCAATGCTCTGCAATTCCATCAGTGAATTAAAATTATTAAATAAGTAAAGCTTTTTTACATTGCATTTTGAATTTCTTTCATGGGGATCAACTTGCATGGTATTTTTCATGGAGAATTAATTTCCTGGATAAATGTAGGTCATTAAAACTTTTTACTTGAACTGTTTGTGAGCATACAAATTCATTTGATAAGATTATCCACAAACACCACAAAAAATTGAAATGCTACAGAAAATAAAAGCAGATTATACTTACCCACATAGTGGAGTGCATGTGACACATAGGGGCTCCTTTGATGCGTGTAGAATCTAGTGTTGAACCGTAGGGTAACATCTTCAGGTAGCAGTAATTATACCTTCAAAGGAAATCGTATGTTACAAACCAGTGCTGTGTCTCTTAATTTTTCCATCTGCATAAAATTCCCTTCCTAATGCCTAATTTGTTAATGCCTAGCTTTTGGTCATTTTGTTGAATGTCCACCCAATCATAGAAGGTTATGGGTTCTCATACCCAATAAAAAACTACATAAGATTGCTACATACTGCTTACTGTTTGTCATTTAGCTCTAAAGGGTGTAAAGACTGATCCTCCCCTAGTTAGTATAATGTCACCTTTTATAGTGTTATAGTGTCTAGGTTATAATATTCACACACAAATAAAACTTCCAATAAGTCTTTCTGGTAAAAATCCGTTCACATTTAATCAGCCTGTCTATTGGGTGTCAGATATTTTGTGTAAATCCACTGGGAGTTAATGCTAAATAAATAGATTAAACAGAACACATTAGAGGAATTGTATCTGGTCTTCTCTGATCAAAAATTAAATTTAGAAGATAAGAGGGCCAGACACATGATACCTTTACAGATAGACATTTATCTCCCCTTGAATAAAGAGTTGTCTCCCCTGGTGAATAGCCCTGTCACCAAAGTTCTACCCATATGAAGGTATATAACCCACACTGGATGTCATGCTCAAGGGACAGTCAGGCACTGAACATGTCTACACTGGAGTTATCCATCCTATTTTTGTAATTTAATTTTCCATAAACTTGTCTCTCATCATATGCATGTAGGGTTAACCTCCCTGACTCACACGTAGCCATCTACAGTGTTCAGCAGACGAAGGACATTGGTCCTTGCTTTTTGTGCTTAGAGTTATCCCTCACACATCTACACTGGTACAATGCTATTAATAGTTATCCCCCTTGTATGACTTGAAATTTTACAGTCAGGCACTGTATACATCTACACTGGTCCAAAACTCACTTGAGGTTTGACAGCCAGACACTGGAGCAATCCCCCCAACTCACTTGAGATTTGACAGCCAGACACTGGAGTTATCCCCCCGACTCACTTGAGATTTGACAGCAAGACACTGGAGTTATCCCCCCTGACTCACATGAGATTTAATGGCCAGGAACAAGAGTTATCCCCCCTGACTCACATGAAATTTAATGGCCAGGAACTTGACACATCTAAACTGACCCAATGCTATTAATATTTAACCTTGTTTAAAGTTGTTTCCCTGACTCACATGTAGCAATCATCCATGGTGTACAAAAGACCAAGGAGGTTGGACGGCCAGGCACTTGACACACCAACACTAGTACAATACTTATCCAAATGGACGGTGACTGCTGTGTTGCGAAGGTCCCAGATATATACTTCTTTGTCAGCACCTGGGTAAATAAGATCAGGGCATCACAAACATCTTATCACAGATTCTATAACCATGGCCAATATGATCATAAAGAACACAAATTGAAACAGTTAATCAAATTTAATAAACAGATTTTTCATATTTTGTTGGCCATTTGAGGAACAACTAAACCAATCAATCAAATGATGTGTAACAAATCAAGCAATTGTTTCAACCAATCAAAGAATGTGTCATAAAACAATTTCAACCTCAACCAACCAGATAACATGCAAACATAAATTTTGCCAAGTCATCACATGAATACTGTTAAAATGAAAAGATTCTTATTAATTTCCATCAAATATTTTCAAAACCTACTAAGGAATTCATCTCTCATTCGATAGATAATATGTAACAGATTAAGGCTGTTATATAATGGATCAGAATTTTTTCTTATATACATTACCTGAGGTAACAAAACAGTGGGGCACATGAGGGGACCAGGAACAAGTATACACAGCCCGTTTATGTGCTTGGAAGGATTTAAAAGGATAAAGACGGGTGCTGCCCTCTTGTGACGGAATCCTGACTAGAGATGAGGTAGATGTGAGGTCCCATACTCGCACAACACCTGGAGGTAAACAAAAAAATTTCAATAATACAATAGTGAGGTAACAAACGTTCACAACATGGTACATTGTCAACATGTTATCATATCTTAACTACTGTGTTCAGGACAATATCACGACAAGAAAGACACGAAAGAGTGATAACGTAGTGTTTGCTGCAAATGATGTTATATAAATACTATTCAATGGAGAAAAGACTCATATGAACAAAGAAGAATGATCAAGTCTTTGATTGAAGTATGCTGTGATGTCTATAATACATACAAAATTTCACTTGAATGATACACAATGAAACAGGTACATGCTCCAAAAACTCCACTTCATCATGACTGTGTACAAGGTTATTAAGTGGATCTCCACTTCATCATGATTGAGTGTACAAGGTTATTAAGTGGAGCTCCACTTCATCATGATTGAGTGTACAAGGTTATTAAGTGGAGCTCCACTTCATCATGATTGAGTGTACAAGGTTATTAAGTGGAGCTCCACTTCATCATGATTGAGTGCACAAGGTTATTAAGTGGAGCTCCACTTCATCATGATTGAGTGTACAAGGTTATTAAGTGGAGCTCCACTTCATCATGATTGAGTGTACAAGGTTATTAAGTGGAGCTCCACTTCATCATGATTGAGTGTACAAGGTTATTAAGTGGAGCTCCACTTCATCATGATTGAGTGTACAAGGTTATTAAGTGGAGCTCCACTTCATCATGATTGAGTGTACAAGGTTATTAAGTGGAGCTCCACTTCATCATGATTGAGTGTACAAGGTTATTAAGTGGAGCTCCACTTCATCATGATTGAGTGTACAAGGTTATTAAGTGAAGCTACATATTTCAATAATTAACGCTATCTAAATACCTTTTTGTATCATTTTTAATGCTTTCTGAGTTAAATTGCACAGTTGACCGTATTTTTGTAATTACAAATGCTACCAATTAGATAGTTTCAGCTAACACTTGTTTTTACAACAAAATTTTGAAGTTGAAAATTTTACCATCTGCATATCCAGCTATGATCCACGGATAAACTGGATCAGGATGCCAGGCGACACATAAACAGGGTGATGACTCCTCTACAAACAGACAAAAGATCCCACTTTAGAATCTACACAGACCTAAGATCAAGAGAACATGACACTTTTATAACATTAAATGCACCAGGTCTATCCAGATATAATATATAAATATACATAGTAACACCTGAAGAAGAAGAAACACTGTCATGTTATTGATTCAATTAATATACAATACAGTTAATGTATAAATTGTAATATTTTAGCAATTCTGTGGTAATTGTAGTTTCTGTTTGTTTATTATATAGCAGTTGTTATAATTGTGCTAATTTATCATTGCCCTAATTTATCATTTGTGATTTATAACTTATCATTTATAATTTATCATTGCCCTTATTTATCATTTATAATTATCATTGTGATTATTTATCAATTATAATTTAGGAATTTATTTGTGAACTCTCATTAGCTGTAAACACAGTATCTGTTAATGTATTGTTTGTGTACCCTTATTAGCTGTAAACACACAGTATCTGTTAATGTATTGTTTGTGTACCCTTATTAGCTGTAAACACACAGTATCTGTTAATGTATTGTTTGTGTACCCTTATTAGCTGTAAACACAGTATCTGTTAATGTATTGTTTGTGTACCCTTATTAGCTGTAAACACACAGTATCTGTTAATGTATTGTTTGTGTACCCTTATTAGCTGTAAACACACAGTATCTGTTAATGTATTGTTTGTGTACCCTTATTAGCTGTAAACACACAGTATCTGTTAATGTATTGTTTGTGTACCCTTATATGTAAACACACAGTATCTGTTAATGTATTGTTTGTGTACCCTTATTAGCTGTAAACACAGTATCTGTTAATGTATTGTTCAACCCTTATTAGCTGTAAACACAGTATCTGTTAATGTATTGTTTGTGTACCCTTATTAGCTGTAAACACACAGTATCTGTTAATGTACTGTGTGTGTACCCTTATTACCTGTAAACACACAGTATCTGTTAATGTATTGTTTGTGTACCCTTATTAGCTGTAAACACACAGTATCTGTTAATGTATTGTTTGTGTACCCTTATTAGCTGTAAACACACAGTATCTGTTAATGTATTGTTTGTGTACCCTTATTAGCTGTATCACACAGTATCTGTTAATGTATTGTTTGTGTACCCTTATTAGCTGTAAACACACAGTATCTGTTAATGTATTGTTTGTGTACCCTTATTAGCTGTAAACACAGTATATGTTAATGTATTGTTTGTGTACCCTTATTACCTGTAAACACACAGTATCTGTTAATGTATTGTTTGTGTACCCTTATTAGCTGTAAACACACAGTATCTGTTAATGTATTGTTTGTGTACCCTTATTAGCTGTAAACACACAGTATCTGTTAATGTATTGTTTGTGTACCCTTATTAGCTGTAAACACAGTATCTGTTAATGTATTGTTTGTGTACCCTTATTAGCTGTAAACACAGTATCTGTTAATGTATTGTTTGTGTACCCTTATTAGCTGTAAACACAGTATCTGTTAATGTATTGTTTGTGTACCCTTATTACCTGTAAACACACAGTATCCGTTAATGTATTGTTTGTGTACCCTTATTAGCTGTAAACACACAGTATCTGTTAATGTATTGTTTGTGTACCCTTATTAGCTGTAAACACACAGTATCTGTTAATGTATTGTTTGTGTACCCTTATTAGCTGTAAACACAGTATCTGTTAATGTATTGTTTGTGTACCCTTATTAGCTGTAAACACACAGTATCTGTTAATGTATTGTTTGTGTACCCTTATTAGCTGTAAACACAGTATCTGTTAATGTATTGTTTGTGTACCCTTATTAGCTGTAAACACAGTATCTGTTAATGTACTGTTTGTGTACCCTTATCAAATTACACATGCTGAAATTATTAAAGTATGTAATTAATCTAGTCAAAATTTCGCTACAAATGGTAGATTCCATAAATTGGAGAAAGAAATATTGTATTCAAGGAGAGTCAATTAACCAAAAATTGGTGACAATACAAATGAAGCACCTGCAGTTTTATTTGTTATATAAGTATGTAGAATACTGTAAAATCCTACCTTTTTGAGGGGCTCAAATTTCCTGATTTTCAAATGATAAATATTTTCATTGACACTTGATTTCATTGATAACTCTAATAAAATCCTCTTAATTATAATCAATGACAACATACAAAGTCATGAAACAAAAATCACTCCCCCACAAAAAATTAGGATTTTAAGTATCGGAAATCAAGATGATTACCTGTATATTATATTGCACATGAAAACTTGGGATTTATATTGGTGAATATTTTACCAGATGAATATGTATGATAACTTGTCTCAGTCATGTACTACAAAAATATCAGGCTCTTATAAACAACCGAATTCTGCATAAAATTTACTTTCACAAATCAAAAGCAAAAACACAATAATTGAATATAAGTTAAAACAGGGATAATGAAAATATATTTTCAAATATAACATTTATTTAATAAGGTTACTATTCACATTTATCTTATGTGCTGTTTATTCTGAATCTATGTGTACACCATATATAGCTATGCATATTCTGTATATTTTAAATTATGTGTCAAGGACATGTTGCACCCTTGAAAGTTTGATTCTGAGGAGTTTGTGTTTTGTAAGTGAAACTCCCTTATGGAGAATCTTTAGCATGTTATGACTGGGTGATCTTTACACAAAAGCTTTTAAGTAACTGTGATTGAAGTTAATCAGACTGATCTATTCCTCAGGGCTTTGTATCGTATGTTGTTAGTAAGGTGTTCAATGTCATTACAGTTTCTGAACAGGTTACTGCAGGCCCAAGTCCCTCAAACATCCAATGATAAAATATCAATGACTGTGTATAGTTCTCCCTACATGATCTAAATAAACGACAATGCACTTTGAATTTGACAATTGCAGCACACAATCCACAAAAGCTGTGAATTTGTCATATTACTGAAATCAAGAAAATTAGTTGACGCAAAAGAAAGATTATAAAGTATTTCCAATCTAATAATGTTTTTTGAACAAAATCAACATTTGATAAGAACATTGTGGCTGAAGATGCAATCTTTACCTTTACAAAATGAAGGCTGTAAAGTCAGTGATGGCTTTACATGATAAAAGGCAGGTTCTCTTAGCCTCTCATCAGCCTCTGCTGAATTCTTATCAATGTTTGATGACTGATCCAAATGATCTGATTTCAAATTTTCCCTCTCTGACTCATCGTTTCTTTGCCGTTGTTCCTTGACCTTTGATCCTTCACCTTTATCCTGTAATGGTTTTTCTGCGACTGTTGACCCTTTGTCTTGTGTTTGACACATGGACTTGTCATCCTCTACGTTGTCAATTAATGAACGTGGATGAGGAATGCTGCAAATGAGGAAACAATTTAAACTGTAATCCCAAAAATTAACTTTTTAAAAGAAACAAGAGGCCCTCAGGCCTTAACAGTCATCTGACTACAAAAACTTTCAGCAGGGAGACAGGCTATTTTTTCTACTTTGAATGAAATCTTACTACAAAGTTTTTTTCCATGATGGAGATGGTAGTTTTGGTGAGGAGAAGGTAACTGTAACAGGTGTTACCTATCTTTTGACAATTAAAATGGAGCTCATTCCCTCTGGTGAAACTCGAGAAGAAGTTTGAAATAAGAGTTGCACAGGAAAACCATGATTCGCAATCATGTTACAAAATGGCCTCCCTGGCTGCCATATCAAAGTTTTGACAAGGTCAAAAAATAACAACACTTTGTTGGCTACCTTTCCTTAACATTCCCACCGATGTTTAGCTCAATGGCACCAGTGGAACTGATGATGAAGTTTAAAATCTGTTTTTCAAGACGGTGGCCATCTTGAATTTTAGACATATCCGAAAAATAACAACAAATGAACAGTAGATTTTGTATAACCATTCCATCTGTACAAATTACATGGACATAGTTATATCAGCATCTATATGGACTTAAGAATTAGTCCTGGAGTTTATAATAGGTTTGAATAAGATAACTACAATATTGAAGATACAAGAATAGTTTTGGAGAAAAGGTAACATCCTAGACTTTGCAAAACTGAATTTTTTGCATAAAATTAAAACAAGATTTGAAATCAAGAGATATACCAAAGAGATCTCTTTTCAGCCAGTCTGACTGCATCAAAAGTTTTGGTCCTGAAAAATGTTGATTAAATCTTGTATGAACAACATCAGTACCTGTATATATGGAGACAGCCATCTGAACAGGCAGCTGCTAATAATCCTAGACGTGGGATAGTCTGTGATGTCTGCAACCAACAAAAAGATTTCAATGAGAAAATATTGAGACAAAGGTAGCCTATCTGATCGGACGCGGGTTGGGGATTGGGTTGTGGAGAGAGGATCTAAGGTAGGAGTGTCATAGACAGAACTTTCAAGACACAAGCATTGTTATATTTAGGTCAGATCTATCTGGTTGTGAAGTAAGGATCTGGGGTTGGCGTGTCATAGACAGAACTTTCAAGACACAAGCATTGTTATATTTAGGTCAGATCTATCTGGTTGTGGAAAGAGGATCTGGGGTTGGCGTGTCATAGACAGAACTTTCAAGACACATGCATTGTTATATTTAGGTCAGATCTATCTGGTTGTGAAGTAAGGATCTGGGGTTGGCGTGTCATAGACAGAACTTTCAAGACACAAGCATTGTTATATTTAGGTCAGATCTATCTGGTTGTGGAAAGAGGATCTGGGGTTGGCGTGTCATAGACAGAACTTTCAAGACACATGCATTGTTATATTTAGGTCAGATCTATCTGGTTGTGGAAAGAGGATCTGGGGTTGGAGTGTCATAGACAGAACTTTCAAGACACATACATTGTTATATTTAGGTCAGATCTATCTGGTTGTGGAGTGAGGATCTGTGGGGTTGGAGTATCATAGACACAAGTTTGGAGACACCTCTGTTATATTGAGATTTGTTTTTCCCAAGATTAGGTTGTGAGGATTGGTTAGGAGAATTTAGACTTGTTTTACCTGGTCTAACGTGTCACAACACAAGTTAGGACACCACTGTAGCTGGCGCACCTGACCACTCTCGTGACATATACACAACACCAGCCGAGCAGATTGACAGTTTGATCTGAAACATTGAACATTGAATTAAATTTCAATCAAATTTGGTATTTTTTTCCGAAGTTCTGACTTCAAAATTCTTGTCATAAGCAATATGATTGAAATCTTTGTTTTATCAATGTAAAGACTTATACATTTGTATAAGTCACTTTGTTTTAACATTTCCAGTTACCCTGAATTACAAGAGTATCTGTTTAAAATGGATATCACCTGTTTGAAATTAATATGTTGGGACAATAAATAAGGAACATTATATCATTGAAATACATAATTATCAATCATACATTTCTTCTCAACACAATGAAGAAAAATCAACAGTTATTTAAGTTCTCACTTTTTTGTACGAACTCCAACTTCCCAGAGCTGTATGATACCAGGTTGGGCGACACTTTTGTAGATCAGATTTGTTTGGTCCATATCAGAGTTGCAAGAAATAGCTAGGTATTGTGGGGACTTCATCTTAAGGGGTTGGGGGCACCATGCAAGACCCCACACTGGTCCACCAACAAAGAGTGTGGCATGCCCTGTTCCACAACATACATGTCAAGATAATATACAAAATTTGCATCAGTTATTTCATTTATAAGAAATTAATTAAATTGGATTCCATGCTTTTCACAGATCTAAAACTATGGTGACTGAAAAATTGATAAAAAAAAATCAGACGTTTTCAAAGTTCAAAGTTTCTTATAATCAAAAGAGTACTTTCCCCAAAATAAATGTAAATAGACAGGTTTTATTTAGAACTTTTTAAAACAGTAACTGGTAATGTTAATCAACAAATAAAATTAATGTGGTTGTGCCCTTAAGCATGAAATTTCATCCTAATTGCTCTTAACAGAATGTGACAGACCTTCTATATGTTGTCTACTGACTGAGGTAGCCACTACGACACTAGCCACAACAATACCTGGACTAAACATGACACGGGCTATTCAATTAGCCCAGAAAACAAATAATCTAGTATTGTAAAACCAGACAAATTTGTGACACTCTATTTTCATGGTTTTTCAAAAAATATAATCATGAACTCTACTCATTACAGATGAAGAAAAATTTAAAACAAAAACTATGGAGTATGTTGTAGAGTTATACTTACCACTGCCTAAGACTGACCCAAACCTTGGAATTGTTTTGGGTTTTCCTTGTTTTGTTTTAGAATTCTTTAGTTTAACAATAAAATCCACACTCTCCTTCGTGCTTGGAAGATATTCTTCTACAGCACTAAAAAATCAGATTAACACTTCACAATACACAACTAATGAAGTAGATTTAAGACAATTGTTCATCAAAATTATTAAAAACCACAAAATCTGACAACAAAGGCTTCTACGAAGTCCTCAAATAATAAAAACTTTATTTCTTATACAACAATAATGAAGCACTTTGCATCTATTTGTATGAAAATGTATTGCTGGTAATACTGGCAGAAAATCAGATTAACAAGAAAAATCCTGCATGGTCAGACAAGTGACCTTATTGCTTTTTTTAATTCATTTCAGAAAGTAAAGCCTGCTTGTCTTCCCAACTTGAGTTGGAATCATTTTCGAAAAGGAGTTTTCCAAGACAGGTCTTACATGAATAAGAAACAAGTTTTTAACATATCTAATCTAGCAAAATGAAAATTTAGCACATCATCATTTTTTGACAAACTAGCCCAATGTTCAATTCAAGTATCCGTAACATATACATGTAGTTATATAAACAACATACATTTACTGTAGTTTAAGTAGTTTAATTTTAGTTCAATACTTTTAGCACAAAAAAAGGCTGATAATATTACAGTATACTTGATCAACTTGTGATTATTGAAGACTATACGATATCAATATTTATGGTTGTCACTGATGAAACAAATTAATTTATTTATCCATTGAACAGATTTAACATCCACTATTGCAACTTTTCGGCCTTCCAGCAGGCAAGGATGAACCAAGGCTAAGCAATATCTGTTGTTGGTGTTGGTAAAGGATATGTCATTGACTAACCTTTGACTTTTTGATCTGTAAAACAACGCTTTCAAGTTTCTCAAACCATTCAGTAAATTCTGTATGACATTTGATTTTCATTTAACTGTTGAAAAAAACTTAATTGTTGAAACAGTTTCGGTATTTACTGTACGTTTTACTTTTCATCTCACCTAGAATTCATCCAAACCAAATGTATTTGATCAATGATAGAATGACAAAAGCATGGAGCTGATCTAGACAAGATCCTGGTTATACATTTCAACCTGAAATAAGGTTACTGGACTTAAAGTATTGCCCTCGACACAAAATCTGAACTGTAAACAAAGAAACAGCATCAATAATCCCGCTGAATAGCTGTATACACAGTTGGGCTTATTACTGGAGATGTGCTTATTACTGGAGATGTGCTTATTAATGGAGATGTGCTTATTGTTCAATAAATATGACACTACCTGACATCCACTTCCATCCAGTCCTCCAGCTGAGGAGAAATATCTGGGAACTTTCTTATCTGCGATTTATTTTGGTCCACTGTTTTCTTTAACATATAACTGAACTGTTCCCGTCCACCCTTCTCACGACCCAAAGGAAACCGCTGAGATCCTGGATTTAAAATAACATAAAAATTACTGCAAATAATATACAAAAAGTTTGTGGGAATCAAATCTTTAAAAAAAGGTAGGGCTATTTACCTGACACTAAACTTACTACCCAAACGATATGCAGATACTATTTTCCTTTCCTTTTACAGTAGTATAGATTTTACTGGGTTTTTTGTAATATTTTTTTATTTTGACTTCTTTTCTTAAACATTTTTTTTTTTCAACGAGAATAAAAAAAAGAAGAAACCATTTTTCGATGTTATTTATACCTGTCTTTGAAGATTCCATGTCGTTCTCTGAATCAGCCAATTTTACGTTTGTACCCTATATGTTCCTTTTATTTAGTATCAAAGAGATCTCAGGTAAAGATGTATGTCTGATTTCAAGTTACACGAGATGGAAGTATGCTTAATGTACCATATTTTCCAAATTATAAGTCACACCCTTTTTCCTCGTGAGTCAGGTGTGCAGCTTATATACAGGTGTGACTTACATGTGGACAAAAACAATTGGCAGGATGGGAAAAAAACAGGCAGCCTACCAGTACAAGATGCTACTGAGCTTTTTTTACCACTACCAGCCCGTCACATGTTTGTGACTGAAAGAAATCATCTAAAACCTTCATTTGCAATCATATACAGGATGATTTGAAGATTGAAATAAAAACAACATTCTTATATTCTCATTGATTTAATTAATCATACATTTTAATATGAATCACATTAATATCTTCTGGACTTTTGCAGTTACTTTGAAGCCCTAACAGAAGTTCACTATAGCCTTTTGCATCCGGGGATCGATAGGTCATCGGGTTAAAGGTCAAATTCTAGAATGACTGCCATACTTGTTTATGACATGAATGGCTTCATGTAACTTACAAGAAGTAATAACATGGGACCATATGAATTTGGTCAGCATGCAAGGCCCTCTGTTAATATTTAACAGTACAGACAGCGATGGAGAAATTGTTTAGTAAACGTACGTAACATCAGGCCCTATATCTGTGCATAGACAATCTGTGGAGGTACCCATGCCAAACAAGTTTTATGGGCTATTTAATGGCTTTTTTAATATATCAATAAAACAAAGGATTATCTTTGTATGATTCATTTGCAAACTTTTTAAAATGTGTCGCTGACAATTTTGATGTACATGTACTGCCCTCTATTGCCTGTTATATAAATGAACTTTGGTCAGCATAATGGTTACCACTTTGTAAATAAGGTTGTGGATTATATTTTGGTGCAGCTAATATGTGGATCAAATCGAAAAAATTGGTAAAAATCTGCCCTGCAAGGTATATATAATTTTGTCATGACATATCCTTCAGGGGTTTGTGATTCAAATTATATTTGAGATTGAATCTTTGGACTTCATTATGTATGAAAAACAATATCCCAGTATGGGTTTTTATTACAGCATATTATAGGGAGAATTGTTTCCACATACAGTTTAACATGCTTTGTGTTATTACACTTACTTTCATTGGACTTTGTATTATTCATTTTCAAGTTATTAACTTCATCATCATCAACATCTGTCTCGAAATTTTCATCAGATGACGATTCATCATCCAGATTTACACCTGAAGAGTCATCATCAAGTTCATCTCTCATCAGGTCTCCCTTGGTTGACAGATCTGAGAGTAGACTCCTGGCTCTGATGGAACAAAAGTAGATCAGGTTTCAAACATCAATTCATTTCATTCCTAGGAACCTCTAAAAAGTGTAACGTTCCTGTACCAGCTAAAGAACTTCTTCATCGGCCGACATGTATACATCATTTAGAATTTTAACATCATGAATCTGGTGGATAGTACAACTACAGGGTTTTATCTATTTCAGTTTTTAATAACATGTTTAAGCTGTTTTAGGACAATTTTCTGATATGCAGTTATACAGTTTACAATCTAGAGATCAAGGGAGGGAGCACGATAGCTCATTCGGTTAGAGTGTTGGCCTACGAAACCTCCGGTGAAGGTCAGAGGTACGTGGTTCAACACTCCCTACCCGAGATAATTTGCTTTTCTCAAGAAGCAGGGAAACAGACCCTGCATATGGTAATGTCCTTGGGCAAGACACTTTACCCTAATTACTCCGGACAGCATGTGACACGCCTCCTACATCATGTTCATTGAAGGTAGGAACCAGCTACCACAAGGAGACCTTGATTGCCTCAACATGACCCTGGTTGTTCACAGGGTGATTAACCCAGCAAGCAATCAAATTGAAATTATGCTGCTAAAATACTAAAAATGACTGTTCAATTTAAATGAAAATAAACTACTTTCCTTACAAATATTCATACTGATGTTGAGAGTATCTTTTCCACTTGTACATTGTAAGTAATATAACAATTTTATATTTTTGAGTAGAATACTTTTAAATGACCTACTTTTCAGATGCTTTTCGCTTCTTCCTTGAGACATCCTCCTCATCATCTTCTTCAGTTTGAAGTTTTTCCATTTTTAATTTCGCAATTTCTTTTTTCCGCTCAGAAAGGCTGTGATAATTCATGTGCTGTTCACGCCACATCAATTTGGATTCCTTCTTACAAATGTCACAAACAAATGTCTCATTCTGAGGAAAAAACAGACGATTTAGAAAATCTCATCAAACCATCACTAAAGGTTGTGTCCAAGATATTCTTTTGTGAGCTTTACCTTAGTAACAGTCCCTCAGAAATATCAAAGTTTCATTCAAATTCTAATGCAAGACATCGGAAAAATACATAAGTCTATGACTTCAAATTCTGCTTTTATTTTTAAATTTTCCATAAATTGTGATAAAAGATGAAAATAATTTTAAAACACACTAAAATCATTAAGAAACATGTTACCTCCCTTCCACACCATTCCAGGTGTTTGTGGTAGTACTGTATAAATCTCAGCTCCTTCCCACATTTTGGACACAGCAGACGTTTTATTTTTTTCAAAACAAGTCTAAGAGAGGCATTGTCTGTCATTCCTTCAGGACACTTTTTAGACCACTAATCAATAAATGAAACTCCATATAAGTTATACTGATATACACCTCAAATATAACTTTTTAATTTGATAAGTATGTTTCTTAACAGATAAATATCAAGGAAGATATTAAAATATTTATAATAGAGAAAGTCTACATTGTGCATTTGAATGTTAAGCAGGAACATTCTCAGACCCAGATATAAATCACACTGTAGATAAGTGATACTGTTATGTAAGAGGACATTCTCAGACCCAGATATAAATCACACTGTAGATAAGTGATACTGTTATGTAAGAGGACATTCTCAGACCCAGATATAAATCACACTGTAGATAAGTGATACTGTTATGTAAGAGGACATTCTCAGACCCAGATATAAATCACACTGTAGATAAGTGATACTGTTATGTAAGAGGACATTCTCAGACCCAGATATAAATCACACTGTAGATAAGTGATACTGTTATGTAAGAGGACATTCTCAGACCCAGATATAAATCACACTGTAGATAAGTGATACTGTTATGTAAGAGGACATTCTCAGACCCAGATATAAATCACACTGTAGATAAGTGATACTGTTATGTAAGAGGACATTCTCAGACCCAGATATAAATCACACTGTAGATAAGTGATACTGTTATGTAAGAGGACATTCTCAGACCCAGATATAAATCACACTGTAGATAAGTGATACTGTTATGTAAGAGGACATTCTCAGACCCAGATATAAATCACACTGTAGATAAGTGATACTGTTATGTAAGAGGACATTCTCAGACCCAGAAATAAATCACACTGTAGATAAGTGATACTGTTATGTAAGAGGACATTCTCAGACCCAGAAATAAATCACACTGTAGATAAGTGATACTGTTATGTAAGAGGACATTCTCAGACCCAGATATAAATCACACTGTAGATAAGTGATACTGTTATGTAAGAGGACATTCTCAGACCCAGAAATAAATCACACTGTAGATAAGTGATACTGTTATGTAAGAGGACATTCTCAGACCCAGATAAGCTAAATCACACACACTGTAGATAAGTGATACTGTTATGTAAGAGGACATTCTCAGACCCAGATATAAATCACACTGTAGATAAGTGATACTGTTATGTAAGAGAACATTCTCAGACCCAGAAATAAATCACACTTTAGAAAAGTGATACTGTTATGTAAGAGGACATTCTCAGACCCAGAAATAAATCACACTGTAGATAAGTGATACTGTTATGTAAGAGGACATTCTCAGACCCAGAAATAAATCACACTTTAGAAAAGTGATACTGTTATGTAAGAGGACAATAACAGAACCAGAAATAAATAAATCACACTTTAGAAAAGTGATACTGTTATGTAAGAGGACATTCTCAGACCCAGAAATAAATCACACTTTAGAAAAGTGATACTGTTATGTAAGAGGACATTCTCAGACCCAGAAATAAATCACACTTTAGAAAAGTGATAGTGTCATTTTCACAGTGGACTGATGAGATATAAGAGAGGGCTATCATGACAATGGAATTTTTACAAACTGTACTTTTGTTGATCAAACTTATCATACACATAGCAAGAATTTTAACATTTTCAAACTCTGAGTTATTACAACTCTTCAACATATTCAAATATTGTTATTAAAATGAATTTTCAATTGAATAATGAAAAAAAACAGTATTTGGTTATTTCTACATTCAAAACTGACTTACCACAGCAGAATGGATTCTCATCATGTGATCACTAATGCCATTTTTTCCCTTATATTCATTTCCACAATGCACACATTTGAAGGATTCCTGAAAAAACACAAAATCAAAATAAAGATGCTTTTCTTGGTTTCAATTCACTCAGAATTTATATAACATGATTTTAATTCAATAATGGTTGACTTCTATCCTCCAACTTGTTTCACTTTCAAAATTAAAAATGAGAATGTTTTTGTTTACTTCAGAATCAGCTTTTCTCTAAGAAACATTAATTCGACATGAAACATTTTTGAAGAATATAGTACAAAATTTTCACCCAATATGTACCTTACGCCCATTACTATGTACATACAGAGAATAATTACCATATATGTCACAATGAAACTCCTCAACAAATCAAAAATTGAAAGATGTACAATACAATGAACATTTACAATTTATTTTTAGAATGTGTGTCAATTTTTTTTTCAATAAACACTTATATAATTATATAATAGTTTTCAATAAACACCAATATAATTATATATTAGTTTTCATAGTTATATATTAGTTTTCAATAAACACCTATGTAGTTATATATTAGTTTTCAATAAACACTTATATAATTATATATTAGTTTTCAATAAACACCAATATAATTATATATTAGTTTTCAATAAACACCTATGTAGTTATATATTAGTATAATTGTAATCACCTGCTCTATTTCTGGCCCTGAATCATCAGCACTGCCAGAGCTTTGCATACTTTTATTTCGATCTTGGCCTCTACCACGACCTCTAACTCGTCCTCTCCCTCTAACATTTGGAGTGTAGTCGCTATCTGAATTATAGCTACAATTGTCAGATAATGAAGGTCTTCCTCTACCTCGACCTCGACCCCTCCCGCGGCCTCGACCTCTACCCCTACTTCCAACCTTTGGTGTATTAAGTTCTGATTTGTCAGATTCATTAGACAAGCTTTCATCGACAGACATTTCATCATTACTTTTTTCTTTTTCTTTTAAATGTAAAGGTCTTATGGGGGTAGTTTTCCCCCTTCCTGATGGTCGCCCCCTTGGACGTCCTCGGCCTCTGACTTTCGGTGTAGAAGATTCTAAAGGTTGACTTTCGTTATCAATACTGTCATTTAAACAACCATTACTGATGTTGTTTTCAGTATCTTGTATACTTTTATCTCCCTTAGTTGTTGTTGCTTTTCCTCTGCCACGTTTTCCTCTACTATATCCACTAAATGAAGGTATAGAGGAATCAGTGTTGTCCCTGTCAGTGCTTTCATCAGCATCAGTATCATAACCACTGCACACAAAGCTACTGACTTCCTCATTCACTGAACTGTCCTTTTGTCCTTTGTTTTTAACTCTACCTGAGTGTCCTGCCTTAGGAACCGAAACATCACTTTCATCACTGTTCACTAATTTGTGTTTTCCTGATTTAGCTTGACCTCTTCTCCTACCTTTGGGTCGATCTGCATCATGACCTGTAGAATCTGGGGAGCAAGATTCTAACAATAGTTCATCATGAAAAAAATTCATCTTTTCGTCGTCTTCCTTATTCAGAAAAGTGTCACTTTCCCTCCTCCTGCCTCTTCCTCTGTCTTTGCCTGTACCTGGACCCATTGTTTTCTCTAAGTCTTGTCTGACACTTTCCTTTGAAGCAGAACTTAAGGATTCAGCAAATTTTGTTGTTAAGCTGATTTTTCTTCCACTAGAACTTTGAAATGTAATGATTCCTTCCTTCTTCTTTCTTGTGTTTGGATTTAACAATTCTTTAGTTTTTTTGACATTTCTTGTCTCTTCCACAGAACGATCTAAACTGGTAAAATCTGCTACTGTGCTTTCATCCATTGACTTGCGACATTTTGCATCTGGTAGACATTTAGGTCTCCCTCGTTTTCTTTTTATCAATGTCAACTCAGTTTTTTCATTGTTAAATGCTGTTTTTCCTCCGAGACCTTTAATAAAAGAAACTGTTTAAATGACCTTGTTTGAGGTCAAGACTACATATCAGAGATACCATACACATTTAGGGTTCAAGAAAATAGTTTAGTATTGTCGTGTATATACCCTAAAAACTCTTAAAATAATACAAAGCTTATTTTCCTCAATAGTAAGCAAACACAAGGTTATTTATGAAAGAAAATACACGCCTTTTTCAAGATAGGCTGATTTTAGAGGTCAAATTATTTTCAATTTTTTAAGGCATACACGTGTTTCAAATGATTCACTGTTAAAAGAAATTTTAATAATTCCAAGCACCATCAAAAACATTATATGAACTTACAATTTATCAACCTATAGTACCTATTATCTGGTTTACTTACATCTTTATCACCACTTTCTTAAATACATGAAAGAAGACACTGAATTAATGTCCAATTTATATCAACAAACTAACTCTAAATTTTGTCCTGACAACTTCAATCTTAACAGCCAATTGTCATGACTATGTCATTCTTATGTATCGGTATTTCATAGAAACATGTTAGCATGATAAAGAACTCTACCATGAATCTGATGAAAGAATTTTAAGATTCTGATAGTGATGGCCAATAATCCATACAAAATATATCAATAATCCTTTAAAGAAAAAAAAATGAATTGCTTCCAATAACAATAGTTATACACATGAAATCAATTTTAATCAATAATCAATCAGTTTTGTGCAATCAATTATCAATTATGAAATTGGAACCAATTCCCATCAGTAGGATCCACACAATGGAACACTACCACAGTTTTCACATAAGGATTATTCCATTTATTCTTATTCTGAATTATATATACACATACAATTAAAGAAATTCAGTAATACATTTCCTGAGATTTAGATTATTGACAGCACTCATATGCTTACTTTTCAGATATGTAAACATTGAAACATTTGAACTGAATCATAAAGCTCCCATTTTATCTAAACTTTAGTCAGGCCATTGAATCAACAACAAAGAAATGGCTATTTCAGAAAGATGGCGACAGCAGTTCTTGTCATTGATATAGTGCGTTAAATCTATAATTTTTATCAATTTTTACACGATCAAACACTCCTACTAATACTTATCCATAATACTAAGCATACCATCATCAACAACTTGGTTGGGCCTGTTTTGTTCATTTCTCTGTGCATCAGAAGCTGCCACATTCATTCCACATTGGTCGGTAGAGGTTCCTGTCATCCTCTTAGATTCCATTATCTCCAGTTCCTTATTATTATCCAAGTTAGATCCTTCACCATCATTTTCCCTCGTTTGTGTAAAAGATTTCTCTGGTTTTTTCGGTCTCCCTCTTTTCTTTGCCTTGACATGCTCCAGTCTTTGCATTTCAATTGTCAGGTTTCCTTCAACATTTTTATCATTGCTTCCTGTAACATTGTCTTCCTTCCCTAAATCCTCATACACACTACTTTTTCTCTGTCTTTTGGGCATGTTGTACCAAGCTTGCAGCAAGATTATTAATACTTTCTATTTGACGGTAATCCTCATTGCTTCCTTTTCTTGCTTGTAATGAGGATCAAGTTGGAAAGTGATCCGCTTGTGTCTGAATCCATTCCTGAGAGTACCTAAAAAAGAATCAAAGCACAATGTAAACATTCACATACTCATCAAATTAAATGTAAAAAACTTCAAAAGGAAGGAACCAACATCAGGTGTTAGGTGGGTACTTCACTGTGAGTATGGATACCCTATAGGTATGCAGGTCGACGGAGACGAAACTAGTCGACAACAAAGTCAACACCCTCTTAATCGGTAACATGTAAGTATGTCATGATTAATAGCCTCTTCATATAAATTACATGTAAGAGATACAATGCATATTAATGTAATACAGTGCATACAAATTAACAAAGAATAACTTTCCTGTCTTAAATTTATCAATTGATAATCAAGTATCACAAAAGCAAACTTTCTCAAAACTTAATTGAAGTCTCAATACATGTAGTTTTCATAAACTATTTAATAACTCTTTTATATGTACATTTTTAGGATATAGTACACTATTCTTCTGATACAGTTGCAGAGAGTGTAATGACATGTACAAATTGTATCTTCTTATCTGCAGGAAAAAACCAAATAAAACGAGGAGAAAATGTAAACTCACTAAAATGCTATGCAAATTGAGATGCTTCAAAAAGCAAGAAAAGAATAAGGCAAGATATATAGTTACAATAGTAAGTAAAGAAGCTTACCAACACATTAGGAAATTGGGGAGTGAATAAAATTTGATATTATTTAACAATCTATACAAAATTAAAGAAACGTACTAATATAAGTGCCTTGTCTTGGGATTGTTGGAGACCAATAAATGTATGTTAAATGAAACTGACCGTTTTCATCAATAAAAATTAAACACATAATATTGTAGGCTGTAGCTACATATGTATATAGGTTATAGTTCATTCATGAATATAATTCTGCATCCAAATTGGAAAAGATTTCTTTCAGAAGTATGCTAACTTTCTCTGAAGTTACAGGGGCACAATGCTACACATTTTCTTGCAAGCGAACATACATCATTAGCAACCAATATCGCTTCATGTACATAGTCCAAATGATGGCATGACCAGTCGTTCCGTCCATGTGTAAACTAAGGACAAAACGGTATCGATATGGACAGTCCCATTAACGTGAAATTTTAGCAACAAATCACACAAAAGATTAAAAAACAAGTTTTGTAACAATAATATAACATTAAATGAAAATCAAACATACTGCTTGTGGGAGGATTCGAACCAAAAAGATAGCAAACCTTACTCACGGAACTTATCAATCAAATCACGCAGGACCGGAAACAAAGTAAAATACCCAATGCGGTAGATGTAGTCGATAATTCAATGAAGTATTTTCCGTAAATTTCTGTGCACCTAATCATAAAACATACATTATAAAGAACTTACTTAGTTAAAATAATTGAAGAACATATGTATATTACAAGACTTGTATTTAAAATAAAGAAAGTGAAAATAGATATTATCGCTGCACTGCTCTGTATTATACCAGAAAGCTTCCGGTTAATGAGAAAGGTAGGATATTTTGCCGGTAAGGATTGTGTTTTTATGTTTATATGGTAATTTTATCACGTGGTGTGAAAAGATGTGGAAAAAATCACGTGTATTCCGCATGATTTTCTGACATAATCGCTTGTAACCGACTGTAACAATTCTCTCGACCCCAACACTATGCTCTTAAGCTGGGCCTGCAGTGTGCATTTAGTTATTTTAGTTATGGTTCTTAAATTTGGTCTGATTTTCTTTCTGCAATACAAAATTTGTATTTGAAAATTATTGAAAAATATCAAAATATACTTTGATATACATATACCAAAATAAAAATTATATTCATACGAAGAACCTCTGAAAAGGTGAAAATCGTATGGAATCAGTCTCCTATTCTTTATTTTCCTAGCCTAAACCATATACTGTAAAATCCATAGTTTTCATGGATATGGTGGGTACATCTAAATCCACATATTCATTTGTCCCCGAAGTGTAAGTAGATTCATTGAGCTATATATTTCATGATATCAAGTGTCTTCAAAATACTATCCCAAAGCGTAAGAAATACACACACAAATGTTGAACCTAAAAAATGAAACGATTTTATATTTACTTTTAGGCCTTGTCTCAATTTCTGCAATATGCATGTTAACTGGAGTACTGACAAGAAAACTTATATGGGAAGGGAAATATATCCGGTCAGACTAAGTTCCTGCAGCACCATTAGATTACATTGCAGTGTGTGGTTTTTGAAATTGACTTCTTGATGAATTGACGATGCATTTCTGAAATATGGGATTCAAATTTAGTTTATGACCTATAGCTACCTACATAGAGTTGGTAATGGATTTGCCATTTCACGGTTTTGTATAGTTATAAACTCATTTCAACAAATTTGCTTTAAGTCAATTTTGGATAAAAAGGAAAGATATTACTTGTATTGTGTGTCATTTTGGAGTGCCATTACAAACCTCAACCAACTGTTTAACTATATCTTTTTTATAAACATTACATTCCTTATACAACTCTTCATTTATATAAATAGATGGCAGCACCTGGACATCAATATCAACAGATGATGTCTGGTTCCCAAGGGCAACTAGGTCAACAGCCAGCTCCTTTCCCTGGTGTCCAGCCAGGTCCTGGTCCTGGTCAGGGGCCAGGGCAGGGGCCTGGTCCTGGTCCAGCAGGTCAGCAAGCTTTGATAGGTCAACCTCCAATGCAACATCCTCCCGGCCAAATGGCACCACAGATGATGTCACCTGGTGCCACCAAGGAGCTTAATGCTATCACACTGTGTAAGAAGGGACAGGAGTTTGTGCAAGATATAGTTGCCAAAGTCACAGAAATATTTAAACAGCTACAGACAAAGCAGATGCCGGTAAATTATGTCGCTTACAACAGCATAATATAATTACCAGGGACAATTATATTGATTGATGAAAATAAACCAATGAATAAGTGTCTATGTTTACACTCTGGCCACACTCATTATTTTAATGATTTTTTCCATAATGATTTATAGATATAATTTCCAAATTTATTCTGAAGGAAAATTATTTGATTGTAAATTCAATATGATATATTTCAGTATTGTTATAATACCTGTTAAGCTCTTTGTAAAGTCAAATGTTCATAATAAAACTTATAAATAGACTAACATATTTTTCAGTAAGAAAAAAAACTTGCAATGAAAATGATACTTTTTTACCAACATTGAGTAACAGGAAAAATGAGAGGTGACATATTGAAATATATTCCCCAGGTGGAAAATACATTGCTAGAGATAAATTTTACCTTTCAGCTACCTAATGGTTTGAATGCAACTACTGCTGCCTACATGGACAAACGAAGTAAACTAGAAGAGAACCTCCAGACATTGTCTATGGGATTTAAAAAACTTCATCTTTTCTATAGCAAGGTCAACGAAATGAGCAAAGATTGTGACAATTTATCAGAAGAGGTATATGTATAACTACAAATGACTGCTGTAACTTTCATCTTCTCTTGGCTATGGATCTGTTGTTACACAATTCCATCAAAACTTTATCCCGCATTAAGCTAATTGGAATTAAGCCCATCGTATGTGTTTTCATAAAGATACAAAACAAGACTTCTAAAGTATATCATTTCAGTGTTATATGCCCAACTTTTGACCTTTTTTGATGTTGACTTAGGCTTGTTTAAGGATAATGCTAATTTGTATTATATTTAATGTAGATAGTTTTCGGATTATTTTGACACCATTTTCAAATATGGAAAATCATGGTTTTGAATTTGGATCCATCAATTATTTTGGAAAATTTACGTGATTCAGAAATTTTTGAAGAAAACTCCCTCTTGATAATTATGCAGGGATGACATTAAAACATACTAAATCTGATTGATATGTATGAGGAAACACTTTGTAGTGAAACAAACAGAAAATAATAATAAAAGTGGATCTTTCTGACAATACAAACCTATATTATACATGACCAATCTGCATACTTGACATAGAAGTGTCTTCCTGTAGAGTACAAGGTCGCATGTGCTGCAGACTTCAGTACAACAATTATCATAAATGGAGGCATGTTTACAAAGAGTTAATTTCAACTGCTTTTATTTCAACACCAAAGCATGATGTCATTTTGTGTATTTCTCTGGTAATTTTTACTATATTTATATATATTAAATAGATTCATTTTTCTTTCCAACTTTTTAGTTGAGTATATTGAAGTTCTACATAAATGTTTGCCAGGGTATTTTTATTTACTGTTTATTTACAGTATGTATCTCGTTGGCTGTGTACTGAAATCAATTCTCTGAAGCCCCTAATACATAGTTTTTGATGTAAGGAGTTTAGCCCCTTTGTTTCATGAAAGTTTGTGGACAACAGAATTGCTCACAATACTTTGCTGGGTGTTTTGGGGTTTGTTTGGTATTATTTCATGTATATATTGTACATACCAGGTAGATTTCATGTATTGAATTGAATACTAAATAACATCATGTCATGTGATAACATAATATATGTACTTTACGTCAGATTTCAGTTTGTGTTGTGATATCACAGTTTTATTTGCAACAAAGAAGCTGTATATGTCACAAAGATGAGAATTAGAATACTGCAATTGAATTTGGTATTTTGTGTTGACTTTGCTGTATATTGCAATTATTCTATCCTACAGGCTCTGATACCGATAGAAGGACAGCCTTTTGAGGACAGAATGTCAACTAGTAGCTCGGAAGTGTACTACAGATATGTTGTGGATGAGAACAGAGAAGTCATTGAGGTTGTATATCAGTACCAAGTATTTCTTATCAGTAAATTTACAATTATTTAAGCATATCTTTCAAACATTCTTTTTCTATTCCTTCTCCCTCGCACCTCCTTCTGTAGAGTCTTGTCTCTGTTTTTATTGTCAGACATCAGTATCCTTAAAGTATGACCCGAGCTGTTGGAAAATTCTTAAAAATCAAAAAAATATCCATATTTTCAACATCTCCTAAAAGCAGGTGTAAATGTAAAGTGCACCATTTTCCTAACTGAGGCAACTCACCATCTTGATAAGTAATCCAGCTTTTTATACGCCCGTCGAAAGTCGGACATATTATGGTATGGCGCTGTCTGTCCGTCCGTCTGGCGTCCGTTGTAAACTTTTATTTGTCTGGAGATCTCCTCCTACATTTTTCAGCCGATCTTTATGAAACTTGATAGGCTTAATCACCATGATATGAAGTTGTGCTTTCCCGAACGGGGTTTTGATTTGGTGATTTAAACAAGAATTATGGCCCTTTGTTTATTTCACTATAGAAATCTTGTCCGGATATCTCCTCCAACATTTTTCAGCCGATCTTTATGAAACTTGGTAGGCTTAATTACCATGATATGAAATTGTGTTTTCCTGAATGGGGTTTTGATTAGACAATTTGAATAAGAGTTATGCCCCTTTGTTTATTTCACTATAGAAATCTTGTCCGGAGATCTCCTCCAACATTTTTCAGCCAATCTTTATGAAACTTGGTAGGCTTTATCACCATGATATGAAATTGTGTTTTCCTGAACGGGGTTTTGATTAGACGATTTGAATAAGAGTTATGCTCCTTTGCTGTTTTGGATGATCACAGGCATATTTTGTTCCGCTTTGCGGTACTCTTGTTTTAAAATCATATGTAGCTGTTTCCCATCTCATCAGCTTCATTACAGGTATATGTATATTTATGGTCATGAAATTTATGACTCTGAAAATACAAATTATGATTTTCTTTTTAAGTTAAATGGTAGAAATGATTTGAACACTTTTATGATGATTGTGCAGTTTGTATGTTATTGAAAAACATTGCTGAAACTAAAAACTAGAAAATGTCTGTAAGACATGATTGTACTCCCCCTCCCCTTTCAAATCATATGCAAACCAGAATCTGAGAATTTGGTCAAGTGTAGAACATGATGTTATGATTCTAAGGGGTAAATATGAACCAAATCTGTAAAAAGTTTCTCAAGATAAGACTTAAACTCAGAGACATAACACCATGAAATTTGCCAGGAGTAGAAAACACATGTTAACATTTATGATCAGTATGACTGAGTAACCAATGATTTTGTAGGTTGGTAGAGGGAAAAAATTATCAGTATGCTACTACTTCATGGCATGACCTTTCCTTTTACAGCAATTACAAGCTAAAAATAGAGAGCTGAAGGATATCATTGATCAAATGAGAGTGATTATCTGGGAAATCAACACGATGTTGGTGATGAGGAAAACGTGAGGATGTGATTGCTGTCTAGGACCACGAAAGGTGTGACAGATGACTAGTGCTAGACCTAGGACAGCGAAAACATCACCAGTGAAATCAACGTTATCATTTATCGGATGATCTAAATAACATGTTTGAGGACAGTATTTGGACACGTTATGGTGTGTTAATGAGTGAAATTGCTTCTTCAGATATTTCAGTCTTAACACAAGTATATAGACTAGTTAGCTGTATAAGGTGCTTAGCCAATGCTCTGTCTCTCAGCTGCAGAAACTGAAAGATAATGTTGTCATTGCCTATAGCAAGTATTCAACAGCTGTCCTGATCTTCAATGTTTCTGTAGGAAACCGAGTACTGACAGTTGAACTAATTTAGTATTTTCTACCTTGTTGTAAAAACAGTTTTCAAGTGATTATTGAAATGAGATTTGACTCGAAAGCTGTTCTTAATTTTCACCACTTTACAGATTAACATACCATGTGTAAATTAGAGCATTGAAACAACTGCCAAGAATGATAGTCTTCACTGTAAGACCTGGAAACTGTTTTGAAGATATAAGAAGTAGGTGAACATGATTATTGATCTACATTGTAAATATATCATCTGTTTTATATATAGTAAAATAAATGAAATGGTATTTCAGTTATCTAGTAATTCTTTTCATTTGTTCAACGATTATCAGCTTCAAAAACTTACTAAGTTGATAAGTGATATATACTACCATTGTATCTTTAGTAACACTGTTTGCTAGACTCCAGATTTATTTTTAGAATCACTGACATTGACTTTTCTGAACATGTTAGAGGAATATTACACTGAAAATTCATGGCATGTGATTGAGATTTGCCAGAAATGCGTCAAGGGGAATAATTTTGCGATTCTAAGTAGATTTTTTGAAAGTGATATTCAGTACAAGTTAGGATTTCATGTGAGACTTCTGAAGAAAACTTTTAAAAAGTCATCTACGTATGTTGATTGTTCTTGTGGAAATCGTACTAATCTAGCTAGATTGATTTACAAACGTTTGCGTTGCCCTGATTGCGCTATAATAGGTTTGCGTTTTGGTGTAAGTTATAAAACCAACAGAAATTCAACATAATGAAGTAATAGAATTGTAACCCCAGCAGATATTTTAGTGAACACTATACACACTTGTGTATTTACCCAATATTCTGCATAAAATTTATAGTCCAGTTACCTTTCATTTCCGGATTTCCCCATGCGCAATATTGGGACGGTTTGGCTTGGGGTATTCTCACTAATTTTGCTTGTACAGACTGACCACGAGGCAGATCTTATGATGCTAACATTAGTTTCAAACGTCATTAGTATGAGTTCTTAATGGGTACAGAACTGCCAGAAATATTGCAACTCTGACGGAATAGGCCATTAAATGAACTTGTGAATAAAGCCGTAAAGAGTTATCTCCCTTTGTTTCTATTTATGAGATTGTGTAGCTCTCACGATCAAGCTTGGCGACTGAGAATGTGCTTTCTGGTTATATGGTGACTATTTCTTTGTAAATAACTACATTTCTGTCTTTAAAAAAAGAGACAAAATATAACAGTGTATTTTTTATCTTATAGGTTTTAAAAAACATATATGTTGTCTAAATTAACCAGAGACGTATATATAATATATGCTATATATGTCTCTGAATTAACCAACGGTTCATTACGCCCTGTACAGAACTCGTGTTATATTCCTGTATGCGCTCATCGATTGTGATAAGCATATTAACTTAATTATCTCCCTTGTACATGTCTCCTATAGTTCATATTTCTTTTGTACCAAAATCTCCCCTTGAACACATCGAAGTTACCGCCTCTATGTACAAGCTTAAAGAGACAATAAAAGCCGGCATTACTCAAGAAACCTACATAGGTGGTTATTTCAAAAGCAACGTACATGTATTCGTATTAAACACCAAAGGTTCAACCACGGACTATTGTAAGTTCAGGGTTCAACAATTTAGCTCACATTTGTTCTTAATGACGCATGCTATAATTTTCATTTGTCATTGGTAAATCAAGTATTTAAATTTCATATGAGCTGTTCTGCGACGTAATGTACCGTCCTTGTCAAAATATACCTCGATACATTAAGAATATTTTGAATGTGTGGCACAAGTCTGGCAATATTTACATAAAAAAAATCGACTTGTTTTAGGTAGTTAAAATATATAAACCTTTATTTCATGTGGACGCATTTGGTTTGTTTTCCTATACATCTTTGTAATTAAACTGAATCAGGGACGTTTTTGCACATGTACATGCGTCCCATCCTCGATACTACAGGGGTGACGATCACTTTCGCTCTCAGCACCCAGGATGAAGACGCATTCCAGTCACGTGACTTTAGTGGAATGACAACTGTCATACGTTTTGATCCATTTACGACACCTACGCCCTGGTGACGTGACTTTGATGAGATGGCGTTTTAAAGTTTAGCAACGCCAAGCTTTACACTATTATAGAATTGTTTCCGTCTGTGTTTGGTTCACTACCTGTATTGTATTCATCATCCTGCTCTTCGTCACTGTTGTTAGATCCGCTTTTATTTTTCGTAGGTTCACCTGATTCAGAAATAGCTGGAAGTTGTCGGTGAGGTTCACCTTTGTTTGGTTTTACATCTGATTTCAAATTCTCATTTCTGGGTAGGGACGATGATGTGTTCGAATGGTTTGTTTTCGTCAACTGGTCTCGCAATGTGTTCCGGACATGATTTTCTTCACGTTGCTGTCCGTTAATGTCAGCTGAGTTATCGTTTTGTGCCTGTGTCGGTTTGCTCGTTGTTGTTGAACTCGAGAAAGGACGAAGACTTGAATAGACTGTAGGGAACCAGGAAAGAGTTGAGGAGGGGAAAAAAATGTATTCTTCATGTAATCCTTCAAACTGAAAAAGGAACGGTAATGTTTGTTGATTAGATCATTAAGAAGTTCATCGTCTGTGCATGTCGGAACCACCCGATTGCTTTTAGTTAACGTACGTCATCTGACGAAAATGTCCGATTGCTTTTAGTTAACGTTCGTCATCTGACGGAATTGCCCGATTGCTTTAAGTTAACGTTCGTCATCTGACGAAACTGTCCAATTGCTTCGAGCTAAAGTTCGTCATCTGACGAAACTGTCCGATTGCTTTATATTAACGTTCGTCATCTGACGGGAACTGTCCAATTGCTTCTAGCTAAAGTTCGTCATCTGACGGAACTGTCCGATTGCTTTAAGTAAACGTTCGTCATCTGACGAAACTGTCCGATTGCATCTACTTAACGTTTGTCATCTGACGAGTCTGTCCGATTGCTTTTAGTTAACGATCGTTATCTGACGAAACTGTCTGATTTCTTTTAGTTAACGTTCGTCATCTAACGGAACTGTCCGACTGCTTTTAGTTAACGTACGTCATCCAACGGAACTGTCCGATTGCTTTTAGTCAACGTCCGTCATCTAACGGAATTGTCCGATTGCTGTGCAGTTAACGTTTGTCATCTCATGGAACTGTCCGAGTTTCTTTCAGACTACGCGTCTGCATAAAGATGCAATTTCGTGTAACAAAATAATTTGTCTCGTCAGAATTTACTTAAGACTTACCGGTTTATTTCTGATATTATTCATATCAAATCTCCCGCTGTTTGTTTGTGTTAATCCTGAAATAAGAGAGAAATCGTTCACGTTATGTACATTAAAATTATGTAAATGTCGTTCAATAACTGAAGGACAAAATACACTACGTCGTTGATAAATAAAAGGACAAAAGTGTACAACAGGATTAATACACAAGGACAAAGTATAACGCAGCGTCAATCAATTAAAGGGCTTAAGTGTACCACGGAATCAACACCAGGAACAAAGTGTACCACAGCGTCAACACACAGAGTCTACACCGGGAACAAAGTGTACCACAGCGTCAACACACAGAGTCTACACCAGGAACAAAGTGTACCACAGCGTCAACACACAGAGTCTACACCAGGAACAAAGTGTACCACAGCGTCAACACACAGAGTACACACAAAGTGTACCAGTCTACACCAGGAACAAAACACACAGTGTACCACAGCGTCAACACACAGAGTCTACACAAGGCACAAACTATACAACAGCGTCAACACACAGAGTCTACACCAGGAACAAAGTATACCACAGCGTCAACACACAGACTCTACACCAGGAACAAAGTGTACCACAGCGTCAACACAGAGTCTACACCAGGAACAAAGTATACCACAGCGTCAACACACAGAGTCTACACCAGGAACAAAGTGTACCACAGCGTCAACACACAGAGTCTACACCAGGAACAAAGTGTACCACAGCGTCAACACACAGAGTCTACACCAGGCACAAAGTATACAACAGCGTCAACACACAGTCTACACCAGGAACAAAGTGTACCACAGCGTCAACACACAGAGTCTACACCAGGAACAAAGTGTACCACAGCGTCAACACACAGAGTCTACACCAGGAACAAAGTGTACCACAGCGTCAACACACAGAGTCTACACCAGGAACAAAGTAGATATAGTGTCAACACGCAGGGACATCAGAACAATTGATATCATCACACATTGACAAACGAAAAGAAACCGAGAACTTGTAGAGACTCGCTACACACCTTTCGCGTAACAGATTTTCGATGTAGAAATTAAAAAGACAAAAAGTTGAATATCCTTACCTTTCATCACAAGCCTTCTTCTCATTACAAACAAAAGCAGGCAAAAAGACATTCCAAGTAACAACAGAAGTATCACACGGTGGAAGAAAGCGTTGGAGAACTTATTTAAAGCTGCTTTTCTCATGTTGAATAACTTACGAAATAATGATAGATATTGTAACTTTTACAAAGATACGTTAAACAGTTCGCTCCTAAATGCGGCCATAACACAATTAGAGTAAGTTCTTGAATGAAGAGGTGGCTAACGTGCATATACAGACACAGATACATATCTCCATGTTTGATTGAAACTGTATTGTTATGGTAATTAACAACACTCAAAGTTTGTCTATGCAATGTATTAGATATTGACGCAATCCTATTCAATTACACGCACTTTCTTTATATATCAATCAGTATGATTAACAATGAGGCACCCCAGGGGAAAATAACAAAATTATATATATTTCTGCTGGCTATTTTCTATAGTTTTTACAATCAGCTGAGACTACCGAGACAATGTTCAAAATGTCATCCGTATCGAACCCCATTTGGTGGCCTCAATTCACAGTAATGAAATCACCACCTCGGGTAATGTCCTGGGGTTATTTACAAGTCGGTAAAGTGCATGTACGTATACATACAGGACTCGTGCACGTCGACATTTTCCATAAAGGGAATAATAGTTTACGGAAATTGTCGACAGTTCCCGGACTCCACGAGTCATATTTCATGAGGTTCTGATGTAATTAGACAAGGTTATCCGCTTTTGTTATTATTTCTAATAAACGGTCATAAAACTGTGGGGAAATTATTTGACTGTAAAAACATCTCCACATTGCACAACTACAAACTAAAGTCCGGGTCAATATATCAGAGACAGAGAAAATAAGGGGACACTAATATATATATTATAGGGGAATGACAGCCAAGGACAGAAATATGTAAGGCTACATCTGAGATCGGAGTCATGGTAATGTCAACCTTCGGTACCAGGTATTTGATTCTGAACAATATTTCATACATCAAGATGTCACCACATATATGTCTGTGTTGGCTGATTTACATGTTTGATACATGGTTTAATATTTTCCAGAAATGCATAACACTTTCCCGGATTACATGGTGTAATATTTTCCAGGAATGCATAACACTTTCCCGGATTACATGGTTTAATATTTTCCAGGAATGCATAACACTTTCCCAGATTACATGGTTTAATATTTTCCAGGAATGCATAATTCCCCGGATTTTTCTTAATTCCCGTTCAGACTCTACCCCGTCAACATAACACAGCCCTGGTCTTCGACATTATGCACTCACAAGCGGAGAATTAAATGCTAGTTTTTAAACTTAAACTTAATTCATATAACGATACACGCTGGAGATATCTATAAATTGTTGAAAGAAGCAAAACAATATGATTAATCACGCAATTTCGCAGTAATAACGACATTCCTTTTTAATGTCCAAATATAAATAATACAAATTTGATTATTTTTCATTTATTTTTATTTCATTTTTGCAAAACTGTAAACAGAAGGAGTAATGAAGATCACCTTGCCACCGCTGGAATTTCGAACTAACTACCATTTCGAACTCTAGCCGGCCACTCTACCGCTCGACTGTAGAAAAATCCCGACTAGCCGATTTAGTAAGGGTTCTGTACAAAACCCCATTGCATATATTATCCTAGATCGTTAAGAGAATTTAATGTTTTACTATCCTTTTCGAAGAACTGTTTAAATCAGAGTAGGTTCTAAGTTAACGAGAGTATAACTATCATCATGAATACAAATCTAAATACGGAAATAAAACGGTAATGTTGTCTAACTGATATACTATACGGGAAAAACAATTTCATGTCATTAAACTCTACCTAAACTGAACCAAGTCTGTTGCAAACCGCTAAGATCGAAATGTTGAAAAGCGCACAGGAAAATTACCCTTCAAAAAATCGACGAGTCGAGATGACATGTGGGAAACAGTTCACTGCATCTGCATTCTGTTTGATGATGATCATATCATGTTGATGAAGTCTTCCAACTTTGAAAGAGATTGGTAGAAAGTGGGAGGAGATCTCAGATAAATAGATATTTATGACAGATAGACAGTCTATGCCATACCATAATACAATATAGATTGGCATACTTATTCCCCGTCACGAGATGGGAAGGGAAACTTTACTCGGTCAAAGGTCAAGGTAATTTTGGGTCACATAGTTCATAGGTCATAGATCATATAATTATGTCATGAGGATAATAAAACTTGCTTTGGTTAATTAGCAGAAGATCTCTGTTGATTCTCAATTTGGGGTGAAAGGTCAAGGTCAAAATATGACAGGTGTACAACCCCATTAGATATAGTAAAATAAATTGTTTTATCACATAAAAACAGGTTTCACAATATGGAGGTGTGGACATGATAGTTCCAAAACTAAAAATGTGTATGTAGCCTGTTGCAGTCGTAAACACGTCCATGTATTACTCCACGTGTGTCTGCATTTACCTTGTGACGTCATACCTGTGTGGAATGTCTTGTTTATTGTCTGTTCTGTAAACAATCCGTGGGCATCTGTACCCATACCAGACTGGGCAGTCTACCTTGACCAATTGACTGGTGACAACACTTGCACGGACTCTAAAATCCCGCCACCCTGCACCAGTATATAAAGACTTGCGGTTTGTCCCCTGCAGGTCTGCAGATTATTCATCGTACTTGTAAGGTGTCCACGACTGATTTCCACTTAATTATTTATTTATGAATTATCCAAGGGTAACAAAGGTCATTATTTATTTGAATGCCTCCGCTAGGAATCGAACCCGGGCCCACTGGCTTACTGATCTGACGCTCAGCCAATCGAGCTAAAGAGAAGCTAAAGAGTAGTATATTGCAGGTATTATTTTACCAGGGTTACATACTCCCCCTCCAGGAAATAACCTATCCTCCAGTTTCCAGGGGTCACAGCGATGCTGGTAGGGCATGGCTAAGTACTATTCCGGGGTCCCTACATGGGCACCAATGTAACAGAGGTCATTATTTATTTCAATTTTACCAGGGTAACACAAGGCAGTTGTTCCCAGCAAGTTAGTTCCCTATTTTAATTTATATATACATAGTCGCGATTATCTTAATTAATAATTATGACGTATAATTACCCCCTTACCTGTCCATTGGTATTACATGATTATGTTAGTGAATGAATGAATGACCGAGTGTTCATTTTTTTTTTTCTTTTTTTTTTGTGTAAATAAAACATGAATAGCAATCGCTGTGTTGGGTAATTAATACAACCTCCAACCCACCTAGGTTTAATGTATAAACATCTACTGAGGTTTGTCAATCTTCAAAACATTCAAAACAATGACACTTTGAAATCTTATATGAATCCTATCAACATAAAAAGTGCAAAAAAGGTCCAAATAATCACAGTAATATTGCATAGGAAACATTTGAAATTCAATCACACTAGCACACTATTAGGCAAGAGCACAGCAGTACCAAATGATTGAGGAATGTAACATGTATGTAAATATATAAGAATATGATGTTACATTGAAGACTCATTTTCAAAAAAGCTGCACTTGTGAGAAATATAGCAAACAGTTCTAGCTCATCCGATGAACATTTAATGCATATGAATAATCAAGTTATTGTTTTTTTTTCCATACAGTTTATATCATTGAAACAGACATTATAGAAATGAACACCAGACAGTGAGAGAAACATTTGAAACACAGACACAAAACCATCATCAGAATCCAGTGCGTCTTGCAGACACAGACATTACTATGTATTCATTCTGATCATATGAAATGGTGGAATGCTTGAAAATTTTCATAACATTTCAGCAGTGTTGTTCAATCTGCAAGGTATGTCCACTGATAACTACTCCCTGCGATACTCGTGCTTACAAAAGTCAGGACCATTAACAGGCTCTGCTTGGAATCCTCGCCTAAAAATTAAAAAAAATGAGATAAGAATGAAGTTTTAAAATATCTATTTTCTATTTCTTGTATTAACATCTTGTTATTTATCCATCTTTTTTTTTTTCAAATGTGAACGTCTAAAAGGCAAAATTACATTACATGTGTTAAAAAGTTATTTACTTTTTAACAATTTCAAAATGATTTTCAAAATAGTTTCATTCACTACATCAGGTTATGGTTTTCGCTTACAACATTAGTGATTTAACCCTTTCTCAACCATCTCATGATTGGTAAGTTTTTAACCTGTACGAAGACTGTTCACTTTTTTTAAGAAAATTTAAGAAACAGTGATTAACTGAAAAGAATTAGCTATACCTGATGAGACGACACCTGTGTTCAGCCATGCGCGGAGCAGCCTTTGAAGCATCTCTTACTTTCATGCTGCTCCATAGCCTTTCTCCAACAGCTGCTGCTCTAGGCCTTAACAACACACAATTCACATCAGATAATAAACTTTGGTAGAAAACCCATCTAGATACGATGTAATTTCAACCAAAGATTGTCGTGTTTTCAGATCTATCAGAGTTATCTCTCTTTGTTTCTGCCAGTACATATGAAGACACTGAGAATGTGTTCAGAATTGACAATATTTCATGTTGATATTTATTATTTATTAGGGGAAAACATTATTCTTTAAACCTATATGTAAGACATTAAATATCTATTTGCAATATTTCCAAAGCTGGCACATGACAACAGAGTTGGCCCAAGTGATAATCACATTATTGCATAGTAAATAAGAGATAATCCAAGGATGATAAGGCCTGGAGTGTGAGACACATCTATCAACGTGAATCTCCTGCCAGTCACCATTTTTGCGCTTCTTTTTAGAAAAAAAGAAAAGCCTTACAAAATGAACTAAATATATGGGAATATACATAAACTTCCCTAGGAGCTTTTAAATAATAACAACATGAACTGTATTGTTTATTAAATACATAAAACTGAATCAGTTGAACTTTCCTCCTTGGAGGACCCAATAACGGCTCCTTCAAATATGGCACAAAGAGACTCTAATCCGAAAAAGGGAAAAAAGGCACAAAAAAACATGCACACGTTTGAAAAAAGAACTTTACACATATCTACTTCCAAAAACTTGTACAGGATTTAAACAAGCATTCAGAAATGGTATGTTCTTCTGGCTTACCAGGTTCGCTGAATGACGTTGGTGTTGTCCACATATTCGCCCCACATGCATGCTTCACCTCCTATCACTAAATCTAGCTGTTTCTGGGTACCTATCATAAAGAAAGGAAATAATGGCTCCATTTCTGTCTGTAAAAATCTCTACAATAACAGCAAAGGAGGGCATGTGGCACAACTGAATGTAATGGCACAAACATAGACCTGAATATACAATATACCTGGTTTAATGCTTTACATCTTGAAATGGTCATGTTATTGTAGAGTAATGTATCATGTTGTGGTCCTGAAGTGCTGAAATATCTGGGCTGTGTATACCTATTCAACATAGAACACTGTAAATTGCTATATACCTATTTATCATTGAACACTGATAATTGCTATATACCTATTTATCATTGAAAACTGTTAATTGCTATATACCTATTTATCATTGAACACTTTTAATTGCTATATACCTATTTATCATTGAAAACTGTTAATTGCTATATACCTATTTATCATTGAACACTTTTAATTGCTATATACCTATTTATCATTGAACACTGTAAATTGCTATATACCTATTTATCATTGAACACTGTTAATTGCTATATAACTATTGATCATTGAACACTTTTAATTGCTATATACCTATTTATCATTGAACACTGTTAATTGCTATATAACTATTTACATTGGATCACTGTTAATTGCTATAACTATTTATCATTGAACACTGTTAAATGCTATATAACTATTTATCATTGAACACTGTTAATTGCTATATACCTATTTATCATTGAACACTGTAAATTGCTATATACCTATTTATCATTGAACACTGTTAATTGCTATATACCTATTTATCATAGAACACTTTTAATTTCTTATATAACTATTTGCATTGGATCACTGTTAATTGCTATAACTATTTATCATTGAACACTGTTAAATGCTATATACCTATTTATCATTGATCACTTTTAATTGCTTTATACCTATTTATCATTGAACACTTTTAATTGCTATACACCTCTTCATCATTGAACACCGTTAATTGCTATATAACTATTTATCATTGAACACTGTTAATTGCTATATACCTATTAATCATTGCACACTGTAAATTGCTGTATCCCTATTTCTCATTGAACACTGTTAATTGCTATATAACTATTTATTGATGAACACAGTTAATTGTTATATAACTATTTATCATTGAACACTGTAAATTGCTATATACCTATTTATCATTGAACACTTTTAATTGCTTTATACCTATTTATCATCGAACACTGTTAATTGCTATATAACTATTTAACATTGAACACTGTTAATTGCTGTATCCCTATTTCTCATTGAACACTGTTAATTGCTATATAACTATTTAACATTGAACACTGTTAATTGCTATATACATATTTATCATTGAACACTTTTAATTGCTTTATACCTATTTATCATTGAATACTGTTAATTGCTATACACCTCTTCATCATTGAACACCGTTAATTGCTATATAACTATTTATCATTGAACACTGTTAATTGCTATATAACTATTTAACATTGAACACTGTAAATTGCTATATAGCTATTTATCATTGGACTCTGTTAATTGCTATATACCTATTTATCATTGAACACTGTAAATTGCTATATACCTATCTATCATTGAACACTGTAAATTGCTGTATCCCTATTTCTCATTGAACACTGTTAAATGCTCTATAACTATTTATCATTGAACACTGTGAATTGCTATATACCTATTTATCATTGAACACTTAATTTCTTATATAACTATTTACATTGGATCACTGTTAATTGCTATAACTATTTATCATTGAACACTGTTAAATGCTATATACCTATTTATCATTGAACACTGTAAATTGCTATATAGCTATTGATCATTGAACACTGTCAGTTGCTGTATACCTTATTATCATTGAACACTTTTAATTGCTATAACTATTTATCATTGAACACTGTTAATTGCTATATACCTATTTATCATTGAACACTGTTAATTGCTATATAACTATTTAACATTGAACACTTTTAATTGCTATATAACTATTTATCATTGAACACTGTTAATATGCTATATAACTATTTATCATTTTAATTGATACACTGTTAATTGCTATATACCTATTTATCATTGAATATACATTGTGAACATTGCTATATAGCTATTGATATACCTATTTATCATTGAACACTTTTAATTGCTATATACCTATTCATCATTGAACACTGTTAATTGCTATATACCTATTTAACACTCATTGATATAACACTTTTAATTGCTATATACTATTTATCATTGAACACTGTTAATTGCTATTGAACACTGTTACTATTTATCATTGAACACTGTTAATTGCTATATACCTATTTAGCATTTGAATCTTGACTTTTGTTAGTTCTATCAACAACAGCAAATCCATATCAATTACATATATTTCAAATATTCAATCTGTATTCAATATTTTTAATTGTCACATAGTTCTTGTTAAATTAGCTAACTAGTTGTTAAAATAGGTAAGTATTATGTAGAGTGCGTATATGATTAGTGTTACAATCAGCAGTGCAAGTTATGTGCTTCCTCAGTACTCATGCAGCTAAAGATTGTGACAGAAAAAATAGAATATTGTTAAATCTGTTGACACAATGGGACAGTGCTACAATATCGAGATCAAAGCAGATTTCTAAAAAAAGTTTGATGTCTAAAGTGAACGAAACACCATCAACAATCTATTGTCCACATGAGCTCCGCATGAGGATAGAAGCAACAGAGTAAAATTGAAACAGAAGTCTAAAGTACAAAAACAATACACATATTATGTATAAATTACATAAAAAGATTAAAAGTGTGTTAAATGCACTCTAAAAACATGAACACATTATTGCACACAAGAATATCACTGATAGAATCACTAGCGATGATACTGACGCCTCAATATTTTCTACAGCAGTATACAGTGGTGATTGTGTTTCTTTAATTGACCTTTAGCTTTGAACTCAGATTTTAAACCACATCTGTATTTAAACCTATCCTGATGGTGCAGATTTTGTCAAGAATTGTCTACTCAATATTTCATCCTCGATACTGGGTATCACTCTCTGTAGCTCTGGAACATGTCATAGCAAAACTGAAGGTTCCATGTACAACACCTTGTGGACAAGACAAGAACACTAGTTTGATACTTTGATGTACATCAAACAAATCTCAAGGTTGCTAATAGCACCGGTATATTGTGATGGCTTTGAAGTTGGGTGTCACTCCTTTATAATCTTCAAAGAAGCACATTGTGATTGGTCTTCAATTTTGCAGTGAAATATTCCAGGGATGAAGAGAGCGAAAAGTGATCATAACCCCTCGAGTATCACAGATTTCAATATCTAAAACATCTACAAAGTCATGGCAGATACACAGATCTAAGGAGTAAGCTCATTACATGTCTGGGGATTCAACAAGTGTCAACTACAGTACAAATGATGAAGAGTGGAAAGTGTCATACTATTTAGGGTGTCATATTTCATAATAAGGATATATCTCTACAATCAACAGGTGTCAGATTGGCCAGGTTGTCACATTACAGAGCAAACATGCCAGGTCTATGTGTAACGTATCGATGAGGTTATTGTACTACAACAATAAGTATACATTAATAACTCTTCATCAGGTCAAAAGGTCATCATGCTACTGTAACTCTTCATCAGGTCAAAAGGTCATCATGCTACTGTTTACAGGATGCTGGGTGAATGGTTTATTTAGGTGGAGAGTTGGGATTTAATTACCGAGAAATCCCCAGGGATCACAACTATAGTAGCTGTTCCAGTCTGAACCATAAGATATGTAGTTAAGGTACCAGCATGCAGATAAAATGGTCTTGTAGCCTTTCAGTGTAACTTTATTGAGCTCTTCCACATAGCCTGACTTCCAAACCTCCACCACTGTGTCAGGTCGTACCTACAGCAAAACACGGCCCACACTTAATTCTCTACTACATCTTAATGATAATTCTCTACGTCATTTCTGGAATAAAACAATCATGTAATTTTGAGTAAGTTTCTGGTTCCGTTTTTCAGGACCATGGACTTGTGATCTACAGTATGGTCTATTCAGCTTTATTCAATCTGGAGAAGAAATTGTTCAAGATTTTTCCTAAAATTTTGTTATGTTTTCATTTGGAATTTTAAGTCAAGAATGTGGTTGCATTAAGGAGCATATGTCAAACTGCTGAATTCCTTATAGTACATTTCCCTTATTCATCACAACTAACAGTCCCCCTGTCCATCAGAACTGTTCTCACAGTCCCCTTGTCTATCATATCTGTTCTCACAGTCCCCCTGTCCATCAGAACTGTTCTCACAGTCCCCCTATCTATCAGAACTGTTCTCACAGTCTCCCTGTCTATCAGAACTGTTCTCACAGTCCCCCTGTCCATCGGAACTGTTCTCACAGCCCCCCTGTCCATCAGAACTGTTCTCACAGTCCACCTGTCTATCAGAACTGTTCTCACAGCCCCCCTGTCCATCAGAACTGTTCTCAGTCCCCTGTCCATCAGAACTGTTCTCACAGTCCCCCTGTCCATCAGAACTGTTCTCAGAGTCCCCCTGTCTATCAGAACTTTTCTCACAGTCCCCATGTCTATCAGAACTGTTCTCACAGCCCCCCTGTCTATCAGAACTTTTCTCACAGTCCACCTGTCTATCAGAACTGTTCTCACAGCCCCCTGTCCATCAGAACTGTTCTCAGTCCCCTGTCCATCAGAACTGTTCTCACAGCCCCCTGTCTATCAGAACTTTTCTCACAGTCCCCATGTCTATCAGAACTGTTCTCACAGCCCCCCTGTCTATCAGAACTTTTCTCACAGTCAACCTGTCTATCAGAACTGTTCTCACAGTCCCCCTGTCTATCAGAACTGTTCTCACAGTCCCCCTGTCCATCAGAACAGTTCTCACAGTCCCCCTGTCTATCAGAACTGTTTAAACAAGACACAGTAGTTTCTATTGAGTAAAGTAGATCCTTCCTACAGTATCAAATATGAACAACCACAGAAAACTTTACAATCATCTTAACAATATGACCACATTGTGTCAATATTATCCTCTCCAAGGTTAAAAATAGAATTCTCACAGCAATCTCATAATTGTTGTCTTATCAGGAAAAAAGACAAAAGTAATTTTGTACATATCTCTCAATTACATTCTTTTTAGCTTACACTAAATTTAAGATGGCCAGACCAATGAAATGTTCATACAGTTTCATACACAGGACCTTTAGATATTATAATGAGGCTAGCTGTGAATAAAACTTGAGGTGTAAATACAATAACATAAAAATACTAAATAAAGCTCCTGGAAGCACATCATGTGATAATAAAGTCAAACATCATACTTCAATTTTCAAAAGCTAAAAACAGTTCCCAATCACATTTCCTTTCTTTAATTCACAGTAAAGGATGTAGATTTAATTGGTGTGTTTTTGTTATAATCGTCATTATTTATCTATTTTTTTAAAGACAATTAATTCTAGAAATTTTATGAGCAAAATTTTAAAAATCTGCAGCAATTTTATATTTGATAATTTTTTTTTATAGTTTAAAAAACAATAATACTTCTAATTGTAAGTATAATGGTTTCAACAGGTTTCAATAAGAGACCCCCAGAGGGATCTTCGTGTCCATAGTTCCGTCTTTATTTGGGTTTAAAAAATGAATGTTTTCCTGTCTTTTCTATTGTTTCCTGCATTCTTGCTCTGAGTTATATGTAATTTGAAAATTTCTTGAGAAATGATGATCATTAACTTTGTTGAATTTTAGATGGAAATTTTGTTTTTCTGATCTGTCCCAAAATCACTAGGGCGCACCTAGAGGCCAAATGGAAGGCACATGAAAAATTTGAGAAAGACCCATACAGTATTTCTCACAAAATGGCAATTAAAAAAAATCTCTTATTGTCAAAATCCAAGATGGCAGTCTTTCGGCCATTTGTTATTCTGATCAGTCCCAAAATCAAAAGAGGAACCTACATATGAAATTTGAGAAAGAGCCATACAGTATTTGTCACAAAATGGCAATTAAAAAAATCTTTTATTGTCAAAATCCAAGATGGCAGTCTTTCGGCCATTTGTTATTCTGATCAGTCCCAAAATCAAAAGAGGAACCTACATATGAAATTTGAGAAAGAGCCATACAGTATTTGTCACAAAATGGCAATTAAAAAAAATCTTTTATTGTCAAAATCCAAGATGGCAGCCTTTCGGACATTTGTTTTTCTGATCAGTCCAAAAATCGAAAGGGTGTTCCTAGTGACCAAGGGGAACATACATTATGAAATTTGAGAAAGATCCATCCAGTGCTTCAAGAAATAGTAATAACAAGAATTGTTTACAGAAAGACTGCTGACGATGAATCATGGATGAAGCCTGATTTGAATCGTTTTCACATTCAAAATATTTGCATTTATGCTCTTGAACTTTGAAATATTAAAGTTTGACGATATTGACCTTACACAACATAGAAATGTGATTATAAGTCCCATGCATCTAAAGCTTATACATCCACTACCATTAATCATGTCTTGTGGGTCACAGGCATAGTAACGCTTCCAGTCGCTGCCATACTGTATAAGATTTAGATACCAACAGGATGACAAGAGAGCATGGTAGCCCATCTTCGTCACTTTGGCTAGCTCAGCCTGATATCCACCCTTCCAAACCTCAACAATAGTGTCTGCTTTCACCTGGTAAAACATGTCATGACCTTCACCTTTCCTTAATATGTGGCATAAAGGTTAATTGTTACCAAGTCTTCAACATACCTTATTTTGTAAAACAGCAATACACAATTTCACTTCAGTCTTATCAATCAATGGACACTGAAAACTACATTAGGTTTTTTTTTTTTCTTCCCTTTTTTTAACTCTTCATTCTTATTTTATTGATGACAAATGAAAGAGTTGTATTTTCTTTATATTAATAAATCCTATTCAATATTGAATAAATAAATGCTGGATATATGCCTATATCCCTAATGTAAATTGTTCAAATTTCGATATGATTCTTCTCCAAAAGTACGGCTGAATTTTCAGCATAGATTTTTTTCTGAATAAATGAATTCCTAAAGGAGGAGTGCCAATTTGGGCCTTCCGGCGGCCATGACCGATATTTTTTATTTCTTGTGTAGGAATTCCTTGGGGTTAGGCGGTCATGATATGACATAAAATTAAGGTCAGATCTGAGCCATTCATTAGTTATGGGGGGGTAAAGTGGGGGGTAAAATTCATAAACAGCTCCATTATGACAAACCTACATTATATTTTTGGATTTTTTCTTCTTAATTTTCATGTAATAATCCATATCAAAACATTCATTAGTAAAATTGATTGAAAAAAATATTCCATTGTTGAAAAGTAGGTCATGGTAATTAAGCTCATTAATTGCGAATTATATTAAAGATGAACTTAATTTTCTGCCTTAATGCACATAAAAACAATACCTTTATCATGTGTCATGCTTTAGTAAGATTTATTTTTGAATACTTTATAGAAAATGGAGAATTAATTAATGGGAGGGGGCGGGTTCACACTTTTGACAACTTTTGGTTGATATCAGAGTTGTCTTATGTAATTATATTAGATAATAAATATCTAATAAATAAATGTTAAATTGTACTGCATTAAGAACTGTTTAAAATAAATTGCTTGATAAATGTAGAGATATTTAAACCAGTTTGGTACGGCTGGTTGAGCTTTAAGCTAAAATGGCGGGATATAATGCCATCCCCTGACATATACCTTGTTAAGGATCTTTGTGTCTATCGGTGAGTATACATGTGCACCTTGTCTCAGACAGTTCATATACCCTTATATATACAATTAATACGTGGCAACTACACTTCACAACCTCAGCGATTTTAGTATACTTTCTTGGTTTGACTGTCACTGATATTGTACATATAATTTAGACATATAATTGTAATTCAACTGTTGTTCATAATTTTGTTCATCCAAATTAAGGTTTTAATAAGGAGTGTTTTCTAAGTTTATGCCCTGTTTTCTTTTCTTTTATCAATATGCCAGTGCACAGGCAGTGCGCTTGTTGTAAAGCACAATATAAAGTAAGGCTCTGTTGTCTGAATAAAACAGACATTCTGTCTTACTTGAAAGCAAATATTAATGATGCCTTAAGGTTTGGTGACCCCGTATGTAAAAAATGCAGGGGAAGATACTACAATCACCATTCATCTACTGAACATCCTAGTAGCGATGTAGAGCACCAGCTTGAGTCACCTGAAAACAAAAAAATCAAACTTGACATTCCACGGGCTACATTAGGTGAATCTCGATGTTTCATTTGTAAAATGTTAAGAGAGGAATGTAAAAGTAAAATGGTAATGCTCTCAACAGAAATGCGAGTAAAGATTTTTATTAAGACAGGTATCCTTGTCCCAAACACCTGCAGATGTTGTTCTTCCCACATAGTGAATGGTGATTTCCCATCTGATAGTCTATCTTCACTCGCATATTCCAGCAAAGACACTGAACTGGATTCTTCTGAAATATCAGAGATCCTTTTGACACTTAGGGCAGCTGCTTCAAAGAAAAGTTGTTTAGACTTTGATTCCTCAGATGGATTAACTGATCAAGATTACTACCGTCTCACAGGTCTGTATAAAAATCAATTTTCTGACCTTTTACGATCAGTTAATCCCTCTCTTTACTCTACACTGAACAGAAGCGCAAGGACTGCATTAGCCAACCTGCTTGTAAAGTTGAGGACTGGCATGTCTTTATCAATATTAGCTTCTCTGTTCAACATGACAAAGAGAATATGTGGAAAATGTATTCATTCAGCTCGCCAAGCATTGATGACCCACTTCGTTCCTTCACACCTTGGCCTGCAACACATCACTAGAGAACAAGTAATTCAAAACCATACAACGGTATTTGCAAGGAAGATGTTTGCCTCTGGTGAAGATGTCGCTATAGCTGTTGCTGATGGCACATATATTTATGTTGAAAAGTCCAGCAACTATACTTTCCAACGACGCTCTTTTTCCATGCACAAAGGACGCCCTCTCCTGAAACCAATGCTTCTTGTGGCCTCAGATGGCTATATACTGTCTGTCCTAGGCCCATATTTAGCAGACGGTCAAAATAATGACGCCAACATTACAAAACACATGTTGAAAACTAACACTGAGAACATCAAGGATTGGTTTCAAGATGATGATGTTCTTGTCGTTGACAGAGGCTTCAAAGATGTGACAGAACTGTTGAATGATGCTGGCATCAAAACAGAAATGCCATTTTTCTTGCCAAAGGGGCAGAAACAACACACACATACTGAGGCAAACGAATCTCGTCTTGTAACAAAGGTAAGGTGGGTTGTGGAGTCGGCAAATGGGTGGATTAAGCAGTGGAAGACCTTGGGCATGTTTTGCCCAACACTCTCATTCCAGTTGTAGGTGATTTTGTGAGAATTGTGTGTGCAATTTGTAATGCTTTTCGCCCCCCACTTGCCTCTGATTCTCCCAATGACCTCATCATTGCTGAGTGAATGTTGGCTCTGTCAAAATGTCCCAATAAATTGCAAATTCAAGTTGAAAAAGAAGGTTTGGCTAGGAAAAGAGCCATATGGGTCAAGCTTGATGAGGCCAGTTTGCCTGACTTTCCTCAGCTGACAGAACCGGAGTTGAGAGATCTTACCATGGGAGTATATCAGTTGAAGCAGGCAAAGTCATATACCATGGAGCACTTGTCTGAAGATGGCCAATATGAATTAATGGCATGCAGGGAAAAGCCTGGCTTAATTAAAGTTCAGATTCGTTCCAGACATGTTGCTTCGAAACTGTACAACCTGTGGATTGAGTATTCCCCTGGTTTGACTCCTATATCTGGTTGGTATTGCCAGTGTAAGGTTGGTGCCAGGGTAGTGGGCTGCTGTGCCCATATTGCATCTGTTCTCTGGTACCTTTCTTATGAGCGACACCAGTCTAGGATAGCACACCCAACTGCCTCATCAAGCTACCTCAGCTGTGCTGATGACGCAATGATGATTGAGGACTGGTCTGAGTCTGACAGTGACAATGAGTAACTAACTATGTGTACGACCATTGTATGTATAGTGGAGTGAAATGCAACACTAGAGGTTAAGATTGATATCTTTCATTAGCCATTTCTGTGTTAATACTTCGGTAAAACCACTAGATACAGACATATGGTCAAAGTTGTCGAACTAAAATTCAAAGCACCGCCTCTTCTTTGTTTTCTTTAAAGTATGCAAAAATATTTCTTATTAAAACATGGTACATGATAAAGGTATTGTTTTTATGTACATTAAGGCAGAAAATTAAGTTCATCTTTAATATAATTCGCAATTAATGAGCTTAATTACCATGACCTACTTTTCAACAATGGAATATTTTTTTCAATCAATTTTACTAATGAATGTTTTGATATGGATTATTACATGAAAATTAAGAAGAAAAAATCCAAAAATATAATGTAGGTTTGTCATAATGGAGCTGTTTATGAATTTTACCCCCCACTTTACCCCCCATAACTAATGAATGGCTCAGATCTGACCTTAATTTTATGTCATATCATGACCACCTAACCCCAAGGAATTCCTACACAAGAAATAAAAAATATCGGCCATGGCCGCCAGAAGGCCCAAATTGGCACTCCTCCTTTCAGCCTTCTCTATGAACATACTTCCATTTCCGCATTTTCTTTTTCTGAGCAGACACTCCAAGTTTTCAGCAGGATTTTCTCTGTACTACTTAACATGTTAATACATTACTTACTGTAGCCCCATTGTCAATCACTTCCTGCCAGATCAGGTAGCCTTTGTTCAGTGAATTGATGATGTTCAGAAGGCTGTGAATACAAAATGCATAATACAGTGCATTACTAAATAAAGGTATTTATAAATACTTTCTGTGCATTAAGTCCAAGATGTATTTCAGTGAATTTATCAAATCCCCTTGAAAAACTGGGCATTTTTTTATCATTCTGTATGTTAGATATATTGTTTACTGATTTTCATTCCTGAATACATATTAATTAGATTTTTTCACCGTCTTTATTCACAATCGTCTTTCAGTTCATTTTATTTCTATTTCTGAATTATGTAAGACAAATAGAGTATAACCCAGACTTCACAATTATACTAAAGTCTAACACAGACAGTACACAATCATCCTAAAGTCTAACACAGACAGTACACAATCATCCTAAAGTCTAACACAGACAACACACAATCATCCTAAAGTCTAACACAGACAACACACAATCATCATAAAGTCTAACACAGACAATACACAATCATCCTAAAGTCTAACACAGACAGTACACAATCATCCTAAAGTCTAACACAGACAGTACACAATCATCCTAAAGTCTAACACAGACAGTACACAATCATCCTAAAGTCTAACACAGACAACACACAATCATCCTAAAGTCTAACACAGACAGTACACAATCATCCTAAAGTCTAACACAGACAACACACAATCATCCTAAAGTCTAACACAGACAGTACACAATCATCCTAAAGTCTAACACAGACAGTACACAATCATCCTAAAGTCTAACACAGACAGTACACAATCATCCTAAAGTCTAACACAGACAGTACACAATCATCCTAAAGTCTAACACAGACAATACACAATCATCCTAAAGTCTAACACAGACAATACACAATCATCCTAAAGTCTAACACAGACAGTATACAATCATCCTAAAAGTCTAACACAGACAGTACACAATCATCCTAAAGTCTAACACAGACAATACACAATCATCCTAAAGTCTAACACAGACAGTACACAATCATCCTAAAGTCTAACACAGACAGTACACAATCATCCTAAAAGTCTAACACAGACAGTACACAATCATCCTAAAGTCTAACACAGACAACACACAATCATCCTAAAGTCTAACACAGACAGTACACAACCATCCTAAAGTCTAACACAGACAACACACAATCATCCTAAAGTCTAACACAGACAGAGACAATACACAATCATCCTAAAGTCTAACACAGTACACAATCATCCTAAAGTCTAACACAGACAGTACACAATCATCCTAAAGTCTAACACAGACAGTCACAACAATCATAAGTCTAACACAGACAACACACAATCATCCTAAAGTCTAACACAGACAGTACACAATCATCCTAAAGTCTAACACAGACAGTACACAATCATCCTAAAGTCTAACACAGACAGTACACAATCATCCTAAAGTCTAACACAGACAGTACACAATCATCCTAAAGTCTAACACAGACAGTACACAATCATCCTAAAGTCTAACACAGACAGTACACAATCATCCTAAAGTCTAACATAGACAGTACACAATCATCCTAAAGTCTAACACAGACAGTACACAATCATCCTAAAGTCTAACACAGACAATACACAATCATCCTAAAGTCTAACACAGACAGTATACAATCATCCTAAAGTCTAACACAGTACACAATCATCCTAAAGTCTAACACAGACAGTACACAATCATCCTAAAGTCTAACACAGTACACAATCATCCTAAAGTCTAACACAGACAATACACAATCATCCTAAAGTCTAACACAGACAGTACACAATCATCCTAAAGTCTAACACAGACAATACACAATCATCCTAAAGTCTAACACAGACAATACACAATCATCCTAAAGTCTAACACAGACAGTACACAATCATCCTAAAGTCTAACACAGACAACACACAATCATCCTAAAGTCTAACATAGACAGTACACAATCATCCTAAAGTCTAACACAGTACACAATCATCCTAAAGTCTAACACAGACAACACACAATCATCCTAAAGTCTAACACAGACAGTACACAATCATCCTAAAGTCTAACACAGACAGTACACAATCATCCTAAAGTCTAACACAGACAGTACACAATCATCCTAAAGTCTAACACAGACAGTACACAATCATCCTAAAGTCTAACACAGACAGTACACAATCATCCTAAAGTCTAACACAGACAATACACAATCATCCTAAAGTCTAACACACAATCATCCTAAAGTACACAATCATCCTAAAGTCTAACACAGACAACACACAATCATCCTAAAGTCTAACACAGACAATACACAATCATCCTAAAGTCTAACACAGTACACAATCATCCTAAAGTCTAACACAGACAACACACAATCACAATCATACACAATCATCCTAAAGTCTAACACAGACAGTACACAATCATCCTAAAGTCTAACACACAATCATCCTAAAGAACACAGTACACAATCATCCTAAAGTCTAACACAGACAGTACACAATCATCCTAAAGTCTAACACAGACAATACACACAATCAACACAGACCACAATCAAAAGTCTAACACAGACAGTACACAATCATCCTAAAGTCTAACACAGACAACACACAATCATTCTAAAGTCTAACACAGACAATACACAATCATCCTAAAAGTCTAACACAGACAGTACACAATCATCCTAAAGTCTAACACAGTACACAATCATCCTAAAGTCTAACACAGACAATACACAAT